GATTGATTGATTGATTGATTGATTGAATGATGGAGTGGACAATGGACTTACATTGTCCAAATGAGTTTGGAACATCGCAGGTTAGGTTGCCAAGTGCACCACAGGCATCTTCTTGTACGCCACAGTTGAATGGATGGTCGCGCATGGCGTCTAGGATGTGTTTGATACCATGGTACTTTGCAATGATGGCTTCATGCTCATCCTCCTTCCTCTGTCTATAACTCAGACGCTTCAATATATAACATGTCTCTCTCTGGATCAATGGATTCTTTGTATAATACGACATTATACCCATTATCTTTTGGATCTGGGCTCGTTCATCATTGACATCCGTGCCAACCGTGTATATCTATGATTGATTGAATGAGTGTAAGTCATTGAATGATTGATTGAATGAGTGTATGAGTGAGTGCTTACAGCTGGCAGGTCGTCCATTAGACAGAGGAGCATCTTGACTTGGGGTGGACTGGTGGTCCATCGCGAGTTGTGCTGCATGGCGTAGTATATCTTGGGACAGTTGCGATCGAATAGTCTGTCCCAAAACTTGAAAGAGTCAATCATGTTCCAGAAACGATGGCCTGTCTTGGACAGTCCAAGCAATGTCCTCGCAGGCAGGAATGAGATCAGGTAGACCAGCATCTCAGTTGGTAATGTGAACAGTAGGCATATGTCTGTGTTGTCATTCTGTTGTTGTTGATGTTGTTGTTGCTGTACATCGGGAGGATACGTCGAGATGTGTACTAGTGGCGCCTTTGTTGAGGTTGTAGACACTGTACTGCTGGAGACTGATAAGGAGATAATGGAGGACTTGCTGACCACCTTTTCGGAGCTCTCCTTAAGATGGCTGCTGATCACAACGTTGTTGTTGGACAGTGCGCCGCCAAATGCACTGGTTCCGTGGCCCGGTAGTATATTGCACCTGGCCTTGTGTAGACATGATTTCAAATGATGTATTATAGATGGTATGGCAAATGTTGTTGTTGATGATGATGATGATGATGATGATGAGTTGGGTGAGCTTGAGGTTGAGGTCGAGGCTGAGGCCAAGGCCGATGATGATGATGTTGAATCGTCCATTAATGGCGTTCGAGTGATTGAGTTTGAGTTATATCTGATGTTGTTGTTGTTGTTGTTGTTGATGTTGATGTTGATGTTGATGTTGCTGGTGTCGCAGCCAAATAGTTCTCCCTTCAAGAATGCTTTGTACAACAGTCTTATGCTCTGATATGGTAGGATCAATATACAAATGAACGGTCTAATATTAATGTAATATGATTGATTGATTGATTGAGTCCAAGTGTGGATGAATGGATGGATGGGCCAGGCAGGCGGGTAGGTCGGGAGGATGGAAGTGGAAGTTGGGGAATGAGAATGTTAGAATGAGAATGTATATTTGGAATGGACTGGAATGTGATTGATTGTTTGATGGTTGGATGGTTGGTTGGATGGATGGGACAGGTGATGGCAACAATGCGAGTTGTTGTTGTTGGAGATTATACCATAGAATAATAATAATAATAAAGTACTTACAGCACCATGTACCATAGTACACCTTCTTCTCCTTCTTGTTGTTGATGAGGTTGTTGAGGTTGTTGTTGTTGTTGATCTTGATGTTGTTCATCAACAGCTATCCTGTTGACGCCACCATAAGGTCCTGGAGTAGTACTCCTTCTGCCATTCATATTGTTGCTGCGGTTGGCAGTGCTCTCATCATTGCCAGTGGCATCCATTGATTGGTTGGTTTGTTGATTTGGTATAGATGTTTGTTGTTGCTTTGCTCTGTTTGTTTGTTTGTTGTTTGTTTGATGTCGTGTATCTCTCTCTCCTCTCTCTCTATGTTGCTCACTCAGAGTGATGGGGATGGATGGAAGTGCTGGATGAATGTATGGCCGTCTGGCTCCTTGCCACCTCCTATTGTTCGCCCCGAAAAGATTGTTAAAGGCACACTGCTGCAGCTGATGTTATTGTTATTGTTGCTGTTTCTGAATGGAAGGGGCTCCTGATTGATTGATGGTACTAATACTGGCTGATACTGGCTGATGAATGAATTAATCATCTAAACACCCAACAACGCACGATTGATGTTTGAGTTGAGTTGGAGTTGATTGATTGATTGATTGATAGATTAATTATGGTGATGGTGATGTTGAGGTTGATGCTAGTTGCTGATGTTGTTGTTGTTTGAATGAATGAATGTATTTATGTGTGTGTGGCAACTGTGGCAGTGGCTGTAGCACATCATCGGGCAATCCAGATAAGTGGTAATGAGTCTTCTCTCTATCTTGATGTATATATGTACATATATACGGTCTCCTGCTTCACTCACTCACTCTCAATGAATAAAGAGATAAGCGCGGAGTCAGTTGTTTGTTGATGTTGTTGTTATTGAACACATACATGTATTCATCAATATAAACATGTGCTTGTTGCCGTACATAGGTGGTAGCTTGCCCCCACCCTCTTGCCTGCCTCTAGTTTAATACATTGTTAGCAGCAGCAAGATGGGAAGATGAGAAGTGTGGTTGGTGGGTGTGGGGTGTGATTGTGCCGGTTGAAGGAACACCCCATGCATCATCCGAAGCAAACACACAAACAAACACGGATAGATGGTGGTCTCGCACCAAACATGGGCAAAATGAAGTTGTTGTTCCAGTTCAATCACTAATACAATGCATGCAGGTCCATCTTTCATTTACTTTACATTAATCAAAGGGCACGCCCAAACAAACAATTGCATTGCATCAACAACATTGTTGTTTGTGTTGGCTACGCTTTGATCCATAATTGGCAACCAAGGTTGGAGCGCTAATTCTAAAATTGGTCTTGACGTGATGATGGTGGTGATGAAGATGCAGATGATCAACTTGGCATTGGCACCAGGGAAGGCCACTGAGACTGGTCTTCAAATGAAGATTTGACGCTTGACCAATGGACAACATTAGTTTGATTGATTGATTGAATCGAATCATTAGCTTTACAGATGACAATTGTGCTCTTTGATCCATTGTCCAATCACTTGTGCCAACAATGCTTGGTCGACATTGATTGATGGAGATACTGTTTGAGTAGTACCATGGCCTTGGGATTGTGTTGGAGATGGAAGATGTGTAGCATCTTTGGATGATGAATGATGTTGATGTTGTTGTTGTTTACTCCTTGGTGTTGTTGTTGCTGAAGTTGATGTTGAAGTTGATGATGATGCCTGTGGAGTCCTTGGAGACTCAACTTCATGAGTCTGTGATGATGAAGATGATGTTGATGAATGCATTGGATGTGAGGCCAAGAAGGACGACTCGACAGTGAGTGGTGCAGGACATTTGTTCGTTCGCATATAGTGTCGATCAAAGAAAGGATTGTAGATGGACACAGAGGTGGATGGCACGAGGTTCTTGATGGTCTGGCAGTCCTTCTCCAGCTCGGACATCTGAGACATGTACGTCGGCAGGTTCTCCTCCTCGAATCGCTTCTGTCCGTCGAGATCCTTGAAAAAGTCGAGTGATGGCGTCAGACGGAACGTCTGGACGAGGTTGACGACGAATGTCTTGCCATTGGGCGACGTCTTGAGTGTGATCATGTCGATCGTCTTGGCGCTGCCCTTCTTGTAGAACGACATGCCGTAGACAAAGGTCAGCGGGTTGACCGGGTTGAACTTCTTGAGGAACCAGCGCGCCAGCTTCTCCAGGTCGAACTGGTTCTTTGTGATCAGCTGCTCGCTGGTCTGTGGCGCGGCAGGGGCGGCGCTGCTGCCAGACGGCGACGGCGACGTCTTGATCGTCGGGATGACGTTGGCCGACCACTTGAGCGTCTGCAGGATCGGATCGATGTTGTGCAGTGTCTGTGTGTAGCACGCGTCGATCTTGGGATAGGCCGGATAGAGCTGGTTTCGATCAATGTCCGTGCCGATGATTACCTGCATGTCGCCCTCGAGCGACAAGATTGGGTACGCCTGCAATGTGTGATAAGAGTCTGATCGATGCAGTGGGATATGTCCGTAGATCACATTTGGATGGTCTGCCAGCGAGACAGTCCAGTAAGCCTTTGATCCATTGGCTCCTGTTATATATAGAGGTGATGCATAAGGGTCTTCAAACTGTGATATTAAGCTTTTCTGTTGTTGTTATTGTTGTTACTCTCAGTGTCAGTCATTCATTCAACCAATAATGATCATTCATTCAATCGACATGTGATTATTAACATACATGAAGTAACGCTGATGTCTGTTCAAATGTTAGATTGGGTAATGACTTGGAGAAGACCCTAGAGTTGGTGAGTGAGTGCAATGATGTAAGTGATCAATGTATCAATATGATGTAGACCTGTCATTGTCAACAATGTTATCATAATCATCATACTTTTGAAACTTCTGAAACGAAGCAGAGAAGTGGAAGCCAAGCCAGAATACATCGTCTGTTCTGTTATTGTTGTATATATGATGACAATGTCAGCGTATGTTGATTGATTGAAGGTAGTATGATTGATTGAATCACATGATGTACATACGCTCGCTTGCCCTCTAGAGCTACTGAGAACTCTACATGACTCTCTGTTAGTAGTACTGTTACACCTGATGGCAATGCACCCAGGTTGCTCGCATTTGAAGTCAAGTCCTCTGGCTGTAAGCTCTTGACCTTCTTCACACCCTTTATTCCTTCATATACATTGATCATATCTATCTAAGATTCTAACAATACTTTATATAACCAATATATCTATATATAAATAGTTGTAATATGTTAAGTTGAATGAAATGATCAACTTTAATTGTGATGTTCAACTTTTTGTGACTTTGAAGTGACCCTGTGTGGGGAAGAGTTGTCAACATGTGGTCGTCTTTGTGGCACCATCATCCACCTCCTCACTATCCATATCCTCATTGTTACGTTTTTTGTTGTACGTCCTCTTCTTTATCATATTCTCCTTGCTATCTATCACCATTGTCGTAGTTGTTGTTGTTGTCTCATTGATTTTGTCATTCTCCTTGTTCTTCTTCAAGAGTATCTTACCCTCCTTCTCTTTCTCCTTCTCTTTCTCTTTTTCCTTTCTTATCTCCCTGATCTTGAACAACTCATTAGCATCGGCATTGGCCTCTTCAATGCTGAGTTGATCGCCTTGATAGATACTCCATATTTGGATCCATGGTCTACACTCCAAGTCAGAGACATGGTATCCAGCAAAAGGTTGAATTCCAACCAAGAATTTGGATCTCGCGGTAATACATTGGTCGGTATCATTGAGTCGTGCTTGGGAGAGATCCTTTGACTTGATTGACACCATGGTGTTGGTGGCAAGGTTGTGATGGGCGTTGAATTCATCCGGTGTCATATTCTCATCATAACCAAAGGCAATGAAGAATGCGAGGACCGTTTTCTTTTGGACCACCATGTCATGTAGACGGGAAATGTCCTCCTGCACTCTGGTCACATTGGTATAACCTGACGGAGCGACCTTCAACTCGATCGTGGCGATACTCTGGTTCAAAAAGCGGATTGAAATGTCGGACTTTTGTTGTTTTGGATACAATTCTTTATCCAGAATATCTTCGACGCTGGCATCAAAGTTCTCACTGATCTTGGAAAGACATAAGCATATCTCTTTGAAGAGGAACCCATGGACCATAACCTCACGACCAAGTATTGTTGTAATAGGACCATCTCTCAGATGAATGAAATTTGAAAAGAACATATAACAGCTCTTAATCAATGCATCGCCTACCTATGGCATAATATTATATTAATCAAATGTAATAATCATATATGATTGATTGATCAACTTAACTTAACTTACAGTTTGTAATACTGAGTTGAGTTTATGAAATATATTTATCATGGTTAGAAGGGAGTCCAAGTCTTGGACCTCAAAATCTTTGTCAATGTCGTCAGGGAGAGTGAGGGTCATGAGTTTGCTGCCAAGCATCATTCCAGTTAACTTCTTCATATCATCCATACTATCAAGTTTAGGTATAAACCTTTGAGCTGCAATCTCAAGTGCACTATCATTTGAATACAACTTGAGCAAGCTCAAATGGTAAGTTTCCAAACTTGTTATTTTCATTCTTTAAGCTAAATGATTGAAAAGTATATATATATTATCTCTTTATCTCTATCTAAGAATGCATATAATATTGTTTTCATGAAAACAATACTTAAATGATGTTCATCATTGTTGTCGTTTCCACTAAATATTCATTGTTTTCCCTTGTCATCATCCATCACTTCACTTCACTACACATCCTATCAAATGAAATTGAACAAAAATATCTCAACCGTGTGTGATGATAAATGGTTGAAAGTGTGGGAGTGTGTGATTGATTGGTTGAACAAGGTTAAGATTGAAATGAATGACATTGTTACAGCACTCATTCATCCAACACAAATTAACTACAACATTCATATTCTTACTATTAATAATCATACAAACAAACAAACAATCAATCAATCAAACGAACAAACAAACAATCAATAACAATGACAACAAATGAAAACAATAATGTACAAGCAGCAACTACTGCACCACATAATAATGATCAGGTGATCTATGAGGTGACAGCATTCATCAACTCGGATATGGCTGAGAAGTGGGGAAGTTGGATCCCAAAGCACGTCAATGAGATAGTGTCATTGGAGAATGGTGCATTGTTCACAAAGGGCGTCATCCACAAGCTGGACAGAGACTTGCCACCTGCCACACCAACCGAAGGCGTCACAACATTTGTCATCCACTACTATGCCACATCACAAGAGGCTCTAGACAAGTACCTCAACGTCTACGGTCCACAACTGCGTCAAGATGCCATCAACCAGTTTGGCACTGGTCTCAAGACCAGTCGTCGTGTCTACACTGCCATTCAAGAGATCGATGCCCTGCCCCAGACCAAAACATTTGGCTACGTATTCTAGATTATGTTCAAAGTCCGTCGACGAACATGTACGCATCGTGTCGTCGTCGTTATCGTCATCCCAACTGATCAATCAATAAACCAATGATTTGAGTCCAAATACCAACCCTGTTGTGTATTCATACTTGTGGAGCGTGAAGCGTGGAGTGCGGAGTGTCTGTGTCGCTGGCCTTGCATTGAACATGTTCTTGGTCGATGAATATTCCTATATTGCTCGCGATGATTGATTGATTGTTTGATTGATTGAGTGAACGTTGAATCATTCTTTGTTACATTCGATCAATCAATCATTCATTTAAATATGATTGAATGAGTGATTGATTATTTGTTGTAAAGTGTTATAACAATCACTTAAATATATATCATAACTTAACAAACCGAGTCGGGTAATCAGGAGTAGATAGTGATAACCACTGCTCATCATTCGTTGTCATTGAGTGAAACGCAAAAATTCGAAAAAATACAATTTGATTGCGGTTGGTGAAAGACGAACGACACCTCTCGTGCTCCTCACACTCTATTCAATAAACTTGCATAGTTTGCCCATTATTCTTTACAACCCTTCTTATAACATTACTTACGTATATATATATATATATAACATACAATACAATATACATATACATAAACATGTTCCAATCAATACGATCACTTACATCTCTCAAGGTAAGTCCAAATCAAGAACTTTGTTTGATTGTTTGATTGATTGATTGAATGAATGATTAACAATTACATTCTTATATTACATTAGGAGATTGGTACAAGCAATGTTCAGATGTACAACTATATTTATAGACCGTTTAGATCGACTTCAATGTCGCTTCAATACGTTCAACAACAATATAGAGGTGGTCAGAGACCATTCCCAACAACAGTTGGCAGCAATGGTGGTGGCGGCTTTGGCGGCGGAAGATACTTGAACAACAATAGCTCCAATCCAAGATCGGACAATGGCGGCGACTTTACAAACAGAGTGGCATTCAGACGCACTGAGCAGAGATCAGACAACAACCAGCAACAGCAACAACAATCAAACTTTGACTTTATCGAGGGACGCCCCAGCGGAGGCCGCAGCAACGACTTTGGCAACTCGATGCCACCCAAGAACGTGGACTGGACTCTCGAGAACCTGCCACCCATCAACAAGAACACTTACAAGGCCACCGACCAGGCCAACACCTGCACGCCCGCTGAGCGCGACGCCTTTTTGCTCGATAACAACGTGTTGGTCAAGACCAAGGGCGAGACACCCTTGCCCGTCTTTGACTTTGACGCGATGAACTTCCCCGCGCCAATCATCAACCTGCTCAAGAACAACTACGAGAAGCCCACCCCTATCCAGTCGATCGGCTGGCCAGTCGCCATGACTGGCGGTGACATGATTGGTGTCTCTCAGACTGGCTCCGGCAAGACCCTGTCCTTCTTCCTGCCCGCCATCCAGCACATCCTGTCACAGCCACGTGAGACCGGCCCCTACACTGGCCCCCGCGTGCTCATCATTGCTCCAACTCGTGAGCTGTCCGTTCAGATCTCCAACGAGGCCCAGCCATACCTGTCGGCCGCCCGTCTCAACAGCGTCGTCATGTTTGGTGGCGCCGCCAAGACCAACCAGATCCGCGACATGAGGAGAAACCCCCAGGTTGTGATCGGTACACCAGGTCGTATCATCGACATGATGAACGACGGCTACCTCAACATGAAGCGCGTGTCCTTCTTTGTCCTCGACGAGGCCGATCGCATGCTCGAGATGGGTTTTGAGGATCAGATCCGCTCGATCTTCACCAACATCAGACCAGACCGCCAGGTGATGTACTGGACTGCCACATGGCCACGCAAGGTCCAGACATTGGCCCACGAGTTCATCGTGGACCCAGTGCACGTCCAGGTCGGAAGCACCGAGCTGGCCGCCAACCCCAACATCAAGCAGATGTTCACAATCGTGGAGTCTGAGCGCGACAAGGTCACTGCCCTCGTCGACACACTCGAGAAGATCTTCACCGAGCGTCCCGAGTCCAAGGTGATCATCTTCACCATGACCAAGGGCGGAGCCGACAAGCTTAGCGATCACATCCGTCAGATTGGCAACGCGCGCATTGAATCGATCCACGGTGACAAGGTACAGTCGCGTCGTATCGCCATCATCGATGGCTTCAAGAAGAACTACATAGACATTCTGGTCGCTACTGACGTGGCCTCGCGTGGACTCGACATCAGAACGATCACCGACGTCATCAACTTCTCACTGCCCTCCAACATCGAATCATATGTACACAGAATCGGTCGCACAGCTCGCGCTGGCGCCACTGGTCACTCGCACACACTCATCAGCAAGTCGTCGGCCAACGATATCGAGCTGCTACCCGAGGTCATTCAGATCCTGGAGAGGTCGCAGCAGGAGGTGCCCGATGACATCAGGGCGTTGGCGCCAAGGAGGCAGCAACACAGCCAACAGCGTTATGGTGGTGGTCAACAGCGTGGAGGATTCCGCGGTGGAAACAGAGGATATAACAACAGGCCAAGCGGTGGCTATGGTGGCAACCGTGGTGGATACGGCGGTGGCGGCGGTCAATCTCGATCTGGACCAGTGTCGTTCAATCGTTCAGCATCAAATTAATAATACTACCAGGCGCTAATAATAATAGATTGGATAATAATTAATTAATTAACAACTCTCGTCTTTTCTTTATTTGATTGATTGAGTGACATAGGAATGAATCCAAGTTGATTGATTGATTGAGTAGTTGTACAACTTCTTCACACATAATGGTACACTTTGACTTGAGTTTCCAAGATAATTAATATAATTGATTGATACTTGTTGGTATTAATGTATATAAATGGATAACTTAACCAAATAAGGAAGGAATCAATCAATCATTTATTTGATTGTGTGTGAGGGTGTGTGTGAGTGTGTGCGAGTGATTGTTATGGTTGCTACCTCTGGATCACTCTCTCTCTCACATTCCATTCGTTTACTGGAGAGCATCCAAATGTTTATTATTCACTTACCCTCACTCTTTATTTCTTATTTATTATCTTTTTCTTTTGCTTATCAACTCTTGGCTATTATTTTGAATGGATACCCAAGGAAAATATAATCCTACAATGAGTAAGTAATGGATTCCAGTACAACTAAACAGGTGCATGGACTACTAATCATCCAACAAGACGTCTCCTTCTGGATTGGTAGCTCCTCTTGGGGAGACACATTGGCGATGACTGTCATGGCATCAAGGTAGATTATAAGGCTGGTATCCCTTCATTGAAGTGTATGTATAGATACATCTCTCTCTCTATCGACATCCTGTTACTCAATCATATAACATACTCACACTCACATCAATACATACACATTGGCCGAAATGGAGTTGATTACTCTCTTGGTATCAACAGGTTCAAGTACGACCAAGATCCATTATTCCCAAGGAGCTTTGCCACGGTCCAATCATTTGAATTCAATTCCAGACGAAAGAATCAAATGATCACCAAGAAGATAGCACTCCAATACTATTGCTGACCTTTTAGTACATCTCTCTGATTGCAAGAACAAGGACATCTATGTTGGTAAGTATACAGAAAAACATCATCACAGAGATAATATAAATATTAACAATGTATCTGTTTAACCCACACTATTATATAGCCTTTGGTAATGGATCTTTTTCTATCAACAGCCATGGAGCTCCATCCTTTATATCAAATGACCAGGCCATAAAGAAGATGGATAAGCTCTTGAATTCAATGGTCATATTTAAGTCCAAACCTGACAGTACAGATTGACCGTGGATAATACCTATCTCTCCCATTTATGATGACAAGTATGTATGAAGTTTGATTGAATTAATAATCTTAACATATAGGTACGATTTCACCTCTAGGATCTGGCAGCGTGTATTATAGAATGGTACTAGACAGACACACAGATAACCGTTACCAACACAAGAGCCGTCTACAGACTAAAGCCAACCACTATATTATTGGATACCTACATTTCTGGCGACCATGCATCAAGCATCGATCTAGACTGGGGCACATTGGAACTATATACTCCTCAATTCTTCAACAATAGAAGTCTTTGATATCACCCGACAGCACCAAATCAAGATAATCATAGTCAGCCTTGTAAGTATCATAAGTTTCCCTTGGGTGTGGATATACTTGATGGTATAACAACACATCGATACCGAGACACAAAGACTCTTTGCCCTTTGATGATCACGTACTCAATCCAATCCTCTAGTCAGTCTACTGACTAAGAGTGATGTTGGTATCTCCAAAGTGATGGTTGTGGAGCAAAGAGTCTTTGTGAACCTCGGCTACTAACTTGCCTACCAAACCTCATTCCAAGACATTGAACAACAAGACACCTCACCACCGGAATTGTCTTAACTTAATGGACCGTTTCCCATCGACAACTGCGCTATCAAGCTGTCCCAAGCAGAACTTCATTGGCATACAAATGCTTCGCAGCGTGGACGGGATCAGCATCACCTGGACAACCTCTCTCAGTCAAGGAGCTGTTCTTCTCTTGTAGAGCCTCAAAGGGTTCCAAGCGCAATGCCCTGACTACACGGAGGGTCAACTCAGTCTCATCAAGGGTGGTGAGATTATCAGGACAATCTTGATCATTGTTCAGGTTATTTGTAGAACAATGATGATAGTCATCTAGATGGAGACCAGATCATGCCCACAATGGACAGATACCCCAGCTACAACAATTGCCAGAACGTTGTGGATGGTGAGAACCTCTGGAAGAACAGAGAGGGAGTAAGCGGTGCTACAAGATGAACAAATACAAGAAGCGCGCTCAGTCCATCAAAGACTATTACAGCCACTTCCAACTACCCACCGAGCCACAAATACTCTTTGCCCTATCGATGGTCACGCACTCTTGCAAGCCTGTCTTCTCATCGGTTAGTCGACTGACCGAGGCGACTTTGCTACAGTGATCATTGTAGAGCAAAGAGTCTTTGTGGACCTCGGATACTAACCTGTCAACCAACCTGAATTCCATCTCCATCTAGTGCATAGCCTTTAGATCTTTATGAACTTTGATTGAATGAACCTTCGATCCATGTTGTTCTTCTGCTTCCTGTTGGTCACTGTCTTCTCGATAAATACATTCTGCTCCGTCTTGAACAGTCCGCCAGATGTGTAAAGCTTCTCCATGTGCTCTGTATGAATGAATGGTATGTTAGCCAATGTTGCCTGTCTGCCGTGGCCATCCTTCACCCACTTACCCAATGAGAAGTAGTATGCTCTAGTTCCATCGTAGCGCACATGGAAGTTGTCGCCAATCTTTGAGGCATGCTTCTCGAAACGAGCCTGCGCCATGTCGTTCTCAGCATAGTCACGAATCAGTACCTTGCCACCTGGTCGCAGCGTCTTGTAACACATGTCGACGACGTTTCCAAATGTGTCTGGATGCATTGCCGACAGGACAAAGATGATAACGACGAGATCGCACTGACCGAATGGCACGCATGATGGCAGCTTCTCGGCGGGCTCGACTGCGCTGAATACAAAGCTATCACAACGACCTCGGTATTGTTCATTGGCTTCGACCTCTTTTGCGAGGAGGTCGACGGCGTGAGCAGAGAAGTCGAATGAGACGAAGCGCAGGTGTTCATTCAGCTCGAGCAGTGGCAATGTCGTATTGCCAACGCCACAACCAATCTCAAAGACCTTTACATCCTTCTGTCCATCGATTGGCTTCATCAAGAACTCTGGAAACTCGCGTACCAACCAATGTCTATCCTTGAAGAAGTTATTGTTGTTATGCTTGTAGAACTTGTTCCAGTACTTATCTGCGTCCTTCTCGTACTTCTCTGATTGATTGATGGACTAGTTAGTCTTCATGCGCATGAAGTCGGTCAAGTGAGCGAGTGAGGTAGTTGCGACAAGTGATGTGATGTGATTGATTGATTGATCTATCGTCGCACACACATTACCTGTTTGCCTCATGTTGCGGTGCAGCACAGCAGTTGATCCATGGATGAAGGAAGGGGACGAAGGAGAATTCACCTACCAATTAGAAATGGGGAGAGTAGGTCGTTCTTATCCTTCTTGACGTATCCATATATTCTAGCATATCCACATGCATCATCTATTATATTATATCCATCAACTATATTACTATTATTATCTTGTTGTTGTTGTGGTTGTTGATTGATTGATAGTCTTGACTTATCATTTGATAAGTCAACATTTGTTGTAGTTGTTGAACTTGTGCTACTACTACTACTTCTACTCCTACAACTGCTACAGTTGTTATTAATGCAGTTGTTATTATTGCAATTATTCATATTTATTTATATGTTCTGTACAGATAATTGGTATTGAGATAAATGACTTGTGTTTGTGTAAATCTTGGAACAAAAACGATTCGTCGTCTTCGTCTTTGAGAGTTTGGGGGATCACGAAGTTCATCAAGATGTTGACCACCCAACATTGATTGATTGAATATAGTTTATTACATTAGTGTTGCCAACGAGATATCCGCCAGCCAGCATCCACTTGCCAAATGTTATCCAGATGGCGTGGACACTGGCGCCTGGTCTGTAATACCAAGCTTGTTGAGTGATGATGATAATGATGATAATGAGGATGATTGCGATCCAGATTGATTGTTATTGATTCCATTCTTTTGGATATGTATTATCAATTGCATGATTGAGTTGCAACTTCCTTTGTTTGCTTGTGCCAAGAATAGATTGAGTTGTTTTGGGGTGACATCACCAACATGATCAATGTAATACTTGAAGGCTGAGAAGTTGCCCTCATCAATACATTTAAATGCCAATGACTCTGTGAGTACATCCTTGCCACAGATCTCGTGTAGCAATGCCAATGAATCTCCACGTAACTTCTTGATCATATATGGTGACCAGTTCTTCACACGTTTGATCACCTCTGTAACGTTGGACATCATGTTCTCCAAGTATACCGATCGATCCAGCATTGTATCCTTGCGCATAAGTAATGATCGAGACAGAAGATCAATTATATATATGTCACCAAGTGGATATTGATCAATCTTTGCCATGATTGTGGACTTGTTGTCCAGTCCATATTTGTCGACCTTGAGTTTGAGCCAGGGTACCGAGCACACGCGCTCATAGAGTGAATGACACAATGGATGTTTGATTATCTGTTGTAATGGTTCATCCAGGTTGAGACACTTGGACCATGGATGACCACTCGTGCACAGCCACTCGACCAGCCACTCATAGTCCATTAGCAGCTCATTGCGGGCATTGACTGTGTGGGTGATATGTGGCCGTGATCCCATGCTTAGTCCATCCAGGTGCTTCTGCCATTCCACCATACTACTATTCTCGATCATCCATCTCAACGTGCAAATGGGAATGTGGAAGTTGTCGAGCCATGTGAACAGCCCTTCGTGTAGGGCCGCTGGTGTGAAGCGATGCTTGATGAACTCCAAGAACTGAATGTTGCCCTGTCCAATAGCCGTCTGGAAGCACTGTCGATAGAGTAATGCGCTAGAGTCGTTCAACAACTTGCCCGACTCTATGCACGCGTGCTCCAAGTCGCGGAAGATGGCTATCTGTGTGTGCTGCGACGGGTCTGGGTTGTAACGCGTGTTGCTGTAGGTCAGACGCTGCAACACCGTGATGAGCAATGAGATCTCGGCAGTGAAGCCACAGCGTCCCATCTCCATGATGATCGTGTTGACGAGTGGAGGGTTGCGCAACTCTATTGCACTGCGCAACTCCTTGTCAAAGACCCACCTGAGGTTGGTCTTGCCCAGGTACTCTGCGCGTCCATGTATCATCAGACTGTATACTCGAGGGTCCTTCATGCGGCCAACATTCTCGATCTCCTTAGTCGTGTAGGGCATGATCTGTCCACGCTCCTCCAAGTAGCGAACGACATACTGCGCGACCTCGTACGTGTTGTATACAAGTTCCTCAAACACTAGCTTGCGCGTATGCAGCAACGGGCACTCCTTGAATACGATCTTGACATGCTCGATTGAGCCCGATCCCAGTGCACCCTTGGTCTGATCAGTTGACAACATTCGAACGGTCTGTGCAAAGAGAGCCAGCCACTCTGGTGATCGCTTGGCGGCCAGCTTTCGCACACAATCGGTGGACATGGCGTAGGCCTGCTCGCCACTCATTAGATACTCGGCCAACTCGAGATTGTCGCTGTCCATTGCGCACTCTACACGTCGCTGCATCTCTGCTTGAACGTGCGAGGAGGAGAAGCGCGACACACACTTGTCCTGCATCTCTTTGAGCAGGTCGATGCTGCCCAGACGCGACAGGTAAGACACACATGCTGGCGTGTGGAAGAGATGTTCGCCCAGTATGTTGGTCACCTGATTGAAGGCTTGTTCAGTGGGTACATGCTTGCAGATCAGTTCAAAGGTGCGATCAGAAATGAAGAGTGGGGTGATGTCGCCGGCCAGATGGTATTGATTGAGCTTGTCTAGGAACAAATAAAAGTGACCTTGTTCCAACATCCAGTCGACATTCACCAGACTATCATACTTTGGTGAACTTCCATGTTTAACTAATCTTATAATCCTTCTATTAAATTGATGAACATGTGAGAATATCTCTCTACGCAAGTATATATTATTAAGTATAAGTATAAATTTATCCGTCATTATTATTACTATATGATTAATTGATTGATTGTGTGATTGATTGATCTGTTTGATGGATCGTTAGAAGTCTACACTTGGACAGATATAAATATAATAGGTAATCATGATGAAGGGGTGGTTCCAACCCACCCGATTCCTGATGAACTTTTGGAAACTTCACTGAACTGAGCCATCATGCCCCTCACACCCCCATCTAGACATGAATCTGACGCTTCTTTCATGCCATTGGTACCTTTAACTTTAGACTAATTGGACATTTATTAATAATGAAACAACTTAATAACTATTATATATATATATATAAATAATGTTATTATCTAAACTATTTAATAAAAATATTAATAGTATTTTTAGAGCAGGAACACATTATGTTAGCCGATATTGTCCATTAATTGGAAGACCAAACTTCTATTCATCCCATACCTCTTCAACTTTTATGGACTCTACTACACATACACCTATTATTAATAATAAACCTTTAAAGAAAAAGGATAAGTCCAATAATATATCAAAGTCTAAAGAACAAGTTCACAAAGTAAAACTTAATATCCTAGTCAATGATGATACATTTATTGATTGGATTATTTCAAATTATGGTGATCCTTATCAAAAGAATGCTAAAACTAGAGAAGAAGGAACTGTTGATATAACTTTTGTTGGAAGGGAAGATACACTTGAGGAAATATATAATATTTCCAAAGATAGATATCTAAATTTAGCACCAACAACATCTGATCAATCATTAATATTAATATTAGGTCCATCTGGAATTGGAAAGACATCATTACTCAATCAAATTGGTAATTATATCTCAAAAAAGCAACAACAACATAATATTGGACCTTGTGTTCTTCCAAAGAATCAACTAAACATAACAATTACATTTGGAAAAGAAATGGCTTTGGACAAGAAATTGGATAAATATGCATGTGATGCATTAGGTATTAGAATACTTTACAAATACTTCGTGGACGGTACACCTGGTGTAGATTTCAAATCATTTCGTTCATCATTCAGATCATTATTTGATACAGAAATTTATTTATACCAATGCTTTAAAGTAATTCATAATTATTTGAAAAGAATCCAACAATTAGATGATGAACAATTATTAATTAATTTTGTTATAGATGATATTGATATGATATACAAAAATGATAATAATAGAAGATGGTCATTCTTTAGAGAACTCACTGGAAAAATCAATCAATATAATTATTGTAATTCACAATATAACCAATTCTTCAATATTATGTTGGCAGGAAAATCGGTCAAATATCTTGATAATGTTGTAGTTGGATCTGATTATAGATATGTAAGATTATATTTGAGAGCACTAAATCATCATGAATATCTTGGAATTGCAAGAAAGATGAATTTATCACAATATCCAAATGTTATACAAGCATTCAAGTTCATTGGAGGTGTTCCAAATATTCTTTATCATTTTATTCAATCAATTTCAAAGATGGATAAAAATACATTGGAAAGGAAATCAACTTCAGATCTACTTGATTTCTCAATTCCAGAAGTAGATCAATTATTCAAGGTTCCAAATCAGGACAAACAATATATTTGTGATCTAATTTTATTATGTTTGTCTGGAAACAAGTTTAGGTGCTGGTATCATAGACTATCAACAAACTCTCCATATATTATGGAGTTTCAAGAAGCTGGATATATTACATTTACACCAGAACGACAAATATTCATTCCGTTATACTCAATCAGGAGATATCTCAAGACATGTCCCAATTTTCCAAAAGATGTCCATCAAACATTAGACCAGATAATTAATATTTTGTTAAATGACCAAGATAATTCTAACAATCAAGATAGATTGATTGGACTCCTTAAAGTTGTTAAAACACAATCACTCTCATATCTGGAGAAAGTTCATCCTACTTTACTTGATTATTTTTTAGATGAGCTCCTTTTCGGAAGGTGTTCCAACTCAACAATATTCAATTGTTTTCCATTTGAAGCCTTCTTCCAGAAGACTAACCTCAAATAATATTATTAATAAATAAATATATTTTACAAATGAACAATACTAGATAATTTATTGTGTGGCGTCACACATGAGTATAGAATTGTTGGTGTTGATGAGATGATGTACAGTGGAGTGGAAGAAGTTGTTTAGATACCGAGGATACCAGAAGTGATACCATCAACAGTCATGATCACAGTGTTGAGTGTCGAGTTGACAGTCTGGGTAACACCATCAATTGCTGGCTTCAAGTCACTGGCAAGAGTGGCAACAATACCAGAGGTGGCGTTAGATGATTGGCCGAAGGAGTTCATTCTTCCACTGGCAATGGATCCATTGCTGATCGACGAGGCGTTGAAGGAGCCCATTGAGGAAATTGATTCTAAATATTTACATTAATGTTAATAAAATTAAAGAATATTATTAATATTAATATTAATATTAATTGATAACTTACTGATGATAGTCATTTTAGTTTGATTGAATTGATTGAATTGATTAATTTGATGATTTGATTGAATGATTAAGACATGGTATTTATAGTTAAAATAATTAATATTATTGATTGATTGATTTATTGATGATGATGATATCAATTCATACTTTCAAAGATATTAGATATAGATGGGGATGATTAATCATTCATTGGCGGGGAATTGTAAATATGATTATTCCATGTTTGATTATAATATTATTGGATAATAAGTATCTGTCATGGATACTTAAATCTTCCTACCCTGACTCTAATACAAAGGGGTTGTCATCAATCCATTCCATAAGTGATAAACCACACACCCGTCAATTCCATCTGGATGATGACTATTCAATCACACACACACACACACTCACTGATTGATTGATTAGACAAGACGAATCACGTGATACTAATATTAAATGTACACAAATCAAACTCCCATTTATAAACACATTACTCTGAGATTTGGATGAGTAGCGCGGACTGAGGAGAATAAAGCTGACGAATGGCTGTGAATGACGTCACTCACTGATTAGGATTATGTTTCGAATGGGTTGGCATCGTCGAATGGATTGGGTTCGTGAGTTGGTGGCAAGTATGTCTCTTGATGCTGTACGCCAGCCGATTGATGCATCTGCTCGTATGTCTCGGGCACAGGCTCGAATGGTGCCGGCTCATGATGGTCTTGCTCCTCAATCGTCATCTTGTCCAGTGTGATTGGTGGCTGGTACGGTTGTGGTGGCTCCAAGCCAGAGTGCTGTGATGAAAACGTTGGCGACTCGACGCCAAAGATCTTGCCCTCGGCGGCCATCCACATGCGAATGCCCTCATCGATGAATCGCTTCTGTTCCACGACAAACTGTCTGAGTGCGACGGCCACCTCGCGCTGGACGAAGCGTACCATCTCGTGGACCTGAGACAAGAGGTTGGCGCACGACTGATCGTACAGCATCTTCTGCGTGTCGTGCTCGGCCTGCTTCTCAGACACCTGCTTGCCAGACTTTTGAGCGTGCTTCAGGTTGTAAACGGCTGCGCTGAACTTGGAGCGCATATCATCGTGCTGTGTCTCGGTAGCGATCACCTTCTTGACGTTGCCAGCGTAAATAGCCATCAGTTGATTATGTAGACGATCGTAGAAACCGATATTATACTGTTGGAACAACAGTGCGCTGTCCTTAACACATGATCCAACCTCCATCAATGACACTGACAAAGGTACAGTCTGATTTGATATATAGTTTGTATGCGAAGTCTTCTCTCCAAACCTTCCCATTATATTTGCCAAAGCTGTAGCTTGTTGAAATGACTTGTCTATTGATTGAATGATTGAATGGTAAGTATCAGTACCTCCATGTTTATCATTCATTCATTCAATCATTCATTGACTTGATATATACCTCCAAAGAGACAGTAGTTCTTTGAGTTCTCAATCAACAACTTTATGCTCCACTTCATATTCTTGATCTGTGCTCTAGCAACATTGATGTCCTCTGGTTCCTCGACCAACTCAACAATCGATGCCTTTGCTGAATCCAATACCTTTTTAAACATCTTATCTGTATATGTTTGTGGTATATATAACAGTAATAATAGTAAGTTAAGTAATAACAATGAATGATGAAGGATGATGAACTACAAACCAGCATGGAAAATACCCCCCTTTGCTTCTTCGAGTTCAAGCAACAACACTGTTTGATTGCGTTTGTGTGTGTTCGCGACATAACCTCGGATTTCACTGAAATTGACTACAAATGGAAGGTACCTGCATGACGACAGGCATCCTGGTCGGTCCTTTGTAGCCTCAGAGGACATCTCGACTTCCTGGTTCCAAAGGATTCGATTTGGATTGAATTGATTGAGTAGAACAAGCTGACAATGAATAAATGAAATGACGAATGAATATGATAGATAATATGTATAGGTCAATCAATTTACAAAACGAATACGTCATCTGTTGACAGATCAAAGAGGTTGTTGGGTGGAGGTTGGGGTGATGGTGGCCTCTCTTCCCATGTGTTGGTCTTCCATTCAAAGTACTGGTTCTGACTGGAGAGTAAAGAATCGCGTTGATGTATCTTCTTTAGGGCATCATGTTGTTGTTGTGCCATCTCCTCCAGTTCAAACAATGTCATGCACTCCTTATCCGACAACTCATACAGTCCTATTTGAATGAGTGATATACACTTTAGCAGCAATGGTATCTCAATGATGAACTCTCTGTACAAATCTTTAAGCAGTTCGAAGTCTTCATAAGAGGGGAGGGTTAGGCTTGGATTATTCCAGGGGCATTATCATGAATGGTCATCAATACTTACAAACTGTCAGACACTTCTTGTTTATAAACATCTTCAATGCTAGGTCATCTTGAAGGGCTGTGACCAATACATCTCGGAAAGTCTGATTGATCGATTGAAGATGTTAGTGATCGATCAAATTTGGAATGGATGAACGTAAATAAACATACGTCTGTTAGGGTCTTTTGCTTCTTCTCGGCTGGCTGGCCGATCGCCATCGACTCTGCCACCTCCTTTAGGGACTTGTGTGACACGGCCTTGAGGGTGGGCGTTGCCTTGAGCTTGGGCGCCGGTGGACATATTGTTGGGGTGTCATCAGACATTGATCCACGTCTTGTAAGCTCTGATGGTACGGCAATTGATGATCGTCTGGCCACGAGTGGACGAGACAATGAGCTGGGTGTGGAGCTCGATTGAACGGTGGCCATTGATGAGCGACGATTGTGGGCCTTCTTCTTGTTGTTGACTGGCACCTCTAGAGACATCTCCATCGCTTGTAGGGATGTCCTTGTCTCGTCCGAGGATGAGCCGCCTTCAAACTCGAGGATTTTGTTCACATCGACCTTTAGGCTTCCCGTGGGGATGGGCGGCAGTTGTGGCTGCTCCTGCTCCGCCTCGTCCATAGTGATCAGCGTGCAGCAGAGGTCAAGATACGACACGTACTCGTCTTGGTTGTCGCACATGTTCTGCCAGATGGCCGCAATGATCTCGGTCTTGTTGCCCTTCTTGAGCGAAGGCTTAATCTCGATGATCTTCTTCATGATCTTCTTCTTCCAAATCTTCCTGCAGCCCACTATCTTGCTGTCAATGATCGACAGGATGACCGCCAGATTGTCCTGCAAGGATGGCGCCAGGTTGAATTGGGACGCGCCAGGGGGCAGGAAGGGACTTGGAAGAAGACTGCTGTTGCCCATTCCAATGTTGTTGTTGTTGTTATTGTTGTTGGTGCTGTTGTTTGCGAGCAACAATGCAGTCTTGCCACAGATGTTTGGTGAGGACTCTGAACGAGCGAGCATCTTGGGCGAATCAGAACCTGTCGGCAGGTTGAGATCGATGCTCTTAGTCAGAGATGGCTTAGAATTTGTTGGTGTACTGTTGTAGTCGTCGTCGTCCATGCTGTCCGATGCATAGTCGAGCATTAACTCTTCAATGTCATTGAGACTCTGTTGCAAGATATTCTTGGTTGATGTGAAAATGTTGTTGTTGTTATTGTTGTTGTTATTGTTGTTGTTGTTGTTGTTGTTGCGAGAAATGGATGATGATGTACGATCTGATGACCTGCGTAGCCATGGAGAAAGAGGTAGTGAAGGCGCGGATGGAGTGTTCAGGCCATTATCCTCAACTACTATGGTCTCTTTAAACATGTTGTAGTTTTGTGCACTTAGAGACTGTAGCATCTTCCTCCAAAACAGCTGTGACGACTCGCCAGTCGCGCAGTGAGCCACCAAGAACTTGTTGACAGAGTTGCCAATATCTTCAGCGAATGCGAGGATGTCGCGCTGGAGTGTCTCCTGCTCGCGACGACTGTGCGAATGGTCGGGCAGCACCCACCTGTTGTTCTTCAACTCAATGAGGTTCTTGAGCATGTATCTTGTCTGTGGACGCACGTTGCGATTCTCTGACAGCTGCTGGATGCGTTGGAAGCCGTCGTCGATCGCCTGCTTGATGATGGCGTTGGACTTTTGATTCTGACGAACGTTCTTTTGATGTGTCTCGATCGAGCGTCCAATGATGGTGACTATTATCGCCAGTGATTCGATCTGCACCAGCGTGAACTCATTGTGCTCGGACGTCTGTGACGAGTCCTTCGGCAGGAAGGAAGTGATTGTATCGCGGAAAAAGGTTGCCGACAGAATGTCGAATCGATAGCACTCTGCCAAGAACCTAGATGCGTTAACCACGTTGGCCTTTAGCTCTGCAATATTGTCAACAATATCGCCTGATTGATGTGGTGCGTCGTTCAAAGTGGACTGTAATATAGTGACTTCCAGATTGAACAGTTCGATGAAGATGTTACCCATCGACTACATCATTGAGGAGGAGTGAGTGAGTACGTCATGCCAGCAGTACAGCAGTCGCAGTTAATACTTACAAATGATAGTTTGTTGGAAAAGAGAGGAGATAGCTTGGCGCATATGATGGTGAGGTGGGGAAGGAGGTTGGACTGATTGATGGCCTTTGAAAAGATGTGCTTGGTGATGGTGGTGGCAGACTCGACGTCGCCAATATCATGGCACTTGGCAACGATCTGTTCGGTCAATATTTGATAATTCTCCTTTGTCAACTTATTCAAAGTTCTCAATATTATCGAGTTATCTTCAACAACATTGCTGTTGCCGCCAGCCATATTGCTGTTGCTGTTACTGCCGTCCATATGGATCTGGAATGGTGTTGTATTATGTATTATTGATTGATGACAATGTTAATGTCTGTGTCTGTGATTGATTAATTGATTGATTCAATATAGTGTAACAACAACAAATTATAAATATATATATAAATTATATGTAGATAATATGATTATCAAGTATGAGTGATGATTGGATAGAATGGATTGGATTGAGTGATGATGTTGTTGTTGCTGCCTAATGCCTGGTTGTATGTGTAGAGGTCAAGAAGTGTTAGTTTATATATATTGACTTGCGAACTCGTTGGAACCTCACCTTCCGCGACTACTACTTGTGTAACACTTTGTAGAACCACAAACAACAACAAACAAACAAGAAGAACAACGAACAACCATGACAACTACAACGACATACATCATCCATGTGTCACATCCATCCTCATCCCATCCTTGCTCACCGTCACATGAGATAGAGAACACGACGACACACCTGTCAACTCAAAGGACATGGATGACGAATGGTGGTAGTGGTGTGTTAATGTGTTTATGTGTGTTGTCGGGCAAGCAACAAGTGAGAATGACAATGTGTTGGGTGTGCATCGAATTCGGGAACACTTGCCCTCACTTCCTACATTGCAAGGCGAGATAGATCACCTACACTTTATAGCTTCAGCAGAGATGTAGAGGTAGATGTAGAGGTAGAAGAAAGTTTGTGAAGTAGGCTTAATGTACACTCAATCATTGAAGTTTGTTGGATTTGATTGGAATATATAGATTGAGTTGATGGAATGGAATGAATGAATGTTAAACGATTGTTGGTTGACTTGAATGAATTGAATGCTCATGTTCTTGGGAACACCAACAACAATAACATCACACGAGTGAACATTAAATGAAATGGTGTGTGACCTGTTGTTGTTCAAGTGTGGGGAGGCAAGGGTAGGACCTTGGGTTATTTGAAAAGAAAACTTTCTTCCTTTTTGGGTCTACAGATCCTTGTTGTGTTGTTGGATTGCCAAACAAACACAAGAACAACAAAATACATCGAACAGATGATGGATTAATCTTTACCAATAATAATAATAATAATAGTTTGATTGATTGATTGATTGATGAGATAAAGAGATAAAGAGAATATATATGTTTGTTGTTGTTGTTGTTGGTAGTATGGATGATGGACCTACGCAATGAAAACAACTACAACCCAAAGATGTTGTTGAAGAGATGATGGATGATGACTTGAAGACGGACCGACAAGGTCACTTTGCAAAGGGGATGATGAATGATTGTTTTGTTTGATTGATTGTTTGATTGATTGATTGATGACTACAGTTCACCTACACCACACACACACACATCAATCAACACACTTATTCGGTTCTCCCTCATGATTGACCTAACAAAGGTCACACTTCTTGATCAAGCCAACACACACATACAATCAATCTTTATGGGGTGTGAGTGTGGGGGAAAGAGGGCGGACGAATGAGTAACCTTTGATCCACACATCCATCATCAGTCTTTAATATCCATTCTGCGGCGAACAATTTAAACACATGCTCAATTGATGGGCTGCTGGTCGTGGCCTGCTTGCTAATCAATCAAATCATGTGACTCTGCACACACACTGAACCAAACTTGATTGTGTGTTGTTCCTTGGACACACCAAGCAGTCGTTGGTTGTGTTTCTTCTTCTTCGTCATCCATGCAACCATTCCTCCATCCATTCCATCCAACACAACCATCCGTACATCCCAACTTGAGCGATGTAAGGAGGGCAGAGGTAAGTTGGTCAAGTCTCATGCATGATTGATTGATTGAATGAATGTATGTGTGATGGTTGGTTGGCGGGCAGACACCGACGAGATTGAAGACAGGTTTGATAAAGTCGATCACAAACGATCCGGTTACTATAGTCGTCGTTGCTTGCCTTGTTGCCGCAAGTATTGGGAGCATGCAGGCCCTGCCTGCCTGCCTAGACAGTGGCGGAGGCGGCACCTTGATTTCCGGTCAACTCGACAGTTGCTTGCGAATCTTCTGAAAGAAGTACTTGTTCATTTCAAAGATCAGCCGGACGCCTGCCACCTGTGGGGTCGTACGGGATTGGGAGGTGTTGGTGAGATTGCTTGTCGGCAAGGCATGTGTGTGGTGTGTTGTGGCCGTGGCCCTGCTGCTCAACTCGGGCGGATAGCGTCCGCTAATCAATCCGGTGAGCGCATGTGGGCAGGGTGGCGGTGGGCATAGTTAACCTACCTCGATCAGCGAAAGATCTTGTAGAATGGCGGCCTGCGAGGTTGTCAATGCCTGCCCATTGACAAACAGAGTGTTTTTCCCAATGTTTCTAATCTTAAAGTTGGTATTGGACTTGAGCCTGATCACAAACTTGAGATGTTTGGTTGGTTAATAATGAAGTTAAGTTAAGTTAGGTTTGTGTTGTGATTGATTGATTGATTGTTTGATTGATTGGGTTGGGTTGGTGTTGGGTTAGGTTAGTAAGTCAGTTTCCCAACTCGCTCGCTAGCTGTAGGAGGTGTTTCGGCTTCGGAGTGGGGAGTCAAGCATCCATCCATCCCATAACATCCCATACCAACAACATGTTGGCATAGACATCAATCACCACCTCCATCAACCAGGACTCTGTTCAAGGGTTGGACGACCAAGTCAGGCACAGGAAGGGACCCGTTCAATTTCACATAAGGCGAAATTTCCATCGTGGTGTGTTCCCAAGTGCCCTGATCGTCCAACCCAATGTCCAACATGAGTTGATGTGTGTCCAATCCCATCCCAAAGGAAGGGTCACCTTGTTGTTCAACGTTGGTATAGTTGACGACAACATGAGTCCAATGCGAGCGAGTGTATGTTGTGTGACACATACCTGTTTCTTTGATACCTTGTTGCAGTTACGATCATTCTCCTCCTGTAGGTCAAGATCAATAAGGTTGTTTGGTGATAGACCTCTACCTATTATGATATCCTTGGACTTCATGTAGTATCTAATATTCTCGCCACTATATGTGTGTGTCATAAACAGATGTCAGTCTCATTCAATCAATCAATCACTCACTCGCTCAATCGATCAATCAATCAATCACATACCGTATCAATGCCAATGATTTGAAGTCCCTCTCCTTGTCTGTGTTGTACTCTTTCTCAACCTTTACAATTGACTTTAGGTCTTCCTTCTCCTCCTCCTGATTGTCACTACGCAACATGAACTTTGGTATCCTGTGTCAAGCAGATGATCATTGTTAGTCGAGTCCAGGCCAGCCCATCCCAGGAAGGATCGCAGTGTACTCACTCCATGTATGGATTCAATATAAGATCATTCTCCAACTCATCCACGGACATTGGAGGTATGGCCAATAGTTGTTCCCAACAGTTTGATGCATGGACATCCGAGTCCTGTCGTTCAACATCCTTCTTGTAAAGGAATGAGAACATCCTGTCATATGACGACGATCCATCTTCATCATCCAGGTTCATATGTTGCTCGCCAGCCTTGTCCATGTCAATGCCCTTGTCATTGTCCATGCCATCTGATGATGTCCTTGTCTGCTCCCCATCACTCTTCCTCTTCCTCTCGCCAATGATCGAACCAATTCGCTCCTTCTGGATGTTGAGATACTTGATGTATGGATGGAACTGATTGAGACTGTTTGTGAGGATCTTGCGTCGATAGGCACTCTCAACTTGATCAGTGGTGCGACTGCTGTGGAAGTAGGGTCGGTTCTCCCCATGCAACAACTGTTCGAATGACGCGCGATTCAGGTCGATGGCTGGCAGACTCGCCAATGCCTTGAGCTCCACGTCTGAGATGGGAGGCACACGCGAGTAAACCTTTCTGTCTTTGTCGCCAATGCCATGTATAGCCATCATGCTGGCCGCCTCGTCCGCCGCCTGCTCATTGTACAGTATCTGTCGCCATCGGTCCGAGATCTGCTTGAGTGTGAAGTCGCAGGAGAAGCGGGCGTGTCCGCTGGGCAGTTGGCGCATGCGGCCCGCCTCCTCGTGCAGCAGGGCCAGTGTGGGGAATCGCTGCACCATGTCGATGAGCAGTCTGTCGTCGGCAACAGTCCACTCACCGCGCAACTCCATGTCAGCCTGATGATACTTGATCACGCGATTGTTCATCTTCTCAATCTTCTTGGGAACCTTTGCTGGCTTGGGCATCTTGATATCCATTGGCTGATCACTCTTTAACAACTTTGGCTTGTGTGGCTGCAGCAGTGCAGGCAGCATCCCGACATCAATGTTTGGCGATGGCAGTGACTTGAAGTGCAGAGCATCTAGTTGCTGATGAAAGTTCCGCAGCACCAACTCTTTGTTTACAAACTTTGGCATTGTTGTAGTACTCTGTTTCTGTTGTTGTTGCTTCTGTTGCTGCGGCTGTTGCTGCGGATGTTGTTGTTGTTGCTTGCTCGCCACCAACTTGTTCCATTCAGTGTCTGCGTGTGACTTGACGATCAACTGTGGCGGCACAAGTGCAGAGTGTACGCCATAGTTTGATATCTTTGAGTAGTCCTTTCTTGCTGCTGGTATAGTAGGAGTGGATGGTGTAGGTGTTGTTGGAGTTTGAGTTGGTGTTGGTATTGATGTTGGTGATAGAGTTGTAGTGAATGTAGGTGTTGGTGCATATGATATTGATGACAAAGTCGATGCTGCTGCTGCTGCTGCTGCTGATGCTAATGTAGTTGGTGATGTTGGAGGTACAACAGGTTGTCTATAAGTCTTCTTTGCAGATGGTGTAGGTGAAGGTGGTGGAGGTGATGACGTTGTTGTTACTCTATTATTCGAAGACATCATCATAATATATACATATAGTTATAAGTAAGTATCAAAGGGATACACCCTCTTCATTCATAATGTAATAATGATCAAGTAAATGCGATGAATGAGAACTTGACTTCGTACCCCATCTTTATCAAACTTGTTAATTTATGGGACCAAATGATCATTCTTTCCAAAGAATCGAAAAAATCTGATGGTTTGGGAACCATTCATCCATCCAAAAGATAAATATCTTGCTCTCTCAATGTTGTAATTAATCTTATTATTATCCATTATCTATATATATAATAATGATACAGATAACTAAGTTATATTTGGTGTTGATCGTCATGTCGATTGGCATGCTGGCCGCATGCTCTGCGATCAGAGTAGACCATCAATCATTCGCCAAAGGTGCATCTTCATCAATCAATGGTGATGATGACAGTGCCGATTGGTACTCACTTCTAAACAACTTCCAAGTAGTTCCAGGCAAGAAGTTGCCAGGATCACTTGCCTCTGTAAGTCTGATTGATCACTCATTCACTAAATCAATCAATCATTCACTCGCTGACTCATCATCAATCAATCAATCACAGGGATACTTCAAAGATGAAGCACATCAGGATGGATGGGGAAAGTTAAATGTAGAGACGACAAAGAATTCATCGATACCAGAGGGTATGTCTTATTGGGCCGCAGGATACATGGAGGGCTACTTGTCATGGCACTACATGGCAAACTTCTCGGCCAACTACTTCAACTTGATGTTCAACACGACCGATCCAACTCAGTTCCCACCAGAGGTCACAGAGTTTGTCAATCAGAACTACCAATGGACTGTGGCCACGGCCAACGCATCAGCGTCGAGCGACCCCTACTGGCACCAGGTCAACATGATCATCGAGCAGTTGGACGGTCTGCTCGCCGGCTACAACGCCGCTTGCGCCGCCAACTCACACCCACCCATGACCGCCTACGAAATGCTGTTGGTCAACTTGATTGGCGACATCAACGACATCATCACCGCAACCACCAGCACCGACCTCAGCTTCCAGCCTCAGTCACGCGCTGAGCTCGAGAAGTTCCTTGCCGAGCAGGGACGCTGCTCTGGCCTGATCAAGCTCACACCAGACTACTCTGACCTGTTCGTGTCGCACACGACCTGGGGCTCATACTCCTCCATGCTCAGAATCTACAAGCGCATCAAGATCGACGTGGCCTCAGTCCAGTACGGCAACGAGATGTTGTTCTCGAGCTACCCTGGTGTGCTCGTCTCGGACGACGACTTCTACATGGTGCACCCATCCAAGCTGGTTGTGATCGAGACGACCAACTCAATCGTCAACCAGACATTGTACTCGCTGATCAAGACCGACACGGTTCTCTACTGGATCAGGAACCTCGTGTCCAACCGTCTGTCGGACAATGGCAGCACATGGGTCAACACGATGATGCGCTACAACTCTGGCACCTACAACAACCAATGGATGGTGGTGGACTACAAGCTGTTCACGCCATTCCAGCCACTGCTTCCCAACACACTGTGGATTGTCGAGCAGATGCCCGGCCGCTTCGAGATGGCCGACGTCACCATCATCCTGCAGAACGGCTACTGGTCGTCGTTCAACCGTCCATTCTTCCCCTCGATCTACGAGGCCATGGGCTACGATTACTACGTGCAGCTGTACGGCAACTCAATGTCCTACCAGCTGAACCCACGCGCACTGATCTTCCGTCGCGACCAAAACAACGTACAGTCGCTCACCGACATGATGTCGATCATGACCTACAACGACTGGAGGAGCGATCCTTTCAGCGAGGGATATCCAGGCAATGCCATTGCCTCGCGTTTCGACATCAAGGGTGGTCCCGCCGGTCCAGCCGGCTGGTTCTTCCACGGCACCCATGGTGGTATCGACTCCAAGTTGACCAGCAGTCAACTCGTTGCCAACTTTGAAGCCTACGCTATCTCTGGTCCAACTGTCACTCCAGTATGTATAAAATTTGATTGATTGATTGGGAGGTTGTGGAATCATTCCAAATAACATTATCGATCACTGACACACTCACTCAATCATCATCATTCACAAACACTTAGGACTGTCCACCATTCAAGTGGTCTGATTGGCCTGACATCCCTCATGTTGGTCTGCCAGATGAGTACAACTTTGATTGGGTACACATGAAGCTCTAATCAATACACCAAAGTTTCATTCAATCAACGTTCTATCTTTATTATATAACATTGGTGGCGCTCACTGGACTCATGTATGATTGATGTCGTCATTATTATTTGTTGGATTTATTATAATATTTATTTATATATTTATTTAAATTCCTTTTTGGTCATTCACTTCTAAGTTCACACCTTCATTAATGTTATCGTCTGAATGATTGTGAATCTGTATACAAGAGATAAGTTGAAGGTGTAGTTGTATTTGTCCAACACATGTAAGATGTTAATAAATGAAGTAACTAGTCATCATGGTATCTAACTAACCTCTTTATTACTATGTAGGAAGAGACATGACATCATACAAATTGGAATGGACTCGTTTCATACTCCCATGGTAAAGTCTAGACTTTAAACGCCTTCATTGTATCAATGATCTAACTGTAATATCCTCATCCAGGTGGCCAAGATATACCTATGACTCACAGTTTGATATTCTAGGTATATCACTATGTGATATCAAAATGATGAGTGAGGATGAGGTTACCTGTGTTAACCTAAAGAGTGGTATGGTCATCGACGTGGACTCCAACAATAGGATTGTCGAATTTGAACTAGGTGCAGCATTAGCTTTTACAACCTTTCAACAGGATAGTGAAGTGATCATTGAGTATGTCCGAAGTTCAGACACTCTTTTGATCTATCTTGGAACATATGGTACAGTTCAAACATCTACCCTCCAATGCTGCCCAGAGGAACCATTCCAATCATTATACTCATATTTACTTGACAATCGACAGGCCATCTTAAGAATAGATCGAGCTAGTAGAACTGTGTCCGAATTTCCATTATCCAAGTAGACCAAGTAGACTGTAAATACATTACTTTGATTGTTTAATATTTAATATACTATGACACATTTACCCTCTTATATCAATCTCAGAAAGTGATGGGTCTGGAGTAATGGCCTCACCACTCTTCTCTGAATCCACTTTTGATGGAGACAAGTCGTTCATCTCAATGTTGGTGGCACAGTCTTCCATGTTGGCTTGGTTGGATGAGACTCCCTCGGACGATGCTGTCATGGATACCTTGTTGTCTGATGATGTTGAAGCACCAGTTGCTGAAAAGTTTGTTGAACCAGTATCGTAAGATGTCTTACTCTTATTACCATTCCTCATCTTTGTTGCAATTGACAATGATGACTTTCCATCAGTTGCCAACTCCAACATCCTATACTGGTACATGGCCATTATACATGTTGTAATAATAATAGGTACATGAACTGTGAAATCAATGATCATTAGATTGGTCTAAGTTTGATTGAATATTAGTATGAGTTTTTAGGGGATAGTTCCGAGAGGTTGTATAACTTACCATTGTTCCTCTCTTTAAATAATGGATTACGGGATGTGGGGTCTGAATCAGGAAGTTAAAGCAGATACAGATTGAGGATACAATGGCTACATTTCGACCCTTGTTGTTTGGCAAGTAATATATCACTCTCACCATCAGGTATCCCCATGCCATACCAACAGCAGTGATGAAGCTGTCAACAGTCTAAGTTATGTTATTGAATGTTAGTATGTTTGTAGTCTTGGATTGATCAATTTTTCAAACTTACATGGAACGTGATATTGAAGAACTTGACATATCCTGCCATGTCAGATGTGATTGGCATGTAGTAGAATAGACATGTCATGCATACTATGAATGTTGCCAATCCTAATATTGCCGAATGTAACTTATAATTCTTTGGGGAATACCAATTCTCTGTTCTCAATGGATCTTCAGTTCCATTAGACATCTTCTTTCTCATTATTGCAACTTCATACATCAACATAATTAGATCTAAAATAACCAACGTTAGTATAAATGTACTAATCAATCATTAATCATGATATTTACCAAATTGGAAGTATCCTAGGATGATCGAGCAGACCATGAGAGGCCAATGGAAACAAACCTCCATGATGATCTCACTGTTTCTGGTATCCAATGAACTTGTTTTGATTAGACTATGTGCTGTTGAGTGTGGCCACCAAGAGATGCAAAAGAAGAATATTGCGACCCAACATCCAATCATCCTCTTCTTCAACAACTTGTTCTTTATCCAGAATACCCTAGGACCAACTCCCAAAAAGAATGCTACTCCAACTCCAAATATAAATGTTTCAATAATTGCCAAGAATATACTAATTATTGAATTAATATTAGATTGAATGATTGAATTATTGAAGTGATGGACTGATGAAAGATACTTACGATGCATTCTTTGTTGTTTGAGTCCTGACCATTGGTCTAAGGAATGGTACCTTGCTGTAGAATACATCGGCCTTCTCTCTATATCTCTCTACTACTGTGAAGTTTATTGCCAGTGCTACTGCCCATCCAATCAATGTCAAAAAGGCCAATTGATATCTAAGGTTCAAGATATACTTTTTTATAACTTCTGATGACACCATCTTATCTTTTATATATATATTATTTGTTTTAAGTTAAATCTATTTAGATGATCAAACATATATGACTCACTCTTCAAGTGTAAGTGTTCCACTTCTCTTAGAGATCAAGAGTTTAAAGTCCTCTTCGAAGGACCTAAGATATTTTGTTAAAGGTACCCACACACATTCGGCCACCAATGATCATTTCTGATCACCCACTACCATCTTAATTTGACCCGTAATGAACTAATTTTTATAAAATATCTAAATATCTTTGGGATATTTGTTTAAATCAATCACTGGGGTGGTCATTCTGATCGATGGTTTGGGTGAGTCCTCAAACCTAAGAATGGTTCCAATGGTTTGGAGCCTTGTTCAGGGTACCCGGGATTCGATTTGACACGGTTAATCTTCTCCTTATTTCTGACCTCTGTTTTAATTGAAGAGATAGATAGGTATCTTACGATTCCTTTGAAAGTTCAGGTTCGCTGGGTCAACTTTGTTGATGTGGAAATCCCTGAACCAACTTGGGATTTACATAATCAGCAAAGTTGACCCAGACTTTCTAATATGTCTATAAAAATAGTAGGTTAAAGAATAATTTAAAGGATTTTACTTATTTTTAAGAAAGCTTATGTCATTTGTTCTTTTCCTCAAATAGAGTTCTCATCTTTATGGTCAATCATCTTGTTTTCTTTTAGAATATGGTATTAAGATTGAGGTAGCTGTTGGACCATTTGTAATGAGTTGGTTGGAGTTATTTGAATTGCCACATATGTAGGAGTCCAATTTGGAAGTTGGTATATATATATTTAATATTGATTTTTGTAGACCTAGATTTAATAGTAAAAGGTCTGGAAGTCTAAGAATCTCATCTCTTCCTGTTAGCAAAACTGGTAACAACTCTTGATATTCTCAGTTTAATATATATATAAATTTTTAATAAATCTCTAACTCTCTCCATCATTCATTACCAAGAGTGCTTTATAAATCATAGTGGTTTGGTTAACGAGTATTGGATTCAAATGGAAACCAACGGACGTCAGATTTAAATCTAATAATAATATTATGCGATAGACAAAAATGGATATGAGGTCATATCCTTAAAGGGACCAGTCCAAAGAAAAAGATAATTTGTTGGCTTATTACCTATTAATAATAATAATAATAATAAATTTTAATGAATGATATGGTTATATATGTCCACTCGATTAAGAGTCATCCATTGCTTCGCTACCATTGTTGTTACCACTTCCACTTCCACTACTACTGTTGTTGTTGTTGTTGCTGTTGCTGTTTCCAAATATCATATTATAATATCTAATACCATTGTTGATGAGTACTGGTTTGCATTTGAGTGTTGGCATGATGACGATTAGGATGTTCTCCTCGGTCATCTTTGTGCAGGACTTATTGTCCACTGTCTGCTTCAGAAGGAATAGCAGTGACCTGAATATAGAGTATACAACTGGATCCAAACTATCAAATATGAACTTGTACTCATTGATCTTTTGTTCCTGTGTCTGACTTTGTGCCACTATAACATCCAAACGAATCGTTAGTCAATCATTCAATCAAGTGATCATTCAATCAATCATTCAATAATTAGTTCAATTAGTTCCTTACTTGATACTGTTGTAGCATATTCATCAAGGTCTTGTGGCATGAGTGAGCCTGGTAGCTTACGGAAGAAACTTTTGACCAGGCCTGTGACAGCATGGATGTCGCTTTGAGAAAGGTCTACATCCGCAAAGTTGGTGTTTTGTTCGAATGTGATCTTGAGTGCCTCGATCTCGAGCACGCTGCCAGATACACGGAACAGTCCTTCCTCCTGCAGACCATACTGTTGGATGTGCTCGAAGCACTTGAAGAGTAGGTAGGGCATGGGTAGGTCGACGTTGTGCTTGACCTGGTCGGCCATCAGCACCGACAGCGGCAGTCCAAACAGCGGTCTGGTCTCCACGACCGAAGAGCTCTTTGGTGAGAGGGGTGGGTCACCCGCTAGCGATGAGGGTGTGATGGGCGTGGAGTTGGACGCCTTCTTGAAGTGGCCCTTGTTGAAGCTGTGCGTCAGCTTGGTGCTGTATGACCTGTGCTGATTGCTGTGTTGGCCAGTGACCGATACTTTTGTGGTCGTCCAACACTTGTCGCTCTTTTGAATGGCGTTCTGGATGGTTGCCAGCCAGACGTTGCACTCCTCATCGCTCTCTGCCGATAAGTAGTAAGGCTCCTTGCGCTCGACCTTCCTACCGCCACCGCCTCCATCCGATATCTGTTTGCAACTCTGCAGACCATCATGTATCACCTTGAAGCAGTGCTTCCTAGTCGATGGAGACACACGCTTCACCCTAAAGCTAACATGTAATGGGATCATTCCACATGGGAAGTTGTCCTATGTTTGATTGATTGAGTGTAGTGTGAGTGTGAGTGATTGATTGATTGATAGTGTACAACATGATTGATGACATACACTTGGATGTTGGAAGTAGAACAAACAGTTCTCCTTCAACACAAAGTATCTCTTCTTCCAGATGCGCAGGATATCCTCGCCACGCTTGTAGAGGAATCCTTCTTTGACGGACTTGCCAGAGTTGACTGGCTGCAGACCATAGATACTGAGCGCACGACTCATGATCTTCTCTTTGGTCGTGCTGGACTGCTTCACATGATTGAGATACGTCGCCTTCCAATTCTGCGTCGTATCAAAGATGGAAGCGGGGGTCTGCAGGTGCTGCGTGAATCGCTGCCACAGCGCGTTGCTGCCGGACAGTAGACGCCAGTGGCTGGACACCTGGCCGCACAGTAGCAGCTGCTTGGGCTCCAGGTAGGACAGGATGTAGAGTGACAGGTGGTTCGGCAGCAATGAGAACACATTGTCCTCCTTGACTTGGTTGTCATCGTCATCGTCGTCGGCCTGCTCCAGGTTGGAGTATGAGTTGGATGGTGACAATGGGGCTGGCGTTGGCGATGTCTTTCCTGTCTTGCCCGATGGCGTGACGGGTGTCGCTGCCGCAGCGGTTGCAGCCGATGCCTGTTGCTTGTTGGCAGGGGCATGACCACTCCTCCTATTGCCATTACTGTTGCCGTTGTCTCCAAAGAGTTGTATCTCATCGTGACACTCTTGAAGGAATGATATCTGGGATTGGAGTAACGAGAGGATGTAGTTGGTTTGATCGCTGTCGAGCGGGGGTGTCTGGCGCACGAGAAGCTGGCGGATCTTGACCGCGCCAAACTTGCCGCTGGCACGATCCAGTCCCGCGTCACAATTGATCGATAGACTCTTGAGGAATTGCTCGGCGATGGCCTTGTTCCTGTCGATCACTGGTGAGACGTGCTCCATGGCCGGAGAGAGTGGCGGGGAGTCGGTGCCACTCGCCGAGCTGCCATTCGAGGAGGCGAGGGGTGAGCCGCTGGCAGCGCCCGTCACTGGCTGCGGTGCCTGCGACAAAAGAGGGTTGAGCCCAGCCATTGTCGATCGTCGTGAGGCATTGGCCGACGAGGCCAAGTTGCGCTGTTTCCACAACGTCAGCCCGTTCACCCATTGCAACACAGTCTGTTCGTCCACAGCTCGCCACACCCATTGTCTACGCTGTTGTTGCTGTTGCTGTAGTGGCTGTGGTATAGTCGATGTTATAATGAACTCTAGACGTGTTGTTGTAGACTGTTCAATCTGACAATGTTCAATATGTATAGTCTTGATCTGATAGCCTATTGACAATGGTGTGCCTGATTCGCCAGCCGAGTTTAGTGCACCGGCATGATGATAATACAAACAACCAGAGTCCTGTTGGAACCAACACCATTTCTTCTTATAAGTCTTTGGTCTATTTGGTTCAATCTTCTTTGATGCCGATTGCTTTTGTAAGAATGCCGACAACTATTCATTCATTCATTTCATTGATTCAATCATTTGTCGGACGAGTGAGTATGACGTCGGACTTAACATGAATATCTGTTTGATTGATTGATGATTGAGACATACCGAATCAATATTTGAAGTGATTGTATTCTTTGATGACTTTACCCAAGCAGGCTTGGGTGGTTGAGCATTGAGTGAAGGTGAGTTGGCACTTCCGCTCATTATTATTTCAAAAGTATCTGTCTGTCTTTCTGTCTGTGTCCTGTCAAACAATCAATCAATATATTACTACTACAACAGGTTTAATAAATAAATAAATAAATAAATAATATATAATATGTATATGTATACGTATATGTAGTAATAATATATATTAATCCAAGGACACTCGATAACTAACTAACTAACTCATCGAGGTAAGTGTACCTTTCATTCATTCATTCATACACACACACAGAGTTTGGATATTTTAGTTGGGGGGTTTGGTTGCAGAATCACCCAAACCCATTCAAAGCCAAACAAAGACCAATTATATCCATAATTTGCTTGGTACACCATGATCAATCACCATTTTTCATTAATTAATGACATCATACATCAATCATATATCTATATATCTATCAACATAGATCATCATCAAAGATATATAAGTTATAACTAACAAATATTTATATTTGTTTGAGTGATTGTATGATAGAGATTGATTGATTGATTGATTGATTGATTAATAGATTGATATTATTACAAATAGGATATACATGTACAGACCATTATATCTCTTTGAATAAATGAATGATGGGTGTGCGTTGGCCAAAAGTATCTCTCTAAGAGAGGATCAGTAGTTTTGCGGTGAAGATGTTTGATTTGAAAATCAATGTGCAATCAATCATTCACATAATAATTGTATAAACATCATCCATTTCACCTCATTGATTACAGACATATACATACATACATTGTATAAACATACAGAAAGACACTTTAAGATACAAGATATAGAGAGTGAAGAAGAAGAAGAAGAATGAATGAACTGCCCGATGAGTTTGTTCAGGTGCCCATACCATTGGTTGGTCTAGTTGGAGTGCCAAGTGTACATCAGTTCATTGAGAAGAATGTATCGACAAAGACATTGTCTGACTTTTATAGAGTACATCCTGTATCTCCTGCATTGGTGTCGACAACATCCTCGCAACATCAACAACAACAGCCTTTATCACTTGAACAACAACTTAATAGTGACCTATTGATCACATCACAACAGAAGGATCAACAACAACAACAACCAAGTCCACCATCATTATCAGTAACATCACCATCATCAACATCATCAAATAATGTAACAACATCAACAACAACATCAATGCTTGGAGGATGGAGAGTCCAACCAATCACATTACCTAAACTTAGAGTGGTCACGATGGAGGCTGGCACACTACCACTGAAGAAGGAGAAGCGAATCAATCATTCAGAGACGTTCGTACCACATGGTATACTCAAGGCCAACTGGATACATAAGCACACTGTCACACTGCCCGCCGTCATATCACTCTTCCTTCAATGGCCCGAAGACAAGACACCCAAGGCCCAAGAGGCATTGCTCACTCAAATAGACATTGTCAAGTATGTTAGTTAGATATGATCAACACGGTGTATGTCGATACTAACTTGATGATTATCATTCATACAACAGAGCCAATATCAAGGCAAGGAATGTAAAGTTGATGGTGATCATTGTGACATCGACACCAAACATTGAGATGAATGATGAGCGATTCACAATCATTCGTCGTCGTGCAGATATTGATCCCAAGTACTTCATGTTCTTGAACAAGGTTGAAATCAAAGGTTTCGTCCAAAAGTAAGTCATCTCTGTCTGGCGCGCCAGTCATTTTCCGCGTGTTTCCGTGAGTGTTTCCACGTGGAAACACGGAAACACACATGGAAACACGGAAACACAAACACAGTCATCTAACGCACATTCATTGAATAGATGGGAGAAACTGGCGATGGAACTGTCTGATCAACATTATAAGGAGTGCTCTTCAAAGTCTCAGATATCAAAGTCGACACATCCCTTCCTGCTCATACGCTATCACTTCAAGATTGCTTACTACTCAGAGTTCCGTGTCGACATGAACACATCACTCAAGTACTACTCATTTGCCTACCACTCACTCAAAGACTGCCGACCTGGCAATGACCCTCGTGGCACACGCTTTGCCGAGTTGCGAAGTATTGCCTCTTTCCTCAACTTCAAAGTATGTGTTGTGTCTATCCCATCCTGTCGCGCGTCGCTCACACCTGACACCTTACACTCGTACAGATATGTAAACTATACTTATGGACCAACAACTTGCCAGAGGCTGTGCAACAGTTTGAGAAACACATTCGCTTGTTTAAACATTATCAGGGCCCAAGCGAGAAGGAGTGGACACACAGCGCATTCCTCTCACGCGAGTATCAGATGTTTGCAGAGTTGCTCGAGATGTGCCCGAGCATCAACAAGACATTGTTCAACGCAAACCCAGCATTCTACTATCAGACTGCGGCCAAGTATGTGGAGGACCGCCGAAGGCTGTTCAAGCCAGTTGGCGAGCAGCACAAGAATGCCAAGAACGTGCTCAAGTACAAGGACACGAGACAGCGCCACGACATGGCTCTGCTGCAGTACGTTGGACAGCCGCCACCCGACGTCGCACACCCCTTGGAACAGGTGGCGCGTGCGCCAATTGGCAGCGACGATGGCGACGACGACTTCAATCGCCTGGTGGCCATCGAGTTGTTCCAACTCAATCACTCGAGCATGATCATCGACCTGCTGAACAAGGCGCTGGACCAGGCCAGCCACCACCAGAACCTGCGCATCATGTCCTACGTCGAGTCGTTGATTGCCAACGAACACTTCCAGGCGCAGCGCTACGAGCAGGCTCTGAAGCACTACAACAAGAATGCCATGACCTATCGCAAGGAGAAGTGGTGGACATTGCTCAACTACACGCTCAACATGTGTCTCAAGTGCGTGCACAATCTCAACCTCGTCACCAACTATATTGGCTACGCGATGGACCTTCTCTCGCCCGACCTCACCAGCATCAAGCTTGAGCGATCAGTCATGCAGCAATCACTCTTATACGTGCTCACCGTAAGTCATGTTCGAGCGGAAACAATGTTTGTCGGGTGGCAATCGTACTGACAAGCCTCTCATGTTGCGCCACATCCTTTAGAATCCAACCAAGCTTACACCAAGCATTAGTTTGAACTCATCACTCGATGTTAAAATGGATCACAATCATCCCTTAAGTATGTCAATCCAGTTGGGATCATTCCCCTCCATGCTGAGACTCTAACACTCACTCACTCAATCAATCAATCAATCATATAACAGTCAGCTGCCGTGTTCAATTCCCTCACAGCATTGCATTCACAAACAGCAAGACAGAGATATTCGTGGTGATCGAGACACACTTCCCCAACCCAGTGCGATTCAGTAAGCTCAAGTGTAACTTCTCAGACAGTGCCTATAACAAGATCATTACAGAGTCGCGCTCGATAGTGGACCCAGTGCCACCTAACCTGCGCATCAACGAGGAGCGCATGGACCTGGTGTTCCTGCCAGACGAGTCACGTATCTTCTCCTTCACACTAAACACCAAGGAGAAGACCGAGCTTGAGTGTCTGTCTGTCGAGCTCGAGCTTGGCAACGGACCAAACTGCATCAACTTTTGCTGGAACATCTCTGAATGGGCGATCAAGTCGGACGAGTCTGAGAAGGAGACAATGGACAGCTCGCACTCACACTCCCACGCTCACGCTCAGGCTTCGCATTCAATCGCAAACGCCGCCAACAAGAAGTCGACCAGCACACTGGAAATTGTCAAGCCAGACCCTTACAAGAAGTTCTTGGAGCGTTCATCGATTAGGATCCTGGACCATGAGTCGCTGATCCAGATCAGGTGCAACCACGTGCCACCTGCCATTGTCAATGAGTTCTACGAGATCGAGCTGGAGCTCGTCAACAATGACAAGGAGATCAGCAGGGGCAGCGTGTCCTTTGACCTCCAGCAGCACCAAAACAGCAACTCACACGACAAGGGCATCTACACTGCGCCCAACAAGAGCTCGCCACTTGCCAAGCTCGAGCTGCCGCACATCCCTGAGAAGAAGTCATTCAAGAAGCGCTTCTACATCCACTCGTCGCAGATTGACGAGATCAAGCTGGTGATCAATGTGAGCTACGAGACCAAGGCCAATGAGATCTCTCATGCTTCCAAGATCTTCACTTTCCCTGTGCAGGTCGGCTTCCTGACGCAGTTCCAGTTCTTTAGCGGCAACTTCCAGCTGAGCGACATGTACGACGGAAACATTGTGGCAAAGGAGCCCCTGCTGCTACTGTGCGATATCAGGACCAATCTGCCATTCAACGTCAACATCAAAAAGACAACGTTGGAAATCAACAGCGTGAGCCAGGCTACGCTCAACCCACTCAGTGGCGAGGATGCCGACGGGTCGTCTGTGCCGGTGGGCCAGCTGCTGGCATCGTCCAACCAGAACATGTCATCATGCGAGCTGTCCAAGGACAACAACTACTCTTGCTGGTTCAACCTCATCCCAATGGTCACTGGCGAGTCGCTCAGTCTGGGCACACTCACCATCGAATGGTCACGCAAGGGTGCCGACAAGGTCACGTCGCACCTGCCCATCCCCCTGCCGCACATGAGGATCACGACCAACGCGTTCATCACGCAGGTCAAGGCTCCGGCGTACGGTGTCGTGGGTATGCCCATGTCGCACGTCATCTCGATCCAGAACAACACCAACTTCTTGCAAGAGTTTGACTTGTTGGTGATCAACGCGCCCAGCTTTGGCGGCTGCGACTCGCCCTTTTTATTCTCTGGCGACAAGGTCAGCTCGTTTGCCATCCATCCCGAGTCCATCTATGAGATCAAGCATGTACTAGTTCCCCTGGTGGCAGGCAAGCATCCCCTTCCACACTTTAAGATATCAAGCAAGCGATTCAACAAGGAGCTGCCCAAGACCAAGAATTCCAATGAGTTCCTCTTCATCAAACCAAATCCAAGTTGATCATTCATTCAATCAAATAAAGGGAATCGACAAACCATTATTCATTCATTTTCTCAATTTAGTTGACATGAAGATGTAAGTACATATAGACGATGCGAGTCATAGAGACGCGACACAGATATCCTAACGAACAGCAACAACTACTACTTCGATATCTAGTATACCGACACCACATGAAGAGTTGGTAACCAACTATGAGGTACTCAACTTGTTGAAACACAAGAGAAAGATTAAAGGACAGGCATTGATCAATGAGTTTGTTAGCGATGTCACAAAGTATCTGATGACGACACCAGCCGAGAAGCTGACAGACAAGACTGCTGCAATCACAAAGAATGTTTGCAAGCGTCACAAGCTCACCAAAGCCGAGACACTACAAGTTCTAAACATCGCGCCCTCTTCAGAAGTCGAGATACATCTGGTAAGTTAGTTAGTTGTGCAACAGGGCAGGAGCAACAGTCTGACTGACTCATTCAATCATTCAATCATTCAATCAATCAATAATAACATTTACAACAGATAGTTGAGGAGGCAGAGGAGAGATTAGACCCTGTAGCATTCTTGGAGGAGTTGAAGGCTGCTCTAGGTAGTGCAACCAAGAGAGTCGATGTGTAGGTTAATAAAGGAGGTGCGATCCTATTTATTGTATATAATATATCATCGGGATGTTGGCAAGGCTATAGCTTAGACCTGCGAGCCTTGTACCATCATCACCTCAAGTACATGTATGAATGTCGCGACATTACCTTCTGTTGTATTCCTCGACAGTGATCATGTTCCTCTCTGAATAATGATGACCGTGACTATCTTGAACGACAATCGATCTGACTGGACGTCTCTTCCTCGATGGTTGAACTGACACTATGTAATTATGGTAGTTGTTAGTTAGCAGGTCGTCGACGAGCCTTGAGTGTTGCTAGCATGATTACTTACAGACTTTGCTTGTATTGTCTGGGATAACAATGTCCAAATGGATGTCCTGGTGTATCTCTTGCAATGTCCTTTCCTTTGGCTTGACAACGACTACCTTTTCCTGAATGCCAGAGTTACCATTGACATTGGGCGATGAAGTCTGTGCTGATGACGACGACGACGGTGCATTGTTATGATCTCCAACGACTACGGCCGTTGAACGAGTCTTACGCCTGGCGAATGGATCAAACTCGTTGGTGACCGTCGAAGCCTGCGTGCTCTGTGAGTTCTGCTGCTTGTTCAACGTCTTATTCTTCAGATTGATCTTGACAGCCAAATCGCTCTCTTGCTTCTTTGTCTTTATCGACGTCATCATCTGGTTGTACGAGTCGATCTTCTCAGACACCTCTCTGTACTGCTCGGCCTGTGTCACAGGGTCGAGTGTGTCACGCAGCGACATGGCCACGGCCTTCTCGTAGGCGATGTTCTCGGGCACCTGATTGAGTCGCCTCCTCTCGACGGCACGCTTCTCAATGTCATCGTTGGTGTAGACGTACTCTGAAGCGCGCTTGATGTCGCCAATCTTTGTGGCGATGAACTCGGCTGAAGGCAGTTCCTGGTCGGCGCGCACCATCTCGGTGATCCAACGCTCGTGCTCGCTGGGTGTGATGACGTTGTTGCTGACGTTCTCAATGCTGAACTCCTTCTTGGCGCCCGCGTAGCTGAGTATCAGCACCTTGTCCGTGCGCTTGTTCTCGACGGTGTACTGAGTGCCTTGGCGCACCTTGACGATCTCACCAATACGGTAGATCGGGTTGTTCAGATGCTGACCAATGACGACACGCACCAAGAAGCCAGGTGCGTAACGCTCAAAGTAGGGCTGGTCCACCCACTTGACCAGCATGTTCCTAGAGAGACGCATCTGGTTCAGCGTCTGGAGGTCCAGCTGCTCGAGCTTGCGCTCAATCTCCTTCTTGATGTGGATCTCGCGCTCGCGCTCTATCTCCTTCTTCCTGATCTCCTGCTCGATCTTGCGCTCCTGGTCGATCTTCTTTTGATTCGATTCCTTCTTCTCGCGCTGCTTCTGCTTTAGCTCCTTCAGAGCCTTGCTTGACTTGCTGTCCTCCTTTGTGTCCTTCTCCGAATGACGTCTCGATATATTTACATCTCTCTCCCAATCCCTCTCGCTATCTCTCTCCCTATTACTGCTGCTACTGCCACTACTTGATTTCTTTGTATCTTTATCCTTCTCTCTTGTATCTTTGTCTTTTTGAAAATTGTTAGTTATATGTTTGATTGATTGAATCAATGATACATACTATCTAACTTCTTTAATCTTTGTTGTTGCTCCCATCTCTCCTTCATCTGTCTTCTTCGTTCATATCTTTGTGAGATGATATCTTCTCTCTCAAGCATCGGTAGTTTGGATAGTCTGGCCCTATCTTCATCATTCTCATACATGTCCTCATCATAACCATCATCAAATACCTCTTCTTCAGACTCTGACTCTCTAATGTAATGTGTATATATGTATGAGTGTCAGTAGTCCTTACATATCACCAATCAATCAATCAATCATTCAAACATACTCTTTCCTTCTTGATGATTTAGTTCTTGATGATGAGGATGATGATGAAGTTGATGATCTTGACTTCTTTGATGGTCTCCTCTCTGTTACAGAGAGCAATTGTTCCTCAAGATCATTCTCATCATCACTATTATTCCTCTTTCCTTTTGCCATTATGTTGTATGATGTATATGTATATGTATTATCTGTAGTCAGTCAATGACGACTCTCACACTCAATAACCTTTGACTTCATTCATTTCATTTCAACATCAACTTCATCAAAACACTTCACAAACATCATCTTTTTTCATTTTATTCAACGAACATCATAATATTTGTATACATGTACAGAAGAAGAAATAATATAATACAACATAGAATGTGAAGAAAGAAGAACTTGTACCAGTATGTAAATGTTGAAAGTGAGGAAGATACTTTGACCAAAAATCCCTTTTGATAGGTGTCATGCTCCGATGATAGGATTGCATCGTTGGTCATATCATTGGTTATCGGTTGTAGTGTGAGTGACTGAAGTAGAATGGCCCAAATGTGACATCTTTGACTGGTGAGAATAGTGTTTAGAACAATTAATTGGTGTAGACAGTGTCAAAGACAGGTCCGACAATTCGTACCAGGTCAAAAATATGACGCCTGGTATTAAACATTGGAATGATCCCCATCATTATAACTTGTTACAGTTTGGTGGTGATTGACACGATGTTGGTGTCAAATAAAAAAAACACAAAATATCTCTTTTGTTGTCACTTTGTCCTAAAAACTGATGATGATCGAAACGAATTTTACTCACACACACGCAAACAAACAGACTTAACAATTGCATTGTTGGGCGACACCTTGTGACCCCTCATCACCAATCACCAATCACCAAACCCACTCATTCAATCCAATCCCAACACCAATCAACTAATCAATCAAACATCACTTACTTACTATCTATTCCATCAATCAAATACAAATAATATTCGATCAATCATTCAATCAATCATATAAGGGTTGTTGGAAAGGATGAAGTTTGGAAAGAAGCTTAGATATGAGTGTGTGTCGGAGTGGCGTGCAAAGTATATGGCCTATGGCAAGTTGAAGAAGTGTCTAAGATCACTCTACACATCAAATGGCAAACCACCAAAGAATAAGAACAAGTCTCGTACATTATCAATCTCATTCTTTGGCAGTGGCAGCGGTGGCAATGGCAATAGTAATGGAGATAGCAGTGGCAGTAACAATGGAAGTGGAAGTAACAGTCCAATTATGAATAATAGTATGGACCCGGAGAGACAACCTTTGATATCATCATATCAACATCATCACAATGACTCACTACCAATTGACTTGGCCACACTACCTTCATCAAACGAAGAGAAGGACAAGTTCTTTATATCACGACTGATGGAAGAGTGTGCCATGGTGAACGACTTCTTCCGACTCAAAGAGAATGACATCATTGGACACTACAACAAACTCACCGAGCATGCGTCAATCGTAAGTATCCCCATTGATTGATCAATTGATTGAATGATCGATCACTCACTCAAACAACTTTAGATATTGAAAGAGAAGAATCCAAATCCAAAGTTGTTGAAGAGTATAAGGAGAGCATTTATGGAGATATACCAGGGATTGTCAATGATTGAGAACTATGTAACATTGAATCATATGGGATTCCAGAAGATCCTAAAGAAATTCGACAAGTGTGCATCAAAGATTTACAAGGAGACTACATTGTTGGCAATCGAGAGTGAACCATTCATGGCATCCAATCAATGGAAGAACATGAGGAATGATGTAGAGGTATGTCGTATACATCAATTCCAAAACCATCTCTGGAATCATTCCAATATACTAACATCCACTCACTCAATCAATCAATCAATGATTGGAACTATTCCACTCACTCAATCAATCAGCTCCTGTATTGTAAGATATTTGATATTGACCGTATATCTACGGCCAAACAGAAGCTCAGCCCAAAGTCTAGCTCAAACTCATCGGACTATCATATGATGAAGCTTGGTCTGGCGATTGGTTGTACATTGACATTGCTCACATTGCTCATTGTACTGTTCACCAGTGGACATGTCAATGTACATCCGGACTGGGACCGATTCGTCTCGGTCATACCGGTGTTCCGTGGCGTGGCCCTGCCCATCCTGGCCGTGTGGCTATGGGGCATCAACGTGTGGATCTGGGAGAACCAGCGCGTCAACCACGTGCTCATCTTTGGCCTGGACCCCAGGACGACGGTCTGTCATCGAAGGATCTTCAAGACCGCGTCATTCCTCACGTTCATCTTCCTGGCCACCTACTTCCTATTCTGTGGCACCATCACTGGCAACTTCACACTGGGTGCCATCCCCGCACAGGTCTACCCAATGGCATTGGTCATCTTCTCGCTGTTGGTCATGCTATTCCCCTTACGATTCTTCCATCGCAAGTCACGTCTTGTACTACTCACTACACTTGGCAACGTATTCATCACACCCTTTGGCAGTATCAAGTTCCGTGCACTCTATCTTGGTGATGTCCTAACATCGATGGTCAGGACAATCTTTGACTGGGAGTATACTGCTTGTTACTTTATAACTGGAGACTGGGAGGTCAATGGTATGTAGTTTAGTGTTTGTGTGGAATATTCCAATCACTCAATCAATTGTCTAACATCAATCAATCAATCCAGATGGAAAGAGATGCAATCGTTCGAATCAGATTGCACTTCCAGTGATCTCTGGACTGCCATTGTTATGGCGTATGATGCAATGTATGCTACTATACAGGGAGACACGTAACAAGCTACATCTTGGCAACACTGGCAAATATGCCTTTGGTTTCTGCGTCGTCCTATTCTCCTCACTTGAGGGCAACTACTCGAGTAAGTACCAGTCCCTGGAACTATCCCAATCACTCAATCACTCACACAATCAATCAAACAGGATACCCTGAACCATGGACACCTGGTAGGATAGTATGGTGCGTATTGTTTGTGATGGCTACATTGTATATGTATGTATGGGATGTGTTTGTGGATTGGCGCCTGATGTGGCGCGGATCCCCTCGTCCAATGCTTCGCAAGCATTTGATCTTCAAGAAGTATATGTGGGCCTACTACTACGCCATCATCAGTGACTTGTTCCTGCGCTTTGCCTGGACCCTGACCGTCACACCATTCGTCTTCAACGTGGGCATCAGCAACGAGCTGTTTGTAACGATACTGGCCACGGTGGAGCTCGTGCGTCGATTCACCTGGTCCATCTTCCGTGTGGAGAATGAGCACATCCAGAACTCATTGACGTTCCGTGCTTTTGACATCTCCGAGTCGGACGCGTCGTGGACTAAGGATGTCGCTGAGAAGGACAAGTCGAAGTTGGCCGCAGTCTCTGGTGTGACCAATGTGAATGCCAATCCCGACACTGACTTTGCCTCGAACAATGACAACTGGCAAGAGATATCCAGTCAGTACTATTCCAAGAAGAGCTGGCTGGACAACCTCAAGCAGAAGCTCTTCTCATCCTCCTCCTCGAGATCATCATCAAGCAAACGAGCCAAAGATGAATCCAACGCTGAGGAGATTGATGATTAATCGACTACCGACATAAATACACACTCTGTTACAATCAATCCACATGTCCTGTTGTTGTTGCTGTTGCCGTTGTCTATCTTGCCGCCACCTGGGGGGCAGCATGATGTACTTTATTTCTTCTTCTTTGGTGGAGCTTGTTGCTTTGGTGCTGGTTTCTTGACCTCCTCTGGCTCTTCCTCCTCTGGCTCATCATCCTCATCATCATCCTCTCCATCATCTTCAAAGTCGGCCATATCGAATTGATCCTCATCATCATCGTCATCGGCCAACACACTGAATGGGTCTTGATAAGCATTGATCAACTCCTCGAATGCATCACTGTCTGTATCCTCTGACGATGACAACCAATGCAATATAAAGCTCTCCTTTGATGCATCACCATCACTTGTCTCCTTTCTCTTCTTATCATTACCTTTGCTCTTTTGCTATGATTGATTGATTGAGTTAGTGAATGAGTCTGACGACGCCACCGACATGATCAACATATCTACTTACTGCTGGCTCCTTCTGCTTATAAGTGATCTTTGCTGGAACTACAATCAATTGATCGTCTTCACTGTCGAGCTTCTGCTTGATGGTCAGCGCCAGCTGCTTCTCTGTAAAGTAGTTGTTGTCTTTGAAGTTAAAGACGACGGTCTTGGTGATGGCGTCGTCGGCATAGTCAAAGCTGGCAGAGATCGAGTCGATCAGGTCGACGATCTCCTGGTCCATGGGCTGGAAGTTGGGGATCATGACACGAGTGACGATCGTGCCCCAGAAGCCTGGCACACCGGCCTTGGCAATCATCTCATCACGTGTCTTATAGTTGGCGGCGAGCTGTGCGTTGTACTTCCTCTCGATCACCACCTGTTTCTTTCTCTGCTCCTTTGAGATTGCAGACATCTCGTCCTGTATCTTTTTGATATCATTTATAATAGCTTGATCTTTTTCTGATATCTTTGATGTTGGTGCAGTAGATACTGTTGATGATGATGTTGTTGTAGTTGACATCTTGTATATATATATGTTTATATTGTTTATTTGTATGAACAATAACTTTGAACCCAATTAGACTCGCACTTCATTCGTTTTTTCAATTCATTTCAACCTTACCTTTGCCCTTGCCCTTACCAAAATCATCAACAACAAGAATATGAATAACAAAATCATAACCATATTTATACCATTATACCTATTATCGAATTAATTAATAGACTAGTTAGAAATATAAATAATTATTATGAAGATCAAATCTTCCTCCTCTCTTTTTGAGTAAGTAAGTTGTAATGAATTATTTAGTACTCTCTAAATCTAACAAACTATTTTATTATTATTAGATCTTCATCAATGATTCCTGAAGAGGCAGTTGTTAATGATCGTAGACATCATCATCATCATCATGTAGGAAGATATTCACCACCAGTAGAAACTGACATCTACGACCATGTGTATTAATAATTATGTTAAAATAAATTAATAATTTAATTTATTAATTTAAACTTGGTATACTTGGGGACTATATACAACTGGCTTTGAATCGGTTGTGATTGGTGCTTGACCAGTAGGACTGGATAATGTGTAGTAGAACTCATTGGTTGGTGGAGCATATGATGGTGGAGCATCAAAGTATACTGGTGCCATGTTTGGATTGCTCAACATCTTTGAAGCTACAATAGATTGTTCATAATCTTGTACTCTTGATTGTTGCTCCTTAAGTGTCATTGCAAGACAGAACAATGACTTGATACCAAATATCTGGAGATTGACAACTGTAAAGATAATAAGGAATACCATCCAAGATGAATGATCCGTGAGTACTGAACTAATAATGAATACAGAGATTGTAATTGCAAGTACTACAAGTCCATATATCATATACTATATATAAAATTAATTAGTAATCAAAAAGAATAAAATAGATAATATACCCAGATAACATACATTAATAATCAACATGACATGTTTGATTGACAAGGCATACATTCCAAGTGATATACTGAATACATGGGCAATCAATGCTACGCATATTAATGTAAAGTATTCCTCTGCACCTGCAAGGAAGAATAGACATAGTCCAATAATCTGGGAATTGATAATCGTTTGTTAGTTGAATAAATTTCACCAATGTATCTTGTTAAATGATATATACAAGATGTAGTGAACATAATATGTATCCCCATGCTCTGTTGACTCTAATTGATCTTATGGTTGACTCGTCCAAAGTAGCCAAGAGTCCTTCTCCTACATCATAGTAGTTGACTCCATATTGTGGAAGATTGTTATTGTTGTTGCCCTGTAAGAGAAATGATTTCTCTGTTGGCTCTGTAGTTGGTACAGGTTGATATGTTGTCATTATTATTATCCTATTCTTTGGCTTATCTATATTGTGTTATTATCTGTATACTTGATATTATTATCTCTTGTAAGGTAGAAGTGTATAAGATTGTAAAACAACAAGGTATATACTACTATAAACCAATTATATTATATTATATTATATTATTGTTTACCACCACTATAACAACAACAATGTTTGTGTGTGGTTGTGCTTGTCCATTTAAAGTAATTGCCAATTTGAAACGATTCGTCGTGTGTTGTGTTTGTGGTGTTCGTGGTTGTCTTTGGAATTGAACACAGTTAGTTAGTTCGTGTGTGTTTGAGTAAATGTGTAGTTGGGACATATGCTACGACTTATTCAACTACTATTAAGTTGTATTTGTACAAAGAATAGGACCATGTATAGGGTTAGATATGAGTAATACATTACTCATTCAATGTACCTCTGGAATAGACTCTTCTAACTGGTTAGTGGGTTTTACACATGCCGAGAGAATGAGATAATCATTTACTGACTTCAAGGGTCTAGTGATTGTCATTATTCTTTTTATATTGCCAAGTCCGGTCCAAAGGAATTGCCAAAGCTCAATGTAGATGAAATCTACTAGATCCCAAGTTCCAAAGTATATCAGGGAACAGAAGAGAAAGAATGATAAAAAACAATGTCGGGATAAGGTTTTTGAACCTACTTTTCTCTTTATAGAAGTGGAATTAAATAATTAATAATATATTATTTTTATAATATAGTAGCAAGGTTACAATAAAATCATACTTTTATTGAAATAGATTTAAATTATAATATCAAAAGGTCCAATACAAAGAGGTAATTTCTCAAGTGTAGTTTTTTTTTGGTCATCAAAAAACAAAAGAGAAGATATCAAGTGGGAGGATTGAACTCACGACCTTAGGATTATGAGACCTACGCTCTGCCAACTGAGCTAACCTGATAACAATAAAAGAAACCACTCGTTGCCACGTTGATTTTGTTAAAAAAAGTTAGGTCCTTGAAGGCCTCCAACGGAGCTAACCTGATGACAATGAGGGAAACCAATTTAATGATCATCATTAAATTCTACAACAAAATTAATAAAAACCCACACAAAATATTCACACACCTCACCCCTTTTTAAATTATTCCATTTATTCCTTTGAGCTCTTATTTGGAACAATGTTGGCCAATGAAGGTGATTCATCCACTCTGACATTGATGGTATCACCAGTGTTGGCAGTTGAACATTCCTCCTGTAGTACATCATCATTATCCGGTTTGGCAGGAGATGATGAAGATATTGTAATCATATACGCTCCAGAATGTGCCATTGATGATGTCATTAAACTGTTATGTGATTGATTGCTACTTATGATTGCACCACCATGACTGGAAGAAACCTCGCTAGACTCTCCAGTACCTGTACTGGCCATCATTGATGATGATGACATACTACTATGAGCACTACCTGCCAATGCTGGAACAATAATCTCCATTGGTATCACTTGTGTCTTTGTCCTCTTCTTTGCTCTTTCCACCTCGGTATGCCATCTGATACATTGTATAAATATACCTAGACCTATTGAGATTGTAACCAATCCTACACAGAGTCCCCACCATAGACCAGTGACGCCAAGATGTGCAGGGAATGCCAGCGAAACTGACACTGGAATGGTAATGACGTAGAATGCAATCAAGTTGGAGAGTGCACCAATCTTTACACGTCCAAGTCCACGTACTACACCTTGGAACACTGTTTGAGCTCCATCAAAAACTTGGAACAGAGCTGCAATTGGTAGGATACTACCGGCCATGTTGATTACATCTTCGTTTTGTGTGTAGATCATTCCAATCTTGTAACGAGCAGACACCAACACAATGGCCACAATGATATTGGCAATCATTGCAAGTAACAGAMCCGACCCAGGCCGCACGCCTTGCTCGATGCGCTTGATGACCACCAAGTAGTTGGCCAACTCTAACTGCCACTGCCATTGAAATGCCGGAAGATATTTGATAGGTGATGGTTGTAAAGTTATAACAAACGTTTATGTGCATCCAGACTATGAGTGCTTATTAGTCCAGCCAAGATGGTCAACACTTCAAAGCACCAGCCTTCTGACACATGTTGGAACGTTGCYTGGGATACCAATGGCAAGGTACTCTTTGATGCCCTTGAGTTTGAAACTCTCTCTTGAGAATCCAAACCATGTATCCTTGTGTAATTTGAATACCTTGATATATCCAATCATAAGGAAGAATCCAATTATCCTCTATAGTTCATATATTTAATTGATTGATGTTTGGTCAGGTTAGCCATTGTCAGGATGTGTGTGGTCGATCAATCAATCATATATATATAAAACTTACCGATAAAGATGTGGACAAAGGAGCACCTTTGAATCCCATCCCATGATAACCTCCAACGCCGTAAACTAGGATGAAACTGAATAGGACATTAAGGCCATTGACTGCCAGACCAATATAAATGGATGGCATCATCTTTCCTTGTCCTTGCAGATATTTCTGCATGCAAATGGTCATGTTGTAGAACCATAGACCTGGAATCAGCAGTCTAAGGTTAATTGGTGATGGTTAGTAATCAATCACTATGTATATATCTTTGATCATTTGTAATACTTACAAAGCGTACTCTACTGCCATTCTGGAAATATCATGGTCTTGTCCAACAAGCTTTAGGAAGTGATCGGTAATATACCATAAAATAGCTGAGATGGATTGGGAGTCAGAATAGTACATTGATTGAATGATCGAATGATTACTTACCAATGAATACAGATATAACAGAAGCAATGATGGCTCCTCTTTGTGCAATTAATCCTACAAGTTTATAATTCTCTGTTTGATTGATTGAATGGTTAGTTTGTGTTTGATATAAATATTAATCCTGATCCAACTTACTAGCTCCAAATGATTGACTGAGCAGAGTGTCCATGGCATTGAGAATGCCTATCGCAATGGCACCAGTGGCATAGGTCCATGTGTTGGCCAGGGCAGCGGCGGCAAGCTCACTGCTGGTCTGGGATTGTCCCACAAAGACAAGGTTTACAAATAGGTACAGTACATTGTTGAGTATGTTTGATACAATCAGTGGCCAAGACCATTTGAGAATGAATAGTAGTTCTCCTTTGTTGGCCTCCCATGTGAATTTGGGTGCAGAGTCATCTATTTGTTGGGTAGTTTCAGCGTCCAATCCTCTTGGCCTGCTGTCCAACTCTATATCTTCGCCCATTCTATCTCTATATAAATATAACTAATTACAAAGCTCCAACTATTGTGATGGTAACATGGACGGTATGGTATGTGATTGTTGAGGTAATAGATGAGGTTGATGGTAAGGTGGGAGTTGGTTCTATCAATGAATGATGATGCTATGTGATCGATGATCGAATCGAGTGGACTTTGTTGTTATGTTAGTTGTAGTAGTAGTTATATTAGTGTCTTGATTTGTTGTTGTTTTAGGTATAAGGTTAAGTGAATGAGATGATGAGGTGATGTGAGGCATTGACGATGGACCATCTTGAGCAGGGAAGTAAGGTCGTCACCAAGTATATGTGGGTTGGGCCAGGCCAGGCCACACTCCGGTAACCCTATCTCTTCAACCATCCAGATAAAGAGACAAGCTGTCCTCCTCCTTCTTCTTCTATCTTATTGTTATTGCTATGCGGCGGGTATCAGATTTACGATCCCCCTTGAGGATGGCACTGCCCCATCATCCACCACCAACACACTTTGGTGATTGATCCATCATTTGCCCCTCTGATGGTGGTCCACAACTTTGGGAATCTTCGTAAAGTAATGATGAAGATATTTTCGAAAAGGGTCGAAGAGGAGTATCGCTTCACCATAATTATCTTGAGTGTCTTGATGATGCCAATCAATCGAACAAAGATTGCTGGGCAGTGTTGCTGACTTCGGAGGGGCATTCTTATGCTGAAGTGTGATTGGGGGTTTGTCCGCGTCGACAACAAGTCATTATTCAAGATCAGAACTGAGAAGTACTCCTATTTAGATACAGGTTGTTGGTTGTGCACAAAGAGAGACGTGTTGTTGTTGTCATTTGCAGGATAGTGATGTGGCCTGCAGCATTCCCGAGCCAATCATTTCAGTTCCTTCAAAAGACGAACGTCAGTGGTCAGTGTTCATTGATAAGTGGACACTCGCAGGCGCCCACCGCTTCGCGCATTACCAGCCTTTGTTGGTTCAATGATTCATTCCTCATTTGGTGTTGAATTTGATTGTCGTTCTTGTTGTTGTTGGGCACTTTCAGAGCCTTTGGGATCTTCAAAGTAAGCATGGCAAGTGCCGAATTAACCAAATTACTCTGGTAACTCTAGCCAATTATTAGAGTTGGTGGTATTAAAGTAGTCCTTGACTTGAGGGGACCTCCAATACTATCTACATCATCACATCATTGATTGATGTTCACTGTTCTAGATACACATATCAATGAATGATTTACAATGAGTTTATATCTATTATCTGTTGTTGGTTGTTATATTTGTTCGAATGTCACAATGAGGCTAACATGAATTAATGTTATATTTGATTGACAAGTAAGAATGTAAATGAGCGTGAGTTACAACAACAAGGTCAACACTTCTCCAACTTTCTGTCGTTTTGTCAAGAAGTTGTGTTCGCGCCTGTTTCATTCATTGATTGTGGGTAACGACTTTAAAGAGAGAGGTAGAGTGAGAGTGAAGTTAAGTGATAGTTATACAAATGACAGATGTAGATATGACAGAAAAGTCGACGACGACAACAACAACAACCACATCATCAAGCAATGGCGACAATACCAACAATAACACAGAATCAATGATGGACGACACATCAAACACAAAGAACAACAACTACACCTCAATGATGACAGACGACGATGATGACTATGTTGTAACAGAGATGCCAGTGTATCTATCACAGAACCTTGCGGACAACTTGTTCCTCTTTCAATACCCCTTGCGACAACCATGGCGTCCTTACGACATGTCTAAACTTCAAGAGCTACGCGTCAAACCCAAGCAACAGCGTGTCGAGATGGATCTGGCCATCGAGACCGAGTCCGAGAACTACAACGATCAATCAGAAATCAAACCAGACTCCTACACACTCTCATCCACAACAGTATCACATCGAACCAACTACGCAGTTGGCATTGTTCGCAATGGTATGTACTCTTAGAACTAGTATCTTGGCTTGCATATGTACTGACTTGATTTGACCTTCAGACGAACTACACTTGACACCTCTTCAATCAATCATTCAACTGAGACCTCACTTCAAGACTGTGGATGATCTGTATCAAGAGGAGAAGGCAGAGAAGAAACGAACTGCGATGGAGAGTGGTGAAGTGGATGAGGACGAAGAGAACAAGCAACAGCCAATCGTAAGCATCTGGACATCATGGTTCATATTATGTGTCAACCTACTAATCCAATCGATCAATCAAACACGACAGTCATATAGAAAGCCAACAGCCAAGCAAGCGGCGGCATTGCCAGGCACAATGCTCAAGAAGATGGAGGATGAAGAGCAATGGATAAAGTTGGATTTGGTTGACGACTCTGTATGTTTGTCGATGAATGATTGAATGAATGAGTGAGCGAGCAAGGACTAACACAACACAAACACAACTACCATCAGTCCAATGAGAGTACAATCCAGAATGTTAGCAAACTGATGGCACCTGAAACAAAGGAGATACCATTCGATTTGGATCGCTTTCAATACCTGGATCTGTTGTGTCCGAGGATACCAGAGGAGTGGGTTCCAAAGGCAAGTCATCTGCAAGAGACAGTGTCATTGGAAGCTATACATCAGATGCCTTGGGCCAACCAGGTGAAGCAGATATTGATCAATGGCAGCATCCAACCATTCTCCAAGATATATCAGTTGCTGGGCGACAACACTGTGAGCGAGTTTGACGTCGTTCAGGAGCTGGACAACATTGCCGTGCTACTCAAGGGTCGATGGGTGATCAAGAGCGACGTGATCCACAAGGAGTCCAACATGATCATCGCGCGCAACTACCTGATACACCTGTTCTTTGAGCAGGAGTTTGTCAACCGCAAGGAGTTTGCCGAGCGCACGCATCTCTCGCCCGAGGAGTCGCGAGAGATGATCTCCAAGATCGCCAACATCAATCACACGGTCAGGCAATGGTATCTCAAGCAGCAGCCCGACGAGGACTTTTTGCATCGCTTCCCATTGATCGCCGACAAGCACGAGTACAATCTGCGCGACCAAAAGGAACAGACATTGGCAGCACTCGACGATATTATGGACCCGTCAAAGAACCCGCTGTTGGACATTATGACGCGTGGCATTATGGATGCGGGACATGGCAGCAAGTTGATCAATGTCAAGGCGTCTCAAATGGCCATGGACAATGGCGGCGTGGAGGCCACCTCACTGTCCTCAATACCCGAAGACTTTACTGTTGGCAAGACACTAGACCAGCAACTACTATTCTTCCTGTACAATCTGCTCAAGCAACATGGTGTCTGCAACATTCAATTTATCAAACAACGTCTTGCCCTAAAGGGAGGTGAAGGTAAATGTTATTTGGGAATGGTTCCATTCAATCAATCAATTCGACTAACAATCCAATCCAATCAATCAACATCACAGAGATACCAAACAACTTGTTGAAGGACTTTGAAAATGACAAGGCGATCAATGATTCACTCAATCTGATAGCGGACAAGGCACATCATGCTTATTTCTTGAAGTCATCGGGCAATGCCAATATCGACAAGTATCGCAGGGTCGTCATTGACTTGTTCAAGAAGAAGATGATCTTGAAGCGTACTGATATCACCGATTCCTGTCAACAAGTGCTTGGCGAAGACATTCCAGCATCATTCCGAACGACGATCCTCAGTGAACTTGCCTATCTCTCAAAGAACAGTGCATGGGTGTTCAAGGCTGGCAACTAGTTAGTCAATAATATCAAGATCATTGATTGATTGATTGGCCACTGGATCATTCCATTTCCATTTCTTGTGTCGCACCAATCATTCCATTTCCATTTCTCATACGCACCAATCATGATCAATCAGTGTTCCCAAACACTTTGGCACCTTTTTTTTTTGAGCATAGCAAGGTTAGGGAGTCGTAGATCGTGTACGAAGGGCACGCCTTTCCCAAAAGTTGTGATGAATCATTCATCAGTCCGCCAGCTCGCTGTAGGATGCCCATTCCCACCATCGTGCTTTGCTTCATTAAGTGTGTTGACATCAAGTTAAAACACTACCCCCGCTTTGACTAATGTGTTTCAAACCCTTTCCCACCTCGACACAAATAGTCAATTCCTCTCACTCTCCAACTCACTTCACTCATTACATTACACATTCATACATCCTTATTATTATTTGTATACATATATTTATATTGTTGTAATTGTATATTATATATATATATATATAGGCTTGATTGACACTGACGAAAGATATAGTTAAACAGAGGACATAGGAGACAGAGAAGAAAGGACAAGAGATAAATTATAATAATATAATATATATATTGGAGGTATAGAACAGGATGTCTCGTTCATTCTGTATAAATGGCACCATGCCAACTGATCCTGCACAGTTTGAGGATATATTGGTACATATGGATGGCCTTGCAATTGCATTGGGAATTGGTTTGGCATTGGGTGGAGTAGCTTCAACATTGCCACAACACTATAAGATTATCAAGAGCAAGTCTGCTGCAGGTCTGAGTCCAATATGGTTATTACTAGGCAACATAAATCAATTCTCCGCCGTTGTCAATGCATGTATGTATTACCTTGCATCTCAACTCACTTCCTCAAGTGAATAATATTAACCTTAAACAACATTATTAGTTATACTAAAGTATCCGCAAATAGACGCTTGTTCAAAGTTGGGCTTTGCTAAATGCGCACCATCACTCTTGGCCTTCTTCCAACTCGCTTCACTCTGGCTATTCACATTCCCAATGTATGTTGGTGCACAAACAAGACAGACATGCATGCCAGGACGCTAACAAACCATGCGACGACTCTTTCAGATTCATGCTGTACATACTATTCACTCCATATGATCTACGACGTATATTCCTTGCTGGTGGCGATTTGAAGAACGCACGCCGCGAGTACAAGGCTGGCAAGGTATTCTTTTTGTTCTTGATATTGTTCCTCATTGCCATCCCAATTGCAATGGCTGCGCTTCTGTATCGCTATGGTCCATGTCGTCACACAACTTATATCTTTGGCTACGGCATGGGCATTCTCTCAACCGTTATCACCTTTGTTCAATGGTCTCCACAGATTTACAAGACATTCAGGGCAAAGGTATGTGTTATATCATTGTGCAGCGTGCTGTGCTCTTGGACATTAATCATTCATACTAACATTCATGTAATTACAGAAAGTAGGAACATTATCAATTGCAATGATGTGTATACAGTGTCCAGGAACGATCCTGACTATCTACTTTATGGTGTTTGTGTCGCACGAGAGTGTCTCGACATGGCTATCCTATCTTAGTGCAGCGCTTCAAATGGCGGTATTGTTAACTCTTTTGTTCTACTATCGTCACAAGAACAAGAAGGCATCGGCCATCATCAATGAGACTGGTGACAACTTCTCTGACGACTCTCAGGCATCATTCACCAATTATCTTGCAGCGACAGAGGATTCTCAACCACTTCTGAAACGACCAGAACAATCCTAGGATGAACTAGGTAACAACAGCAACTACAACAACGTTGTGTGTTGTTAATGTATATGTCGACGCGTCTATCCCCCCTCAACCTTAGCTCGTCTGCGAGGCGTGGCTAAGGTCACTCTCATTCAACAACAACACTGGTGCAAGCGAATCGCGATCACTTGATCAGTGACCATTCATTCATTCAATCATTCAGTCAGTCAGTCAGTCATTCATTCTCTATAACTCCGAAGTAAACTCTGTTATTCAATGTAAGAGGGAAGACACAATGCTGTATTCATGTCTTGAAAAGGAAGTACTCGTCTTGTGCTTATTCCAAAGATGGGGGTTGTGGGGTGTTGAGTGGGGTCAATCATATGAGTTGACGAACTTGATGAACTGAATTTATGCATGTTCACACTTCAGTTTAATTTACCAATCAAACCAAACAAAGACAAAGAAAGAAAGAAAGAGATAGATAGATAGAAAATGAAGATAGTTGGACTGATAAGTGGAGGCAAGGATTCGATTTATAACTTGATCGAATGTATTAGGAATGGACATGAGGTGGTGGCACTGGCTCATCTATCTCCTCCAAAGTCAGATCATGAGGAGATGGACAGTTACATGTACCAAACAGTTGGACATAATGTAATTGAGATGATTGCACAGGCCATGGAGTTGCCTCTTACACAGGGCACGATAAGTGGCAAGCCAAACTCACAAGAGGAGATCTATCGTATCAACCGTGATGATGAAGTAGAGGACTTGTTCCGACTCCTCAGCGATGTAAAGGCCAAGCATCCAGAGGTGACAGGTGTGGCCAGTGGCGCCATCCTATCAACCTACCAACGTATCCGTGTAGAGAATGTGTAAGTAAAGGTCTAATGATTTTGTTATCTGATCACGTGATCACGTTAATCTGATCCCGTGACTTACTCTAAATTCGCCATAGTTGTTCAAGATTGGGCCTTACCAGCTTCTGTTACCTTTGGAAACGAGATCAGGATGAACTATTACAAGAGATGATCAAGTCAAAGATGAATGCAATCATTATAAAGGTTGCTTCTATGGGTTTGGAACCATCAAAGCATCTTCTAAAGACAATTGAGCAACTCTATCCTACTCTCAAGAAGTTGAACCAGCAGTATGGCGTCAACATATGTGGCGAGGGTGGTGAATACGAGTCACTAGTACTCGACTGTCCAATCTTCAAGAAGAGAATCCAATTGTAAGTTGACCTAGATATATCCCAAGTTGACTGACTGACTGACCACTCTCCTCCCATCAGAGACGAGACCAAGGTCAAGATACACTCAGATGATGCATTTTCGCAGGTGGCATTTGTGTCGATCATCAAGTCATCACTCGTGGACAAGTCAGCTGAGGAGTTGGCAGAGTGTGCAAAGGAGCAACTACAACCTTATGATGCTTGGAGATCATTGGCAACATGGAGCGATCATTTCAGCTTTGATACTACTCCAGTATCAGCTTTGGAGCCATTCAAACCAAACATTCATCAGTTGAGTCAGTCGTCCACATCATCATCATCACCCGCAGGACTACTTGCAGCGTATGGCTCACTTGAGTTGCGCGAGTCGTCCAGAGGTTACTTCACAGTTCGATCACACTCGGGATGTAGTACTACCTCAGCCGCCTCGAGTAATGCTGGTGAGGTACTCTCATCAATCTTGGACAATCTAAACAAATTGTTGAGTGACAATAGCTTGTCTTTGGAGCACCTGCTGTTTGTAAACTTGTACTTGGCCGACATCAATGACTTTGGTGCGATCAATCAGGCATACTTTAAGCACTTCAAGGACAATCCAGCTGCTAGAGCATGTGTCCAAGTAGGCCTCCAGCATCCTGGCCAGCGAGTGATGCTGGATGTCGTCGGAAACAGACAGACCAAGAAGAGTCTACATGTCCAATCAATCTCCAACTGGGCGCCAGCATGTATTGGACCATACTCGCAGGCTACACACTGCAATCAAACATTGTTCCTTGCTGGTCAGGTCGGCCTTGAGCCATCCAGTCTACAACTAGTGCCCAAGGGAGTAGAGTGCGAGCTACAGCAGATCATCATTAACCTGGCTAGCGTGCTCCAAGCTTTGGGAGACAACAGTCTAAAGTCTACTTTGCAGGTGGTGGCCTTGCTCAAAGAAATCAAGTGGTCCAACCTCGTCCAATTCTATCTGGAGAATGTGTTCCGTGACAACAGGGTCAAGCCATTGCTGTTGGTAGCCGAGGTCGGCGCGATGCCCAAGGGCGCCAACGTGGAGCTGTTGCTCCTGAACGAGACAACAGAGCAGGTGTCTGAGTTTGGCCACTTTGCCACCGAGAAGAACTTCCACGACGCAGTCAAGGGATTGTCCACGGGCTACAGCCACATTGTCAGCAACCCTGGACAAACATCACTGATGAACTTCCATCTGTCTATCGATGTGGATGACAGCAGCACTATATCAGCCAGTCAGGTCGCCGCCTACTTTGCCGCATCACTTAAAGATGTCCTCTTGGCCGAAGTCAGTGCGCCCCTAATCAATCATATTCAATCCAGTATCGTCTACATCAAGATCTATTATATCCGAACAATATCCACCCTTGACACTGGTATGTATCTATTATGATTGATCGTTATATTCCACTCACTCACTAGAATCATTCCAATCACTCAATCTTAATCTTTTAGAATTATTCAACAAGTTGTCAGAGGCATTGGAAGGAGTTTCTATCAGCTTTGTTCCAGTGAATCATCTGTTCATCAATGGTGGATCACCAAACATTGTGATCAACTCTGAAGTGTTCATCTCCCGACTCTCCACTTCATCATTATCATAAACTTAACGTTTTAACTCAATGAGCAATGAATAAGAGTCTTTGAGAAGCCTCGGAATCATTGTATGTTTATTATTTATCATCGTCTTCATCATCAATTGGATCGGATTCCACGAGCTCGTCCATCTGTTCAAAGTTCTTCCTTTGATTGTGGTAGGCATGTGAGACAACAATGGCAGTGACTGTGTCATTAGATCTGCGACGGCGGACACTTCGGCCAACGAACTGGCTGAACAGGACAGAGGAGGAGACAGAGCGAAGGATGCCGACTACACTGACCTCATTGTGGTCGAAACCTTCTCTCGCTTTTCCACACACAACGAGGTAGGTTGAGCCCTTTTTGTGACGGAAGTAATCGAAGCCGTCATTACTGGTTTGACCGTGGAAGGCAACAGCGGCAATCTCAGGTTGGAACATTTTGTTGATCTCACTGACCACAGTGTCGACCTCCGAGACGAGGCCGCACAAGATCATTGCCTGGTGCTTGAATGAGGTATCAATCTTGTCGTGCTCCATAAGAATGGAACTAATCTTATTGACTACTAGAGTGATTCGGGTAACTTCATCATCGTTATCCTTCTTGTTGCCAACCTCCCTGAACTCCAAGGGACGCAATGTTCCAGCGGCGACAGCATCCTCACGCAAAAGTTGGTAGGCGGTATAACGAGAAAGTTGTTCCTCCATTGATTTACCAACAATATTTTTGCCTCTGTGGTATGGAGTTGCGGTGAAGAATACCTTCTTGCATCCAACTTTGAAGTGGTCGATGATTCTCTTCCAGGTATGAGCCGGATAGTGATGCGCTTCGTCAACCATCACAAGGTCAAAGAGGTCTTTAGGTATGGCCTCGATATCCACGGTGGACGTAGCCCCAAACTTGTGCGCATTTGCCACCACAAGATAGTGTTTCTGTAAGAGTCTCACTGGGTCACTCGGTAGTGACTTGACAACCTTCAGACAGTTCTCCATTATCTTGGTTGCGTCGCCAGGATTTGAGCAAAAGCCAGTGCGCTCATAGAATGACTGGCCTCTCTCGCCGCACATGTCGCCATGAATTTGGTTGGTGATTATTATCGAGGGAGTGATGATGAGAACTCTGGTGGAATTTAGAATATAAGGCGTGAATGCCGCAACTCCTGATTTGCCTCCACCAGTTGGAATGACTACCAATGCGATGTCCGGACGATCTGCTCTATCGAAATGTTTCACGAGATTCTTGAGAGCATTGACCTGGGCATCATAAAGGTGATTGGTAATATCTTTATGTCATCCACATCAACTTCATAGTTATTATAAAATGTATCGTTCATTCATTCATTCATTCATTCGACCAGCTGATGAATGGAGGTCTCTGGTCCACCTTGAGTTCATTAATGTATTGGAATAGTTCTTGATGTTTACCATGATGAGCATTGCGTAGTATCACACGGTGGTCATCGCTATAACGGTCTGGACATGCGGCCCAGAGGTAGGCAACCATTTCCAGATCACCATTCAGTGCTGCAGTGTACATACCAAGAGCACTACAACCTTCTGTCCTATTGTTGAGTAGGAAACGGACCACTTCTAGATGTCCATTCTCAGCCGCAACTGTACATGCCAGTCTACGACAGTCCTCTGTTCGATTGGAATGTAGGTACTTGACCATTTCCAAATGTCCATTGGTCGCAGCCCACTCCTTCGCATTCCGAGTGCAACCCTCAGTTCGATGATGATGTAGGAAGTCAACGATTGCTAATTGGCCATTGGACGATGCATAGTCCATCGCAAGGGTTGTGCACCCTTCTGATCGGTGCTCATGGAGGAATCTAACGATTGATTCGTGGCCATACCTTGCAGCAAAGTCCATCGCATTTGAGGTGCATCCCTCAGTCCTGTTGTAATGTAAGAACTCGACCAAGTTGTCATGTCCATTACGTGCGGCCATGTCCATTGCATATGTTGTGCAGCCCTCTGTTCGATTGAAGTGCAAGTACCTAACAACTTGTTCATGACCATTGGCAGCAGCCCAGTCCATTGCATCAGTAGTGCATCCATCAGTCCTCTCACTACCGAGGTATTCCACAACTTTAAAGTGTCCATTGGCTGCAGCCAAGTCCATAGCACTCCTTGTGCAGTACTCAGGTTGGACACGAGACAAGTGTTGCACTGCATCGAGAAGACCATGTTGGGCAGCGTGTTGAATGGCCATGTGAGTCCATCCTTCAGTCCTATTGTCTTGAAGGTATTGAACGATTGGATATGATGCGGCGTAGTCAATGGCGTTGGTTGTTGCACTACCATGTAATGAATGTACATATTGTACTAAACCAAGTCTACCAATATTGGCCATCACATCAATGATTGGTAACACACTGAACAAGTCAGGGTAATGTCTTTCAACATACTTTATCAAATATTCATGTCCTTTATACAATCTAAAAGGTACACAATTGATATATGATAAGTATTTAGGTGTTATTATTACTCTGCTGTCATCATCATTTTCATTGTCATCATAATAAGTGCATATTGATGCAATCCATTTATCAACAAGTTCTCCCCAGTTCAATATATCTGTCTTCTTTATCTTTATCTTGTACTTATTATTATTATTGATGCAACACCTCTTATAATGTATTAAACGGACATTATAGAATATAATACGATATATATATCTATTATTAATTATATGTTTGAATGGTGTATCTGTATCTGTATCTGTTTCCATATTTTGAATTGTGATTTGAATGATGTGTGGCGAAGAGGCAAAATGAAATCTAGATTTTGTAGACAGACCCACACAAAACCAGAGACATACTTAGATTTGCCCCCTCAAAGCTTATCACGCCATTCGTTTGATTGACCTATCTTTAAAATCTAACTACCTCGTTAATCTCTAATAATTATCATTTGCACAAACAATACATACTCATACATACACACTTACACATAGACATACAATAACTTATTATTATTTGTACTAATATTTCTTTGTATTATATTTATATATATTAATATTACTTTATATTTGCTTGATCATTTGCAGAGTCCTCGCCCGACATTCATTTACTCATTCATTCATTTCATTCATACATTATTAATAATAATATTAAGAAAGTGATGGATCTGATAGATATTGATAATGATGATAATGATCAAACAAAGTCTTTAGTAGCACTGAACTTAATACATTCAATAACAACGAGTACAGCACCTTCAACAACAAATAACAATAATAATGGAAAGGTCGATGCCGACGTCGACCCTCAAACATATCTAACACTCTTTCTCTCGAAGGAGACATTGTATCAATCGAACACTCTACCATTGCTCGTACACACTATAAAGGTAATGCCTGCCCAGTCAGTGAGGTACATGTAGTCACTCCCTCGCTCAATTACTGACACACATTCAAACATTATAGAATCAACTTGTATCAACAATTAATCAATTGGATACATTTCTTGTTGCCATTGACAGACATCAGAAGGAATCAAAGAAGGAGGACGATGTATCTAGTCAAACACATACAGATCAACTTGATCAATGGAACCAACTACTCGAACAACTCAAGAGTGAGCAACTTACATCCTCAAACATCTATTTAACAATCCCCAACTCAACATCATCATCATCATCATCGACATCATCAACATCATCAACATCATCAAAGTCCTTAAAGACTCCAACAAACTTGAAATCAACATTAACAACTGCACTTGCAACCTCTGCCATCTCACCAGACTTGGTGATGAACACTACATCAACATCAACATCAACTGAGTTGGCACCGCCACTCTCACCAACATCTTCATCAACATCGTCACCCTTCACAAATGGTATACTATTTCCATCCTCCTCATTGGTGCACAAGGCATTGCCCCTGCCACCACTGTCTCCAAACACTGGCACTGGCAGTAGTCTAAGGGTCGGTGGCATCAATGATCGCAAAATGATGTCCAGCTCATGGACCTCATCAAAACCTTCTGGCTCGGTGATGATCGCCGGCTCATCATTCAGGGAGGAGCATGCTTTGGCCAAGTCAACCAGATTCTTCATGACCAACAGGTCGGACAACAACAGCAGCACCAACACGTCGGCACCAGTCGATGTCAGTGTAAGCCCATCAACATCATCAAGTCAATCAACTCCATCAACATCACCTCAAAACAACAATGATTATAAGGTCGCCACTGCCGCCACGGTCGAGACGACATCGACATCAACATCAACTACATCAACGACAACAACAACAACAGAATCATCATCATCTGATCAAACGACACCAACCAAGCAACAACAATTTATAGCCAAGAGGAAGGTACTCAAATCATTCATTTACAACAAGTTGGACTATGACCATTGCGACTCGAGATATGACGACGACTCGGACGAAGCCGAGATACCATTTGGCCAAACATCATGGGATACCAACGTCATTGTTCTGCTGCCATGTCGGCATCATCTCAAGGTGCCCGGCTCGGCACACTCCACGATCGAATCAATCCGACACCTGGCCTACGCCAGCGCCAAGATGCAAGGACATCGCATCACCACCGACCTGGACTCTTACATATTTCACTGGAACAACATTGAGATCATCTTTGACAAGGACATTCCGATACGCGACCTCGTCCAATACTCGCCGACGCGCGTCATCAATCTTCACTTGGAGCTGGTCGAGAAGGACAACTTGTGCAAGGAGCGATTGATTGACGTACAGTCCAGCGAGATCAATGGCGGCCACGCCTACTGGAAGACACACATCGAGGAGATCATGGGCTTCAACAACAAGATCAAGAGACTGGCGAGCATTGCGTGTGACCCGCAACCGATCGAGAATGCACGCCTCACCCCCTACCCGCCGCCACCAACCATCCCCGAGTTCTTTGTGATCAAGGTGCACTTTAGGAATCAGACCAAGTCGCTGCGATGCACCAGGAATCACACGGCCGAGACACTGATGGAGATCGTGTCGGAGAAGGTCAAGAAGACATTCGCGTTCGATCCGACCAAGTGGCGCTTCCTACTCACAGGCATCCATCAGTATATCGCGCCCAAAGTACCGCTGCTCTCGGTCGACTATGTGGTCGAGCGCATCAAGCGCTCGGGAGAGATTGAGTTGACCATGGTGGAGATGTCATCGATTGGTCTCGAGCAAGACATTCCAAGTTTGAACTTGAACAGCAGCATCAGCACAGGACGTAGAAGTGCCGGACTCAACAACAAGGCATCACCAATCATCGATATAATATTCGCACGACCGAGCGCCGTGCCCAGCAAGGCCAGGAAGATCACAAATGTTGGCACATCTAGCATGTCACCCGACCAATCGCCAGTGGTCTCGGCATTGATCGCCGACAACTTGATACTGAGCGACATTGATCAGAGCACGACGGCCTCGGCCTTGGACGTCAAGGAGCATTTCAAGGTCAGAATACTTCATGCGCACGACATTGACTCCTCGCTGCCGCGCCAATGCTTTGGCACGGATCCCAGCAACATTGTCGTGTACATGGAGGTTGGAATATACTTTGGCGGTGAGCTGCTTGGCCCAATGGCAACAAGCTCCTCGGTGGCCTTCCAGGACACGGTCGTGTGGAACGATTGGCTCACCATTCCCATCCCCATCTCCATGATACCCAAGGGCGCAAGGATATGCTTCTCGCTCAACGCCAAGTACAAGGACCAACACATGCATCTGGGTTGGGTCGGCCATCGACTCTACGACTCGATCAACATCTTCAACACGTCTACACCCTACTCCATGCTGCTCTGGCATGGCAAGGTCAACCCGATTGGCACATGCGTCGACAACCTTCAGTCCAAGTACCAGGCCGTCATCATTGCCTTTGAATTCTATGACTATGTGTCGCCGCTCAACATACACTATCCCAATCTTCTCACACTGGAACCAACCGACACGAGTGCTTTAGTGACGGTCACGCCCGATCAAGAGGAGCGAATCAACGTCATCAACAAACAGGACCCATTGTATCAGCTGTGCGAAGAGGAAAGGGTCCTGCTGTGGAACAGCCGGTACTATTGCCAGACCGTGCCCAACACCCTCCCCAAGCTGTTGCAATCACTACAGTGGACCAACCCATCGCACGTTGCCGAGATCTTCCGCCTTTTGCGCAACTGGCCACTCATGTCGCCCGTCGACGCTCTCGAGCTGCTCGACCCCAAGTTTGCCGACTGCGTCGAGATTAGAGAGTACGTGGTCAAATGTCTGGACGCCATCACTGACTATGAGCTCGACCTCTACATGCTCCAGCTGGTGCAGGCACTCAAGCACGACGTCTTCCACGGATCTGTGCTCAGTCTGTTCCTCCTGGGACGTGTGTTCCAGAACACTGCCGTGTTGGCGCACTCATTCTTTTGGCATCTCAAGGCCGACAGCGACAACCCAGAGGTGTGTGAGCGATTCCGTCTATTGATCTCGTCGCTCCTGCGATACAAGCCACACTTGTCCGAGACGTTCAAGCAGCAGATCCAGGCACTCAAAGTGTTTGAGCATCTGGCCAAGCAGGTAAAGGACATCCCCTACGAGAAGAGACGTAACTTTATCGAGGAGTATCTCAAGGAGGACAGGCCGGCCATCAACAACCTCTGTCTGCCATTCGACCCGAGTATTCGCGTCACAGATGTCATTCCAGACAAGTGCAAGGCAATGGATTCGGCAAAGGTGCCCCTGTGGATATCGTACAAGAATGCCGACAGCTTTGCTCATTCATTCCAGATGATTGTCAAGACTGGAGATGATCTCAGACAGGACATTCTTACACTGCAGCTACTCAAACTCATGGATCACATGTGGAAGTCTGAAGGACTTGATCTTCACATGACCATCTATCGATGTATCGCCACAGGACTTGGTTCAGGATTGATCGAAGTAGTCAACAATGCAGAGACTGCTGCTCGTATCCAAGCCGTAAGTTTGATTTGATTGATTGGCTATGGAGATTGAACTAACAACCCGTCCATGATATATACAGAGCGCAGGTGGAATGACTGGTGTATTCAAACAAACACCAATAGCTAATTGGTTAAAGAATCATAACTTGACAGAGAATAACTATCAGAAGGCTGTTACAAAGTTCACTTTGTCTTGTGCTGGATACTGTGTGGCAACATATGTTCTGGGCATTGGAGACAGACACAATGATAATATAATGGTCGATAAGTTTGGCCATCTGTTCCACATTGACTTTGGACACTTCCTTGGCAACTTCAAGACATTTGCAGGCTTCCAGCGAGAGAAGGCGCCTTTTGTCCTCACGCCCGACTTTGTCTACGTCATTGGCAACAAGGACTCGCCCAACTTTGACTTCTTTGTACAGACCTGCTGCAAAGCCTACAACATCCTGAGAAGGAAGGCCAATATCTTTTTCAACATGTTTGAGCTGATGCTCTCCACTGGCATCCCAGAGCTACGAAGCGAGAGCGATATATTGTACTTGCGAGACAAGTTTAGATTGGACCTTAGCGACCAGGAGGCATCAGATCGATTCACCAAGCTCATTCACGAGAGTATCAACACATTGACAACACAGATCAACTTTGCCATTCATATTATGGCTCATCGAAAGGCGATTGGCGATGACAGGAAGTCAGATACCAATGCTCGATAAACAATCATGTTGATGTTCATGTTCTTGTAGATACTTTGGAAACAGATACACCTTTATTCATTCATTCATTCAGGTGCGGAGAAAGTACCGTTGGCGAATTCGATATGGCCTTATCTTGCTTGAAATAACTTATTGGGCTGGCAAGTTGGCTTGGTCGGCAGTGGCGTACTTTTGCATGCCAGTGAAGAACTGCTCCTTGCCAACGTTGGGGTTGACATGGATCTCCTTAAGCTGTTGGGTCTTGGCAGGTTGCTGCTGGACAGCGGGTGCGGCGGCCTTCTTGCCCTTCTTTCCCTTCTTCTTCTTGGACTTCTTCTTCTCTTGTTGGGGTGAGGAGTCCATCTTCTTCTCCTCCATCATTGGACTCTTGACCTCGAGATTGTCACAGGCATCGGCGTCGCATTTTGATGACTCCATGATTGGACTCTTGTCCATTGATATTTCCTTGGAGGCTGGTGAACCGGTAGTGTTGAAATCCTTCATCAGCTCATTGCTGTAATGTTCATAACCTTGCACCTTTCCACAGTTGTGGACAGAGTATTCCTTCTTCTCACTGATAGTCGAAGTGTAGACAACAGATCCATTTGGATGTTCCTGTGCCACCATTGGCACCTGGACACTTGTCAAATTATGTTGACCTCTTACAACTTGGAAATCGTCCATTATATTATGTATATCGTTTATATTTATAAGATAATAAGAAAGTAAAATAAGTATTAAGTAAATAGAAATAAGATTGTAAGTTAAATGATGTACTTAACAAAGTTGTTAGTCTATAGACAACATATATGTATGTGTGTATGTCCTATCTTGGACATGAATGTACTCGCCTGTTTCACCAGGACCATAATCCATTATCCATTGTCCACACTCGATTCATTGACATACACTGCTACACACACACACACACACAGCACAGCACAACACAACCACACGGATTATTCGAATGACCTGATAAGGTACCTTCCTTATTAGTTATACAATACATGAATCATCATTATCTATATTCATACAAATATATATATAAAGTGTTTACAAAGGAAATAGTACTATGACAATACTGGAAGCTCAACAACTAATTGAGTAATGTACCTTAAAGTTCAATTTCCCGTGATCTTGAAACAAACCATATTAGGAGTGTGAGGTATTACTGACATTCATATGTGAATGTATTTATATGTTGGGAATTCTGATCGTATAATCTATGTGGAGTGGTCAGGTGATAATGATTGATTCTCCACAATCACTACACTTTCCCTCACACACACCCATTCCTCCTTCTGTGTATGAGTGATTGAATGAATGAAAGAATGATGGATGTGTGTGATTAGGTTACCAATCAACCAACCAAACACTGAGTTGAAATTAATACTTCACTTGAACACAAGTGTTTGTTCTCTGTTGTTGATCACATTCGTTATTCATACGAATTCTTGTTATATTGTGAATAACATTAATAATATATATATATATATAAATATTCTAATTTATGAAGTTACCTTTATATTTAATATTACTACTTGTAGTTGTAGTTGTGGTGACCAACTCTCAATCATTAAGAGATAATAATCCAGACTATTGTATTAGAGAGAGTGTTAGAGAATCATGTACAGTAACAAATCCAGCTCCATTCGATAAAGTAGATGATATAGATATAATAGATGTATATCATCTAGAGGCTCCAATATTTGAATCAGTCTATGGTGATTTCTTTGGAAGATTACATGGATTCCATTCTGCAATTGGTTTCTTTGACAGGACTACTGGAAACAACTACACAGCAGAGTATGATGCTTTCTATGAAGTTGGTAATGGTACATTCCCAAATATAATAGAAGTCAATGGTACCAAAGAGATCATATGGTGTAATGCTGGAAATGTATGCTCATATCCATTCATCAACACTTCATATTGGAGTCCAGAAGTGTTCCATACAGCTTCAATGACCTTGATGACAAGGATCAATGGAAGTGTATTCAATAAGTTCAATCAATGGATGATCAGCTATAATACAACAAACGCAAGTAAGTACTTTCAATATTATAAATATTAATATTTCCCGAACTTTAACTAATATTCAAACATTTAATAGTATATCAAACATGGGATGTTTGGACCGCCTTTGGAAAGAATCACTTTGTTGGCTCCAATACTTGTGATGACTTTGTTGTCCAAGGTCTTCAATTCCTTGCCAGTATGTATTCATGCTCATTCATCTTACGTACTTTCGCTAACAATCAACTTCTCCTCAATAGCCCAAGGTGCTGTATATAATTGCTCTACTCTATTCAAGAGGGACTACCTTAATGTTTACTCTGATAAGCCAGTACCAGTGGACTTTGAATTGGAAAAGAATGATATTATGAAGTATTATGAAGCATTATACTTCTTCAAAGGTCAATCAATCATAGAGATAATCGAACAACTATTCTCTGTGGTTGAACTCAAGAAGTATATCTACATCCAAGGAAGCTATTATCATCTGAATCTCAGATTCCCCTATGTAGACATCCGTTATGAATTGGCACCAGTCCCCAATTGCCCCTTTCCATATCCCTACGTTCGTGTAGGTGGAGACGAAGAATAAGTCAAGCGCCGAGCATCATCAAACTTGTTATAATAATAATCAATCAATCAATTTAATCAATTATTATATTATTATATCTTATCGTCATCGTCTACATGTTCAACCTGTCCCTCTTCGATGGCATTGAGCAATGAGGCAGACACCTCTGCACCAGGTGATGTTGGTTGTTGGCTGTAGTAGGGTATGGTGAACACTTTGATCTTCAAATGATCACATAGTTGATGAGTAGTAAAATAGGCAAACAAAAGGAATTGGACACATGCCAAAGCAAACATGCACCAGAGTAATGGTAACTCACTGATTGAATGTACACTATATTCAAGATGGGAATGATTGGTATGATGGACATGGATGGTAAATGAATTGAATACATACCCTCCTCTAATAAGAATAGAATTGAATACACATAGTGCCAATGGTATCAATATTGGATAGAACATCTTGCAGTCATCATGGCAAACTCTTTGAGTAATGAACCTTGACTGGATTATTGAATTGTGACAACTTGGAGTTAATATAAATGTTTCCAATGTCTATATGTTAACATACCTGTAGATAACCGAATATTATACCAATGGTCATAATGAATAGATGAGGTTGGGACTCTAGCATTGCACTGGTTGAAGCCCATATAATGATGAGAACGAAGAAGATTGTGAATGGTGTCAGTTGCATCAAGCACTTTGTGAATGGCATCCTGTTTGGTAACTTGAATGTGTTGTGGACACTAGATTGATTGATAGAGTGAATGATAAGTATGAATGGAAGAGTAATGGATTAAAAGTCATAACTACGTACTTTGTATAGATGGAGTATATGGCGGCCAGTGCCATCAATATGATCAGTATATTTCCAAGAGTAAAGTTGGTTGGACCAACGGTCCAAATGTCGGAAGTGAAGATGCCAGTGATGAGTTCAATGATGATGAACAATACCTGTGCTTCAGTTGGACCGTTGAACTCTCCAAGCACTAGAATACCAGCATGGTACTCCTCCCAATGTGCTAAATAGAATGGCCAGAATCCAATAATACAACTAACAAATGCCCAAATAGGTCCAACTCTAATAGTACCTGACATTACAATAGCAAACATCTTTGATTGTTTGAGTAAGTTAGTGAATGAGTGAACGTGTTGGACTTGGACTCGTCTGTATCTGTACATACAGCTACACTTAGTGCATCACAACAATGATCGAACAACTCGCCTAGAGGTGATGATGACTTGGTTCGACGGGCTTGCTTGCCATCAATATTGTCCAATGTTTGATAGGCGAATATCAGAAGAGCAATGATAAAGTATGGCCATCTCGGAGCAGCCTCTGTAAGTGTTGGAAACATAAAGTATGCTATCAAGTACATTCCAATATTGCAGAACAATCCAAATAATGTTATCAAGTTTGGACTAAAGATACGCGGTACATGTCAGAGATACCATTCATTCAATCAAACATAATGATCAAACATACGCTAACCATATTGGAGTGAGTCGTTCAACACCAAAGTTCCACCAATGCTTGAGGAAGTGCTTGGCACAGAAAGAGTTGTCGACACCCGAGTAGGAGTAGTGCTCGAGGTTGGCAATGCCCTTGTCTGTGATGTAGCGGAAGTAAGACTGCATCTCTTGGTATGTTGGCAATCCCTGACGATTCAGTAAGTCGCCTAACGTCAAGTTGTCACCTGCTCCTCTCGGACCTTGTGACGCCTTTTGATTGTTGCTTATAAGTCTCCTAATTTTGTTATCTCTTGTTTATGGTTCACCAAGTTGTTGTGACCTGTTGCTGTTTATGTTGTTGTTTATGTTGCTACTATTGTCAAGATAATGCTTATTATGAATACAAATAAGAAGAAGATTGATATTTGGGATGGGGAGACTTATATTATCTTATCTTATTCAATGTGTGTGTGCATGGATTAATGAATGAATGAATGAATGCAGGGCAATGTAATGTATTCGTTTTGAACAAGCAAGTTCCCACACTACCACACCTACGCACCAGGATGTCGCGAACTGAACGATGTCATGTGGTTTGCGGGGTTACATCGTCCTTAGACAATCAAGATGGACTTGTTGTTGGGGCAAGACTTCATTTTCAAAAAAATAATAGTTTCTCTTGAGACCAACTTAGAATCAGATAATTCTCACATATGATGAATGTTGAAAGAAATAAAAGTTTATCCTTGACATTTTGGTTGGTCGGTTGGAAATAATGAAGTACTTTATTTCTTAGAAATTGATTGTTGTAACTTCCAACATTGTTATTGATCACAAGTGATCTATATTGGGTTCTATTTTGTACATATTCATAGGGATAGAATGTCAAAGTGTAAGAAGACTAAATTAGATACAGATACGACTACTCCTAAGAGTAGTGTACCAAATGACAACCAGAGATCATTGATCAATGACAACTCATTAATGTGGACAAAGATATTAAAGGAGATAGTTACATTGGAGACACAAATAATATATTTACAATCAAATAATAATAATAATAATAATGATCAATCACCTTATATGATTGAACATAACAATCAAACACTATCCAATAACATTAAACAACTACGTACCAGACTAATTGAGTACAATAACTATATAAAGGTAAGTGAACAAGTGCATTGTTTGATTGATGAATAGTCATATTTATCATACTAACATAACAATAATAACAACAGATAATGTATCCAAGTCCTAAATGAATGGTATTTATTAAATAAATGTATATATCTGTATTATGTATCTGTATGTCCCTTATTATATCTCTGTTGTTGTTCAACGGAATACTCTTCCGAATGGTTCATTACCGTATGGATATTGCGGTTGAATTGATCCGTCAATGTTGGAATGTGCATTGGTATCTAGTAGTCGATGGTTTTGACCTCCGACTGCTTCCTTGCACTCGATACACTGTCCAACTTGCATGGCACCTCCACATTCACCAATATAGTACACATGTCCGTTGGGACATTTGAACCAATGGCCTGCTGTGAAGGCATCACTGTTGACCACCGAGTCGATCTCCTCCTTGGTGATCATCTCGCGAATCTTTGTCTTGATCTTCTCGACGTACTCCCATCGCTTGTTCAGTACGTCCTTGTAGCGAATGTTCTGTGGGTAGATGGTGGCCTTGCAGCATGGACAACTCTTGACTCCAATTGACTCTTGGAGCTCGGGCTCCATGTTCATGTATGTGTCAAGGTTGTCAACCTCCAACACCGTCTTGCAGTTGCAGTAGAGCTTGTAGAACTTGTCCTCCGGGTCGTGCTCGTCCAGGGTCATCTGACTGATTGGCTCCAGTGACTTGGGTTCGCAGACGCGACAGAGAAGTGGACATCTCTCGCCACACAGCCCAATGCATTGATGCTTGCACTTGAGTATCTTGGTGCAGCGTTTGTTACAGGGTCCAATGTCACACACCTCATGGCAGAGCTTGGTGCAGCCTCGTTGATGTTCGCAGGCCACTCGCGCACACTTCATCTTGCATGGCAAGCATGGAGCATTGCAGACCTTGCCACACTTGGAGTGTGGACAGCGATTGGTGCACTGCTTGGTGCATGGCTTGCATGGCTGTGAGCAGTCGTGTGGCTTGCACGAGTGTCCACATATGAGTATCCTGTCGCATTGTTTGTGGCAAGTCGGATGCTGTTTGACTCCATTGACAAAGGTATGCTCCTTGCACTTGATGTTGCACATGTGTCCACAGGGCAGCATGTCCTTGCACTTGATGTGGCACGCGGTGGTCTTCTCAAAGCACTTAGCCTTGAGCGAGTGGCCACATGGCAGCGGACGCTGAACATCCACTTGGCACTTTGCCTGAGTACATGTCTTGCCACATATATCGGCGCAAAGATGTCCACAGTCTGGTCGAAGCTTACGACATGGGATTTGGCACACGACCATGATTACGGGCTCTGAACACCTCTTGGTGGCGCGATGACCGCAACCCGGTAGGAAGCATTGAACTTGCTCTTCACATGGCTTACACGTTCCACGATGACACCATTGAGTGCATTGATGGTCGCAGTCAACGAATGGCTTGTCACATCGTTGAGTGCACACGACGGTCTTGTGCTCAGGGTCATCAAAGTGGCAGCACTTTGGACATTGATGTCCACAGGGGTCTAACTGGGTCTCACAGCGCTGTCCACAACCGCCCTCTGGTACCTTGTCAAAGTCCGATGCGCTGGACACCTCTACAACGTGGTCCTGATGGTTTTCACACTTGAGCCTCAAAGATGGTCCAATGAGCTTGTCCACCTTGAGCAACTCTATGAGATTGGTCCACAAGTCGTGGGCCTTGGTCAACTGTGCTGAGTTGCCCACGATGAACATGGCATTCCTGGCTCTCGACAGCGACACATTGATTCGATTGCTGATCGAGAGGAAGCCACTAGAGTTGGTCAGGTTGGACCTGACCAAGGACAGTATGATGATGTCCTTCTCCTCGCCCTGGAACTGATCCACTGTGCGGAGGGTCAGCCCGTCCTTTAGTCTCGGGTTCTTGAGATCGTTCACCTTCTGTCTGATCTTGAGCAGTTGTCCAGTGTAGGGCGTGAGGATGGCAATGGACGATGCTGGATACATGTTCTTGACCAGGTAGTCCACGAGTCTGGCAACTAGGTTGGCCTCGAACGGGTTTGTCTTGCTTGCATTCCTCTCGTTGGTGGTCTCTGGCTGGCGATGATCCAAAAAGAAGACATTGGACCCAATGCCCTTGATCTTAACGTGCTCGCTCATCAGTGAGCGCTCGACCACTGACGAATGGTTCTGTAGGTCGGGATAGATGGGCTTGATGAATCGCGAGATGTTGGGCACCATACGTCTCTGAATCGAGAGTGTCTTGCAACCCATGCCATTGTTGACGATACGCTCAAACAGTGAGATGGACATCTTGTACTTGCTGGCCAGCACGTACACCTGGTTGGAGGGACGCAGCTGCTTGTGGTCTCCAATCATGATCAAGTGTTCGACGGTCTTGGGCAGGATGGCAATCACATGGGACTCGAGCACCTCGGCTGCCTCCTCTATGATCACTACCTTGGACTGCAGTGACTCTAACACATGCTTGAGTCGGCTGGCGCCAGTGGTAGTGGCGGCCACTACATCAGCACGCATCAAAGCATTGGCGTAGGATTGGTCCTCATGCTGAAGGATCTGTCTCGTGAGGTCCTGGTACATTTTCTTGTACATAATTATCTGGTCCAGATGCCTGTTGATGTAGAGCTGCTGCCAATGTCGATAGAGCTGTACTCTCTGTGGGATATCGAGTGCAAAGATGTTATCCACGTCGTGGAAGTCGTCTGAGGGTTGACCGAGCACCCACATCTGGAAGCTGATATCAATATCCTCGATCTCCTTGACATCCCTGTCATCGTCCATCTGACGCTCTTGGACTCTCTCGCGAACAACTTCCTCGTCCTCATCACTGTCCTCACCGCCTTCTTCATTCTTCTTCTGTTGCTCACTGGCTTGATCCTGAGCCTTGATCACCTCCCTGATGGACTTTATCCATTCCTTGTAAGATACACTGCCTCTATAGTTCAATGCATCATAGTGATCTTCCAAGGCCACCTTCTTGATCAGATCATTATCCAGTGGTTTTATGAGTGCTTGTAGAGATAGTAAGGGTAAGTATGTGAATGAATGAGTATTGTTGTTGTGCTTACCCTTGAGTGTACGCTTGATCAACTCCACAGTGTCCTTCCTCTCTTCAAACCTCTGGCGTCGACCGTAGCTCCTGTCAAGCTTGTTTCTGATGTTGTATTTCTCAAGTGATGGATCACGACTCCTTGATCCAAGTCTAATCACATTGTCTGTGATGGGCAGGATACCTTTGATGAACTGATCGAGCGCATGGTTCGTGTAACAAATGATGAGTATTGGTGTTCGGACCTCATCCTCGATGGACTGAATGTGTCTGTAGATTAGCTGGAACAGCTTTAGACCGAGGAATGTCTTGCCGGTGCCTGGTGGGCCTTGTACCAACGAGATCTCTGACCTCAAACAATGCTTCATGGCCTCCAACTGTGATGCATCCAAGTTGTCGAGAGCTGTGGGGAATGACAGAGTCACATTGTGAATGGGTCGTGGATCAATGTCCTCAAAGGTTTGTCTAAAGTCCATCTCTGGACGTATGCTGAGGTAGACGGGTGGCTCGCAGTCCATCTTGCAGTCCAACAAGTAGTCCTTGAAAGGCAGAGTATCTTGATTGATCTTCTTGAGTGCATGTAGTACATTCTTGTAGGCTTCAAAGTATGATGGAGACTCAATCATCATGAATGTATGAGTGAAGAGGTGCGTAGGATCAGCTTCATTCTCATGATCGAGCAGTGATATTGTGATCATTTGTTTGGTGCCCTCCATTGGTCTCTCCTCGACCACGCCCCATATTATTGTCTTGAATCGATCGTGGCTAAGACCAACCAGTGATCCCTTGAGCAAACTCGATGTCTTTCTCCAATCAAACCTCTTCCTGGCGGTCGCTTCAAAGCTAATGTTGTAGCAGAATGATGAGAATGTACATGATATGGCTGTATATGATTGTTGTTAGATATATGATTGATCGATTGATCGATCATCAGACTTAACTTACATGTGAACTTGACATTCTTGAAGAAGTACTTGGAGTTCTCACCATTCCTAAAGTCGCGGAGTGCCTCTCGCATTGGGTGGATCATGTCCTCGCGAAGGAGATTGAAATGTGTATCCAAGTACTCCTCGACATTGTCATAGACACCCTCTTTGAGCTTCCTGAGTGGTGGCAGTCTGTCTGTCTCTAGGTCTGCGGGAATAGGGTATACTGGGAGTACATGGTATCTGTAAGGGAGGCTGACAATGTCATTGGACTCTGCCTCATTGATCACAATCTTTTGTAACTTGATCTTCTTCAACAATCTCTCAATGTACTGGTCCTTGGGATACATGGATGTCTTCCAACTGATCTCAAACAGCTCCAAAGGGATGTTTCCATAACTGTTGGTGAATCTATGATGATTGATTGATCGTTAGTGATTGAATGAATTATTGATCGATGATGTTGGCTGGACTTACTTCTGAGTGATGTGAGCAAACACAGTGATGCAGTTCTTCATGACGGTGAGGTCGTGCGTGAAGAAGAGCGAGCGGAAGAAATCAGCCAAGTTGGAGTACTTGTTCATGAATTGAGAGTTCATGAGTCGGAAGTACATCTGGTTACTGGTCTGTGAGAGCAGTGAGTTGGCGACGATGTCCATTGCAAAGAGTTCCAGGATCAGCTTGATGGTGGACGACTCCAGACGATCTCGTTGTGGATTGTTGAGAATATCCTCGAACTGGATCTCCTTCATTGGTTTCTCAAACTCTGACATCACTTCCTTATCACCTGATCTGAACCTCTCGATTATCTTGTTCAAGAACTGATCGATGCCCCTTGTACTGTTGAAAGGTTCGTACTCATCCTTGATTTTCTTGAGCTTTGCTTGTCTCTTCTCAACAGCCGACTCCTTTGGAACATCATCAATATTGTCATTATTGTTATTGTTATTGTTGTTGTTGTTGTTGTTGTTGTTGTTGTTGTTGTTGTTGTTGCCAACAAGTCTGGAATGATTCCTGCTGTTGTTGTTATTGTTGTTGTTGTTGTTGCCCCTGCTGTTGGACTTGATCAGCTGTGAACGACGCTTCTCAAATGTCTTCCTCTTGCCGATGGTGTCCAGACCTAGACCTTCATAGTCTTCAGAGCCAATGTCAAACAATGTGTTTCCATTGATCTCATTGTCTATGAATGCCTTACTAACAACCTTCAACTCTGGTATCGTGTTCAACCAATTGGCCACCATATCAATCGTCCATTCCTTTGGATTTGGCGAGTTGCCCTTGGGAAACTCTACTTCTGGCTGTCTAGCCACTTGTGTCTGTGGTTCATCCCTTTGTTGTTGTTGTTGTTGTTGTTGTGATCCACTACCACCTTTGTTGTTATTATCTGTTCAATCAATCGATCTTTATCAGTATTGTCCTTGACCTGTACTATGGAATGACAATACATACCATGTGAATAGTTACATTGGTCGCCCTTCAAGCATCTACCCTTCTTCCAGAACTCACACTCCTTTCTGAAAGTTTGGCCTGATGACCTATTTCCACCATCCCTATCATCCCTTCCTCCTGAGTTCCTATTGCCATTCCTATCATTATTCCTTCCATTATTATAGTAATTATTGTTGTTGTTATTGTTGTTGTTGTTGTTGTTGTTATTGTAGTTCTTGTTCCTGTTGTTGTTGTTGTTGAACTTGTAATTGTTATTGTTATTGGACTTGTCTTGCCCACCTTGCTTCGTAGATGTTGTTGATGTTGTTGATGTTGTTGATGTTGTTGATGTAGTTGATGTAGTTGATGTTGATTTTAGTCCGTAGATTGTAGCATCATTGTCATCATCATCACTACCATCACTACTGCTGTCACTGACGAATGAGAAGTTCTTTATGACTTGTCCAGTCGTATTTGTACCTCTAAATGTCGTTGGTAACTTCACAGAGTTTGATATTGGCGATGTGAACGTCGGTGACTCTGCATCATCAAACGTGAAATTATCTTCTTCCTGGTCTTCCATTGTTTGTCTATTTATCTCAAACACACGCTCCTTGTCAATCAGATTGGAGTATGTCTATGAGTAATAAGTAATAAGTAATAAAGTATTAATATATATTAAAGATTATATTTAATCTGAGTTGATATGAATCCATGGATGAGTATAAGTACTGGATGGTACCTGAAAGTCGATCCAACTACAACACCTCATAGTTCATTCCACCTTTTTTCACAGACAACATACCTTTGGATTGATTGATTGAGTTGAGTATGAGTAACTCTTTGTATATATATATAAGTATGAATGAATGAGTAAAAGTGATGAATGATTGATGGTTGAGTGTAGGTAGGTCTCAACACTTTAATAAATATCCCTTGAAGGTTGTACCGATTGATGGTCGCGAGAGTGAGTGGCTTGCCCATTCTTCCGTCAAAGTAGTGGAAAACTCATAAGTGTGCGATGATTGTTCCACAGCATGCCTTCTGAATGCAATCACTCATCAATATAGTCCCTCACGCCCTATCAATCAATCAATCAATCAATCACTTAAGTGAACTACCTGTCAACATGTTATGATACTTATATATTATTTCGGGTTTATTGTTGTTGCTGCTGCTGCTCCTGTTGCTGCTTGGTCACAGTGCTGTTCTTGTTGACTTCATCGAGAGGGATGGGAGCGATGACCTGACGGAACATAGACTCGGGGAAGACGTAGGGCACAACACCAAACTCTTTGAGGTGTGCCTTCTTCTTGGTGAATCCCTTCCTGGTGGACCTCTTGCCCTTGTAGAATGAGGTGTATGAGTACTCGAATGGCATCGCAATGATCTTGGTCTTGGTCGACTTTATAGTGTTGGCAATGTCCAAATCATCCATATTGATTCTATATTCTGGTGTTATTGTTTTATATGTTTGTGTTGTTGTTGATTTGTTTGAGTCATTCTCTTCAGTTGTCTCTGTTGAAGAGTATTGTCTGATTGAACCATTTCTATACAATATATTGCTGCTGTTGATGCTGCTGATGTTGCCAATGCGACCATTCAATGATAATGATCTTATAGATTGATTAATGAATCCTGTTCTCAACATTGTTGTTGTTGTTGTTTGTTATTATATATGTTACAATCACAAACTGTTGTATATATATATAATTATGATGTATCTGTGTAATGTAATACTTAAGTGTTTCTTTCGTCTTCGCTTTGTACATGCTTCATCAAAAAAGTTGTTCAATCGCAAAAATAATTCAAAAAAAAGACACTTGAGTGAGGCCTACACAATTAGTAACTTAGAGTAATACATGTACATAATAGAGTAATAATTAGTAGTAGTAGTATATACCAAAGACATAAAGAGAATAAGAGTTGATTTGGAAGTATATTCTAATTATTTCTTTTTTTGTTTTAGAATCTGATGGAAGTTCAAAAGGATGAACAATTCTTGAACTTGTGAGAAGTGGTTTGATTGATTTAGAGTGCGTGGTCAACCACTTTACTCTCATTCATCCATCCAATATCAATCATTGTAAATAGAGAGAGAGATAATGTGCACATAGAGGGTACTATCATACACCTTCACTTCATATTCATTATAATTATAATATCAACAATCATCATTTAATATTTACAAATATTTATTATTTTAAGTTAACTTAAAACAAACAAACAAACATGTATACATCATATTTAAATAATGATAAGCCACAACAACAACAACAACAACTTAATAATAATAATAATCATATGTTGACATCAACAATGTTTGAAGGATTGGAGAGATCAGTTGTTGATAACTATGATCCAACTGATAAGTTAATGGATGCTTTTGAACTATATGATATAACATCGGGAATTGTTATTGAATGTGATCCTTCAAAGCCTGTACATTATGAGCGATCAATCCGTTGGGATAGTACAATAGACAATGGACCAATTTCCGACAAGTTAATACTAGGTGTAAATGTAGAGTCTAAATCCAGCCTTTTACAACCTGATCCCGCAGCAGGACTCAACAAGACAAACACATTCCTATCACCTCGCCTTATAACCGCAACGAATATCAATTCCAATTCCTATACACCAGCTGATCAACTGACTCAGCCAATACCTGTAAATAATACATCCGCGGAACAAACAACAACAACATCAACAACAAAAACAACTACATCTACATCTGCTGCCGCATCGTCATTGAACTCCTCAGTCATCAATCCACAACCGATCCTTGTGGAATGCAAGGATATGGACCCATCTTCCAGCACAAACCAATTGCAACCCTACGTCATTGAGACCTTCCCGATAAACTGTAACAAGTTCTATCGCGCAATCATAGACTCTAGCTTCTGGGGCAAGGTCAGCACCGAGATGGGATTCTATGGTATGTACACATGCACATGCACCTCCTTAAAGTCGGTTATGACTTGGACCTAACAACCAACTCCATCAAACTCAGATATGAATGAAGGCGGTTGGACAACATCGCCAACAGGCTGTCATCAAGAGAGAGAATTAAACTTTAAGACACCAATCTCGTTCAAGATTGGACCAAAGGTGGCCAGTGTGTGCCAAAAGCAGCGCATAAGACGTACACCAAACGGTGGCTATTTCATGGAGACTAGCTCAGTGTCGCGAGATGTACCCTATGGCGAGAGTTTCTCTGTTGAGAACTACATCTCGCTGGAGCCCAGTGGCGATAGTTGCCTACTAAAGGTATCCACCGCGGTAAAGTTCACAAAGTCGATATGGGGCGTACGTGGCCTCATTGAGAAGTCGGTTATTCAGTCCAACAAGGACTTCTTTGTCGTCTGGGTCAAGATGGCACGCAAAACACTGGAAAACCCTGTGGCCGCGGAGCAGCAGAGACACTATGACCTGAACGGTAGTGTGGCGATGATCAATGGTTCGCCACTCTCGTCCTCTCCAATGGGATCAAACACACCGCCATTGGCAACAGGAAACAAGAGTCAAACTTCACCTTTAAAGACTTCTCCAACGACCACAACAGCCACTGTCCCTGTTGTCGCTGCTGCCTCTGCTGGGGCACCGGCTCCATTGTCAATGCCAGTACCAGTGACAGCAACAGTACCAACGATGTTAGCCACTATGTCTAACGCCCAACAACAAGGCGATCACACTACTGCTGGGCCAATGCCTATCAACTATGAGGAGATCAAGAGATTGTTCTTCCAGCTATTCCGAGAGACACAGAACCCTCGAACAGTTAAGCTCATATCACAACGCACCGATCAACATGTGGCCAACATAACGATACATGTTCATTATACTGTCGGTCATGTCATCCAGTATCTCATACCACAGGCACTGCCAGAGTTAACAACCAATCAGAACTTTGAAGTATTCTGGCTGGACAAACAGAACATCAACAGTTTATTCTTTTCCAAAGATATGGATCTTCCTATGTTGAACTATCTCCAAAGTGTATGTAGTTGTAGTTGTAGTAGTTGTAGTAGCGTTGCTAACTCCTTTGTTGTTGTTTAGTCCGATTCACTTTGTATCACAACATTGACAAGTCAGCAGGCAATCAAGAAATCACTTTGCTTTGAGGTGATACAGTCTGGAAAGCGTGCGATCATAAAGAGCAATCATTCCTCTGGCATCTCATTGTGATTGAGTTCTCACACAATGAGTGATGAGTGGACACAATAAAAGTTCGCCAGTCAATCAATCAATTTGCAATCTCACGACCAATCAACTTCATTCACACTCACATTCACTCATAATATTCATACTAATCAACATAGAGATAATAATAATAATAATAATGGTGCAACTATTACCAGATATTATTGTGATGTTGATCATTGAGTGGACATTCAAAGCAACTATTAGAAGGAGTTGGTCATTACAACTTGGTATGATCTCATGGAAGTACCGACGATTCATTAAATCAATGAACTACAAGCTTGTTCCAAGATGTCTACACATCAATGAAGTCGTCAACCATAACAAGAACAATCTCTACTCTATCCAATCAGACAATATCACCAAACTAAAGGCGTATTTCTTCTTTGGATTGTTCTAAAAATACTCATATACGCCAAGAACAGATTCCTGGCCGATGAGGCTCTCGGTTCAAAGCCGTACATGTCTTGGGCAACTTCGATCCCTGACCAGAGTTAATTGGGACTATGCACTCGATACCATTCTGACTCTCAAGCCTTGGCACACCTTGCAATCGATTGGATTCCTTCTCCGCAATGAGGACAATGAATATCAACCTACAATTCTGGAACCTGTAAACACCATGGAACAGGTTGCCAATCTATGTCCGCATATCAACAAGGTCTCATTCAATATCTTTTACCTCTATGAGGACGAGATTACCTTTCCACAATCCACCAGAGTCCTGGATTCCTCTATAAATCATCTATTCAGTTCCAACAGTGTGTGGCTCAAACAACTAGTATCTTTGACTTGGCGAAGGGTCTATCCTTTTGACYTTGATCAATATGAGGACAAAACTGTTTGAAGGATTGTCTGGACTTGTCTCGCTTACAACTCTTCAAGTCTTTGTCGACTACGAATCTCCTATCCCAGAAAGGTTGGACGAACACCGAGCCAAAAGTGAAGAGACCTTTCTGCTTCTTCTCAGTCTACTCCAAAGATCCGATTGTAATATTCGAAAGTTGGGATGGGCACTCCCTATGAACAAAGGAGCTGGTCACTCACTGCTCAGATACCTCTTTTCAGATCCATCATGCAAGGTCGACGATCTCACACTTGGAATTTACTTTGCCAACATTCCATGTGCCATCACTCGTCATCTTTATCGTTTGAAGCTGGAGATCTCATTCGACGACACCTTTGTCAATTGCAGAAGCACTACACAACATGTTGGTGGCGGTCATGGAGTTGATGTTATTGACGTTGTAGGACAAATACCATTGAACATCCGTCGGAGTACCGAGCTACTTATAAGTCAGTCATGCAATCAATATCTCTTGTCCATCATCTGGAACTCAAAGAGAAGCATTTTCCAGACTATGAGGTACTCTGTAAAATGGATCTCTATGATGAGACTCCCTTCGATGCAACTAGAACCTTACATCCACCAATATGTCTCTATGTCCGTATCTTTAAGAACCCTATGCTTATGGATGATGAAGTATTGGATCTGGTCGATCAATTCATTGCATACTATAAGGATCACCCTTTTATATTGAACAAGCTGTCTGTCATCCAACCTTTGAAGATTGAGGATTTAGACTAAGGAACCCACGATCAATCACTCATCGCCAGTCATCACCAGTCATTGTCAGTCTATCACCCACCACACCTGTGAAGGAAAAAGGATGGAAGTCACTCACATCTTGATTTGATGCAAACTTACAGGTTCAGAAGGTAACAAAGATCATTCATTTCAAGTTCAAGTGAAGTTGACAACTTGTAAACAGATAAAGTCATACATATTATATAATATACATACATACATATACATTTACATAATGGACGAGAACGAAGAACAACAGGGATTCTTTTGTGTTAGCCCAATAGCTTGTAAACACCTTACTGATCATACGTTGGTCAAGCAATCACTGGATATCAATATCTTTGACAACGCCGATCGTACGTAACTAGTAGCAGTTGTAGTGGCTTGCTTGGTGATGGGATGGATAGATGGATGAATGAGCTGATGGATTGACATGTATATATGATACCCTCAAGTCACCAATCTTTCGTGCCAGTCTTGTGCTGATCCATCTGAGAATTGGGTATGCCTCAAGTGTAGATATATTGGATGCTCAAGACATGTGAGTGGACATGCTGCCGAGCACCACACATCAACAGCTCATCCAATAGCTGCATCATTCTCAGACCATAGTTTCTGGTGTTATGATTGTGAATCATACCTCGAGCATCCTGTAAGTTGCAGCTTGGCCTTGACTTGTTGTTGTGATCCATCATGTTGACATGCCCACACTTTAATAGGTATTGGGCGACTTCCTGGATGTATTGAACACACTTAAGTTCTTCAAGGAGAAGAGCGGAAAGCACAATGACGACTCATCTAGCCGTGTCAAGAACGAACTCACAACAGAGACAACATCAAACTCATCAACATCCACAACATCGACCACGACAACAACAACAACTGGAGTACAAGATGATGAGTCGAGCGAGGAGGAGGATGAAGACTTGAGGACCAAGAAAGCTGGTCTGGTCGAGGCTATGCTCAAGTTGAACGTGGATAACAATGAAGGAACAACTCCAAAACACATATTGGATGAGATGACATTGAAGGGCATCGCATCATACATCAAATCAGGCAAGGCCAAGAACATCATTGTACTCACTGGTGCCGGCATCAGTGTGGCCTCTGGCATACCCGACTTTAGATCTCCCAAGACTGGACTCTATCACAACCTGGCCAAGTACAACCTCTCACATCCCACCGATATCTTTGACATTGAGTTCTTTGAGGAGAACCCAAAGCCATTCTTCACTCTTGCCAAGGAACTCTATCCTGGTTCATATCATGTATGTATTGTAGTGAACATGGATGTAAGTGTGACACATCTTCGACTAACTCATCCATCAATCATTGCTGTAGCCAACACATGTCCACTACTTTATCAAAATGATGTTTGACAACAATGTCTTGCTGAGAAACTACACTCAGAACATTGATACATTGGAGAGAGTTGCCAGTAAGTAGTCAAGCTTGAATGTGTTTACATGGATGGAAGGAGGATGAGATGTTAACGCTTGCTCCATCATTCAATCATACTAGACGTCCCAGGCGACGCACTAGTCGAGGCACATGGAACATTCGCAACTGCACATTGTACAAAGTGCAAGAAGGAACACTCTTGTGAATATGTTAAAGGTAGGAGAGAGCGGATAATGAATGATCGAAGGAAGGAGGAACAAGTATATTGACACAATACATCATTCATCAGAGCGTGTATTCAAGGACGAGACACCATTGTGCACAGAGTGTAGCGGTGTTGTCAAACCAGACATTGTGTTCTTTGGAGAGTCACTTCCAGCAAGGTTTGGACAGATGGTGAAGCAGGACTTCCCATTGTGCGATCTTCTCATTGTCATTGGAACATCGCTGCAAGTACAGCCATTCGCTTCATTGGTATCACTGGCACCCAAGGGCATACCAAAGTGTCTGATCAACATGGAGGTGGTTGGTGCCGGACCCTACGGTGCCTTCAGATTCGACGACGAGGACAACACCACCGACGTCAAATGGATTGGAGACTGTCAACAAGGTGTGATTGAACTTGCCGAGCATCTCGGCTGGAAGGACAAGTTGAATGAGTTACACAGCAAACTCTAGAGGAAGAGGGTTATGATGACATTGATCGAATCAATCAAATACAAGGCCGTGCATTACACGTCAATGACCTTGGCGTTGTTATTTTGTACAGTTGTTTGTTTACATGTAATAAATTAGGATGAGGAGATACAGTGACATCGATTGTCAACCAGAGTGTATGTGTTGTAGTGCAGTTCCTAAGGCTCTCGGTTATGACTACTGCTATGACTACCATTGCTCACACTCCCACTACTACTTGGCTTTGTAGTTGATGGTGAAGAATGGTTACTACTACTACTGCTGATGCCACTGACGCTGTTGTTGTATGTTGTTGTTGTTGTTGTTGTTGTTGATGAGGATGAACCAGGTGATATCAGTGATGATATAGTGACGAGTTCAAAGCGAGCCCTAACCTCATCGAATGAGTTAATGTTCATAGAGGATATCTCTTGTAGCAATGCCTTTAGCTTCTTGATCACAGTGGGGAACATCATGTAGGTAGCGTCCAACTGAGCCCAAATATGATCCATCAGCTTGAACACCAAAAAGTACAGTTCCTCAAACGCATAGTTGGTGTCCCTCGACATGGCACAGAGCATCACCATGAAGCTTGATGTCCAAAATGGTGTCCACCAAGGTTGTTGTAAGGACTCTGTCATTGAGTGTTTGGAGTGAGTGAGTTAGTGATCGAATGATGACAGGAAACTAACATACCTTCACTTATATCCAATATCTCAAAGAGTAGATTGGTGATATTGATGCCGGCTGTGGCAAAGGGATAGTCCCTGTGTTGTTCGAGGATTGAGTCGACCCATTGTCTGTGATTCTTGACGAGATATATTAGGTTTAGGAGTCCTAGCAGTCCCATGCCTCTAAAGTCCCTAGCGGGATTGTCACTCTGGAAGCCAAACGACTTCCACATGTCAGATCGCTCGGCAAAGGGCTGGCCTGGATAGAGGTGCATCCAGAGCTCAGCGAGATAGGCCACGTGCTCTGGATTGTTGTTGTCGTATTGTGTCAGACGATATTTTTGCAGCTGTTTCATCTGTTGTGATTGTTTCGCCGTCAGCTTCTTTGATCGATCGATGTGTGAGCCCAGTATCTCGAGCAACTCGGTCGACTCTTGAATGGTCTTGAGTATGTATATCGATGTCTCCTTTGTGTTCCACGTGAGCAGGATCTTTCCACTGCTCTCCTGATCCTCGTTGTTGTTGTTGTTGCCAGATGATGATGATGCGTCGGTCGCCTGAAGGTGTTGGCCTGTTGTTCCATTATAAGTGTCTGCCTTTTTGTTTGACAGACTTAGTGAATGTACTCCAGATGTGGCGCTGGAGACTGTGGCACGACCACTATGATGATGATGATGGTGATGATGGTGATGATGACCATTAGAAGGTTGATGATTTCCTCCTGACAGAGATTCCTTGCGCTGGCCTCCAAACCTTGATAGGAAGCTTGCATGATGATGATGTGATTGTTGTTGAGAAGGAGCGGGAGCAGTCGAGGACTTGTTGAATAGCGATGGATCGGATGTTGTACGTCGCAGAGGTGACACGCCCAGACTCCAAGTGTTATGTCTGACACGCTCAAAGATCGAGGGTCGAGATGATGGCACTTCAAAGTTGGTCTTTACAGAGAACAACTGATGAATGGATTTAGTGGCGACCAGGGTGTGTAGTTCATATATCGGATTGTTGTTGCAATCCATTGTTATCTGTATTCTTCCACCATTACATGCATTGTCCATTGGCACATCTGGCAACTCCATTGATTGAGTGCATCGATAGAATGTCAGCTGACTCATCTCATCAATCTCTATCAATATCGTATTGTCTCCATGTTGTGTGTAGAACTTGTCGCCCTGTAATCTCAACTCTTCAAGTTCAGCTTTTAACTATATCATTCATTCATTCATTCATTCTTTGTTAATCATTCATTCATTCATATTGGTATGTAATGATGTACCAATCACCAACAACTATGATACATACTTGATTCAACTCCTTATTCATTTCAATCAATCTGTTCTCGGAGTCTTCAGAACTGTTGTCATTGATACTCTTAAAGTCCTCTTCTTGGATGTGCTTTCGTTGATTCTCAATCTCCAGCTTGAGGAACTCTTTCCTGTCCCTTCTTTCCTTGTACTTCTCAGCCATCCTTTAGTGAACGCGCGAATGAGTGAGTAAGTGGAGTGATTTTATAACTATTATCTCTATCTGTACAAGTGATAAGAGAGTACTTTAAAGTTTAGATTGGTATCGATCGTGGGTTGTTGTTGTGTTTGTTGTCTTTGTGTATGTGTGTGAGTGTGTGTGTGAGTGTAGTGTTTAAGTGTCAGCAAGTATGTGCGTGTGTTTGTGTATCTGTTTATCAACAGGTGTGTAAGTGTGGTTAGATGGAAGGATAGAAGTGGGGTCAGCATTACTAAACAAGTCTGACGATTATTCCTTGTGTCTCGACTCACTACTGCTTGATATTATTTGAATTACAACTTTGCAATACCATTGGATGCCCCGATTCATTCATTCATTCATTCATTCATTCAATCACTCAATCATTAATGTAGTCTGGTCAGCCAGTCATGCCATTGATATTGAAATAACAGTGAACTTCAAAAAGGAAATATCCTCCTACATCTCCAGCCATAATACAAAACAATAGTCATTGCTCGTCATTGTGAGAAGAGATAATACATTTATCTGTATATCCTGGTTTGAGTTAATGTTTGGAGTCGAATGAAAAATGAATGAATGAAATACTTTGACTTTGAGTCACTCACTCTCACTTTCCATCCACCACAAAACAACAACAAAGAGATAACAATAATAATGTCTAAATACGTAGTAACACTGTTTACACCTATTGCCATTGGTGTTGGTATCACATGGTTGTTGATGAGAGATGAGAACAAGGATATAAGTGTATGTATCGTTGAATGTTGGAGAGGTAGATGTTAACTACTCATGCTCCATGTACTCATACTTCATGTACATATAGGACTTTAAGAAGGAACAGGGATCAACTTATCGCAAGTTCCACGAGAACAATGAACAGATATTCAAGTATATTCAAGAATCAACAAAGAGCGACAAGATTGTACACTTTGCAAAGGATGACGAGATTGCTAAACAGGTGCCTGTGAAGCCTGTAACTGCTCAGACTTCAAAGCCACCAGCAACAGCACCAACAACGACTAAACCTCAAGATAAGAAGCAATAAGGCTGCGCTCAATTCATAATGAACAAACGAACGAACGAATGAACGAACGAATGAACGAACGAATGAACGAACGAAAGAATGAACGAGCGAGTGAGCGAACGATGCTTAATGTAATAATCAATCATGGTTGCACTTGATTGGCGTTAGACTGCTGCTGCTGTTGATGCCTATGTACATTGGTTGACAGAGGCCATGACCTGATCAACTTGTCCATGCCTCCAGTGTATAGTCTCGACTCAAGGTCACCGCATGCAGCAGATATGTGCATGCAGTTGATAGCAAACGGAGCATGTCCTTCAAACTCTTCAATACATATTCCACTCTGATCAGACAGACATCAATGTTAGTTATTTAGTTATTTAATTCATTCAATCACTTTGGAACTTACATTAATGTCATATGACTTCAAAGCACCATTCTCACCTGCCACGTAAAGTACATCATTTTGATCATCCAACAACATCTGTCTGATTGCCACGGGCACAGCCTCAAAGTACAACGTCCTGGTGCACTCATTGCTCTGATGTAGATAGTAACCTAGTGTCAGTCAATCAACCACTCACTCTCAATCAATCATAACAACATACATTGGATAAATCCCAGAACTTGATAGATCCATCGTTGCCCGCACTGATTAGCCTGTTGATGGCGACACTATATATGATTGATCGAACCCATCCTTGTTGACTCCATATGATGTTGATACAACGTCCAGTCTGGAAGTCCCACTGTCTGATCGAGGTGTCTGACGACGAAGAGAACAGCCATCCGCCATGATGATCCACCGATGACACCCATCCACTATGACCCAAGAACACTCGTTTGAATGATTGATCATTGATCGATGCCACCCTTATCGTCTTGTCATCAGAGAATGTCACAATCAACTTCTCGACAATTTTCAAACCATTGATTAGACCATAGTGTCCAGTGAATGTCTGCAATGTGTTGAATGTCTCGCCATCGAGGCATTGAGCAGTCTTGTCATGTGATGCCGTGACCAATGTTGGTGTGGCGCCGGGATCCTGGCTCAGGGCATGCAGTCCCCAGACCGCACCTCTCTTGTGTACATACTTGGACTTTAACAATTTGGCATCGACTACACTCCATTGTTTTATGGACTTGTCAAGGCTGGTAGAGTACAGTGTGTTGCCATGTGTAGTCAACGCTGTAACTGCATCAAAGTGACCTTTGTATCGCTCCAATGGTGGTGTGGCCGCCTTCTCACTCGCACTCCCAGTCACCGGTGAGGACTCGGCCAACTCGCGAACATCATCAATCATCCATAATCCATAGTCAATGAATCTTTCTCGCTTGCTCCTATGTCCAATGATGCAGTTGTTATGTATGATGACTGGCTCGATGTTGGCGCGTTGTGGCAGCTTGAGATTGAAGTATGCAGTGCCATTGGGAAAGGTTGTGCGGGGAAGTTTGAACACGCGCAGTTTACCCGTTTGTGGTGCGCCAGACACTGCGGGCGTGGCCAACTCCTTGAGGAACTTGCGCATTGATATCTGATCGTCGACGATTGGGTTGAGGAAGGCGATGACCTGCTCCATGTATGAGATGCTAGTAGCATTTGATCTGATGTAGTAGAAGCCGGCACAGACGTCGTCGTCATCCTGCTGTATGATCAGATCAATGTCGCGTTGGTAGTCGATACCTGCCGCATAGGCGGCCTGCTGGAATGCGGTAAAGGGGTCGCTCAGCCAAACAATGTCCGTGTCAGTCCACAACACATTGTAGCCTCGCTTGAGCACGTCCAGCACGACCAATGGCTTCTCATTGCATATGGCGCGGAAGCCAACACCGCCGTATGACTCTGGCTGCTCGCCATACACCGTGTCGGACGACACCACCTTGCCGCCCGTGAGCATTGCGGCGGCCATATCACCAACACTTGTCATTGGTCGCTCGACAGCCTCCTTGGCCATTGACTTCATGGCCATGTTGTACTGTTGGCTCACATGATGTGCGATCATAGTTGACGACGAAGACGACGTGGTCTCCATCAGCAGCTGATGGATACCAGCATCAGCGTGGCAGTCCTCACATACACATCTCGCACATTGATCGCAATAGTTCAGCAGAGTCTTGGCATGTTTGAAGCACTTGTTCAACACGGCCCTGTTTGAGAGATTGATCGCGTTGATATCTTTGAGTTTGAAGAATGTCGCAGACTTGTCATCCAATGCAAACAACATGAATCTCTGATTCCAGAGTTGATCAAAGGTTTGTCGCGTTGTTGTCGTTGTCGTTGATGACCACGTAGTCGTGGAAGTTGACGTATCCTGGTTTTGTCCGGGTCCGGACAACAGATGTCGTTCAATACTGGTGATCAAATTGAGTGTAATGTCTCTGAAGCCATAGTTGCACATCAAAACTACCAAGTCATTGTTGCCTGCATTCATTGTGTATGTGTATATGTGTTTGGGGGTATGTCGATGAGTTGACTAGTCTGGAGACGACTGTCGGTTGGTCGCGCAAATGAATGAGTGAGGCGTGGGGTGTGTTGTCAAGTCATCGCAGCGTCGACAAGTACTTCTTAGTCAGGGATTGGCTGCCCGATTGGGATACAAAGAAAATTGAATAAAATGAAGTTCCCTGGTGACCCAGGACTCCCACCTTTCCACTTTCATTCATTGAGTGGGTCTTGTGCCAAGTTGTGTCCGGCTTGTGCCACACGAGGTGTCTGTTGTTTCTTCTCACCTTTATTTGTATATCTAGTTAATTACATTATTATTATTATTATTGCAATGAGTTATTCATTCTCATTCATGTAATATAACACACACAAACACACACTACATTTATACAGTTAATAATACAGATAAGTATTAAACTATAGTAACAGTTCTATTTTTATCAAGTATGTATTCTTCTTCTAATTCCTTGTATGAATGATTGATCAATCCCGACACTCTTGTTCCAGAACAGAACACCAACAACACGCACACACACACACACACACACACAATCATATAAACACACACACATACACGAACTCCAATGGGCAGGCCATCTGAACCCTAACCAGGGTTGTTGTAAACAATTTGGGTCTAACCCACCACACTCACTTCAACATGCGCTTCCATCTCAACACTTCTTTCGCTCAACAACCACATTCGCACCACTTCCAACAACACAATATATATGACGACACACTTCTCAACAACCATCTAACTCATTCATCTTATTAGTTAACTCCATCTTCACACACACACACACACTATCATACACATACACATTCTCTATCTGTTGTACAAAGTGTAGGTGATTAGTTATCCACTTACTTGTGATCATCATCAATCAATCAATAGTCAACCAACATCACCTATCACCAATCAATCAATCAATCAAACCAATAACTCATCTCTAATCTTTACACCAATCAATCAATCAATCATATCCATCTCTTAGATTTACAAACAACTACGATATATAATTACATCACAATCAGATAAAGATGGATGGAAAGCTTAATACTATAAGGTTGATGTTCCCAGATACTTCAGCAGATGGTGTTATCAATGCTCTAAAGTTGAATAACTGGAACATGGAACAGACAATAGACTACCTGTTGGCACAGTCAGAGGCAAGGGAGATAGAGAACAAAGAACAGCAACAACAGCAACAGCAGCAGCCAGAGCAACAGCAGCAACAACAACAACAACAGCCAGCTCAAGATGAGAATGATCGTATAGTTAATGAGTTTGTTATGTTGGAGCAGTCCATTCCAGAGCAGGTCGAGGCAATCATGAAGCAAGTCGAAGAGATGAAGCAACTGCAAGAGGATTTGAACAACCAACAAATGATACAGGATCAACTATTACAACAAATTCGTGTACCAGAGCCACAGCCAGAACCTCAACCAGAGCCACAACCAGAGCTACAACAGTTAGAGCAACCAAAGATAGAGGAGGAGGTAGTTGTGGAAGAGGAGGAGCAACTTCCATCACTGGTCCATGTGCCAGAAGATGAGAGTGTACATGGTACGCTTCATTCTCAAGAGGTCAGCGAGGCCATTGAACGTCTGAATGATATTATCAAAGAGAACCCAGATCTCCAAGAGTGTCTGGTGAAGACTGATGACCTTAACAACAACAACAACAACAACAACAATGATAACAACAACAACAACAATAACAACAATGACAACATAATCAATGAAGAACTTAGAAAGAAACTTAGTGCAGACATTGGAAAGGCGATCGAGCATTTGGAAAAGGTGGTCAACTCCTCACGAGAGAAGACTGGTCAGACACTCAAGTACCTCAAGGAGGAGATCGAGTCATGGAACATTAAGAACGGTTTCCAGACCTTCACCTACAACTTTAGGAGAGAGTTGTCACACTTCCTCGACTCCTTTGCCAACTTTGTATCGCCGGCACCAGCCACTCCCGAGGAGAAGCAGGCCCGTGCCGAGAGACGCTCAGAGTTGGAGAAGAAGCTCCAGGAGCTGAGGGAGCAGAATGCCAAGCTGTCCGAGGAGAGACGTATCGCCATAGAGAAGATCGAGAAGTTTGAGAAGGATGCCGCTGCCCAACAACAACCAGAACAAGAACAGTAGTTTGTTAGTTAGATAGTTAGTTAGTTAGTGTGAGCCAGGTACCAGGTTGGTCTTGGACACATTACAATGGATATGTATATATATGAATAACCCCGAGCCATTCTCCAAGGCTGGCTAGCTGGTTGTCATTGTTCCAGGCTAGCCAGGTGACTTAATAAATAGGTTGACAACCATCCTTTATATTTATTACCCTACAACAAGTTGGTTGGTCGGACCATGGTTCGTCCATCGCGCGATTGATCACAGAGGAAGCTCTGGCTCCATGATGACCTGATGGCCCTCTCTTCGCAGGACAGACATCCTCGAGGATGAATGTGCTGACAATGCCTTGTGAACCTTTGGTGAGAACTGATTGGACGCAAGTATGAGTTAGTACAAGGTCCTTGCCACGACAACGTTGTGCTGGCAATACTTACAAAGAAATCATGATAGTCGAGATGAGTCTTGTCGTCTGCCTTTCGAAGTCCACGACCAAGCTTCTGTAGTGTCATGTTGGGGTCCTTGCCTCCAGAGGCGTTGATGAGGTGGTGAATGCGAACGTCCACGCCAACGTAACCAATGGCCGAGAAGATGGCCACGACCTTTTCATTCTTGCTGTGCTTTAGCTTGTTGAGGACAAACTCTCGAGTCTCCACGCCGTCGTCACCTTTGACCCAATAGGCATCGGGGATGAGTTCGGACAGTGCATCGCCGTGTGCCAATCGCTTGACCAAGATCATTATCCTACCCGTTGGTATGGACTCGACCAGTTTGGCGATCGACTGATTCAAATGTTCATTCTCTGCTACCAACCTTGACTCCACGTCGTGGAAGGAAGTGATCGTTGTCTTTCTTTGGAGCTCTGTCAAGAGTGTTTGCTCATCCAGGTCATCGTCTAATGATGTCTCAAGGTCGTCGTCCACATCAAGCTTGTCTACGTCCACGTCCTCGTCCGCTGCCGCCAACTGTTTGTCTTCCACCACCTCCTCTTCCACAGCAGGAGGTTGATCTCCCGCTATGTTCTTTGGTTTCTTTGGCTGTACAGGGTAGTTGATTGGATAGAAGTGGATATACGCATTTGATAGAATGTCGACTATGATTATAAATGGTTAAGTGAGTCAGTGTTGGTTGATTGATTGTTCATGCATGTGCGAAAGACCTACTCTTTGTCAAGTCTTGAGTTGATATGTCACATAGTAATGTTCCAAACACAGAGATGATTCGATGGTTGTGCACTGGGTCACCAACCTTGAATGGAGTGGCAGAGAATCCAAATCGAGAGTATGCATTATCAAACATTTTGAATGTCTGGCGCGCTGATGGCGAGGCAAACTCGTGCACCTCATCTACCATCATCACCTGGGCGCTACGACAGAGATCGGCGATCTTGTGCGCCGACTTGAGTGTTGATATTGTGACGCGCGACGGCTCAAAGTAGTCGCTGGACACACGACCAGGTTGACAGACACCCGTCGCCTTCAGACTGTCGTAGATCTGAGTGACCAATGATCGCTTGGTGACAAGGATGACAACAGTGACATCATCTCCCAGCGCCTTGATGAGTGATGCCAATATCATTGTCTTGCCACCGCCAGTGGCACACTTGATGATGCCTCGATGATTGGCCAGCGCAAAGTTGATCGACTCAACCTGGAAGTCGTGAAGCTTAACCGTGGGCAATAGTAGACTGTCATCCACTCGCTTCGACTCTAGGTCAGGTGGTTGCAGGTCAAACACTCTCAGGTGAGCGATATCATCTTCTGTTGCTTGATCGTCTGGTGATGTGGTTGCAGTGGTCTCTGTGGCTGGCTCAACCTCTAATTGTGTATCTTTGGCAGCTGCCTTCTTGCGTTTAGTCTTTGTCACTGGCTTCTGAGGTATTGGTGGTGGAGGTGGCAACTTGATTGAATGATCCCAGTTGGAGTATAGCTGTGGCAGAGGGTTACGCTCATCGATGCGATTGTACTGAACGTCGAGATCATTGAGTTCGCTAATGATGATGGGCAGCAGGCCTGTGGCGAAACGTCCGACCTTGGGCGAGAAGAATGACACCTTTCGCGGATGATGAAACATCTTCTTCTTTGGCTGGAATGGCGAATGTGTCTTTGCCTCAAAGAATGTCATGCGTCTATGTATCGTCTCCAATATCACAGGATCAGCATTCATCATAAAAGAGTGTCCATTTGTGATACGAATGGTTGGTCTATAAAGTGACTCCAACGTTCGTTGTTGTTTTGATGTACTGGTCATAAAGCGTCTCATCATCGTCATCATTGATCATTCAAGTATGTCTGTATGTATGTGTGATTGATTGATCGATGGTTGCTGTCGTTCACTACTGCTACTTCCTATGATGTAGATTGATATTGATATTGGTGAAGTTATGCATCTCATCTCATTATTGTTGTATTTGTGCGTTGGTCTTGAGTGATGACAGTAACATTTGTAAGCAACACGGATCAAAATGCCAAGAAGTGGATCAAACAGGCATTTTCATTCAAAAACATTCACTTGAGACATGATTACTGTACGAGTTAGTCATCCTCTCACTTATTTGATTGATTGATCATTCTTATACACAACAACTTAATAATATTATCAATACATTTTCAACTACAATAAATATATATATAAAGGTTTTAGGTTATAATTCTGGATTCTTATTCATTCAATCAAATGAACCAAACAATCAATCAATCAATCAAATCACCTGGTCATCTTCTATAATGAATTCTACCTTCCATATTTATATTCATACTCATATATATCGCACCTGTTCATTCTTTTAAGAGTCTACAACTCAATTCACCATTGTTCATATTTGAATCAAAAGAGATAAGGACAACAAATCTTACCATCTGTTCAGAATGAGAAAAGGTTTAGAGGTTATCGATTACCAAAAGTGATCACCTCACCTCTGACTGCCAAACACGGTAACAACACCAGGTCCTTCAGTTAAGGACCATAGTACTTATTTTTTTTTTGGGATACCCCTCATACTAAAAAAGGAGGCCCTCTGCTATGGAGGTCCAATGAAAATGAAGCCGTGTTACTCACCACAAGTGTTACTGACAATGTCTGGCATTGATTCATCTTGATAGGTATTATAATTAATTTTTTACAAGGAACATATTATCTGATCGGAAGACTCCATCCTCCATTGATGTAGCCAATATTAAATAAATTAAATAAATTTATTCAAACTTGCCAATCAGTAGTCATACTTAGACTGACACGGAGACCTCAGTTAGTATTTATCATGTATCCTATTAAATTTGCGATCGCCCTGCGTGTTTGTTTGTTCAAACAGTACCTAACTTCACCAAGAGAATCATTTTTAAAACCACCAAACACTGGTGACAGGGATAGATACTAGAATTAATTCGAATATACATCACATAATATCTCTGGGTACATTGTTTAATTATATCTTTGAAGTGAGTTTGTCAATCAATTATCATATAGTTGTCTATTTTGCCAACTGGACTAACATTCAAATATCATTCAATCATTCATTCATTCATTATTCACCATCAAATATCAATCATTCAATCTATCAACTTTATCGATCATCTTATGTATTAATTTAAAAGTGAATAGCGCTGGAGGTCAGGCCAACGATAGTCTAAACAGCGATGTTGGCCAAATTCCCATCGCAATGTGCGAGAGGCACCATCGCAGTCTTGAGGTACTTTGTATAACGTGCAATAAATTAGAGTGCCCAAACTGTGCTGTACAGTCACATAGCAAGGTTCCTCATCTGTTGGAGGACATATTCACATTGGCCAAAATGAACGCTGCGAGCGTGGACGACCTTAGCTACTTCCCTCGACATGCAGCGGAACTGATACACCAGGACGAGGTCCACCGACATCTACTTGAGTCATTGTCCAAACAGAACAAGGACATCACCAGTTTCTTTGGTGAATTGCACATCTACCTTCAGGTGGAGGAGCACAAGGTTAAGAAACCTTTCACAGAGGCAGTTGTGCGATGCCATGAAACACTCATATCAATCCGTAATGAATTGGTGTCGATAAAGGAGTTCCTCCAATCAGCCATGGAGATCAGCGTAATGGAGCCCTTATCCCAACTACAGCAACAACAACTACAACAACAGAACTCCCCTGGAAATGGAGAGGATATTGATTCCTTTGAGGCTCTTCCAGGTTCATTATTGGAGTCATTTAAAGGTGTCAACTTGTCCGAGGAAGCCGTCCTTCAATTTGACGTGTCCACCACTCTCGCCAGGGTACAACAGCACATCGAGGAGGTACGGTTCAAAGAGCCCAAGCACCAGATCAACAAGCTGAACGTCCGAATCAACGACGAGAGAACAAAGGAAATCAAACAAATGATATCCCAATTGTTTGAACTCTCCCAGGCCGAGAGTGACATAGCCCAAACTACCAAGAGCCAACTTTCCATCTTCTCGACCGGCCAGAGCGGGTCCTTCATGTTTGATGTGGAGACTGGCAAGTGGAGTTCCTTGAGTGAGGACCGAGAGAAGCGCTCCTACATGGTCAACTCAGTCATTCACGCCCGTGGCTACGTCTATGTGTTTGGAGGTGACACCAAGCTCAACACATACAGTCGGTTTTCAGTGAAACACCAGCGTTGGGACCTCCTAGGGACCATAATCAATGAGGAGGTATGTATTGGTCGCCAGACAATTAATTTAATGTATACAGATACTAACTCGTACTGTAATCCTCACTTACAAACTTTAAAACAAAAAAGGGCGGCAGCGGCATTTCAGTGTGCTACGATGGAGTTAGGTTCGCCTATTTGATTGGAGGTCAAATGAATGGACTCCTCACGCGTATCGACCAGATGGATCTCGAGACCCACGAGTTTGCTCGTCTTGGAAACCTTCCAGTGCCCATCCGCTTCGCCTACAGTTTCTACCACGACCGGATACTCTACGTGGTTGGCGGAATGGGCAACCGAGTGGACGATGGTGACCAACATTCCATCTTCAAGTTCGACCCTGTCTCTCGCTCAACTACCTTCCTCCTTGATGGAACATTCGAGTTTAACCACGAACTGGTGTCCTGTTGCTTTGACGGCCGCGAGTTCCTCTACCTGTTGGATGTTGAATCCAACTTCTTTCGCTTCTCGATCCAGACCAAGGCCCGGACTGTTCTGCCTCGCCCAACACTCAAGAACAATCCACAGCGCAAGTACAAGTGCCAGATGCTCATGCTCAAGAGCAAACTCATCTACTTTATCGGTGGCCGCGAACACAACAACTTCACCTTCAACATTGATCTCAATCAATGGCTGCCCTTGGGCGACAACGACAATGTGGACCGACGATGGTGTGGTCTTACCACGGTTATCAAGACTGGATAACTCTGGTATATATAAAGGACACAGCACTCTGCCAACTCAAACCTTTTACATTGGTGCGCCAAGGTCGGACTGATGCTACCGGCCCATAGTTGTTACCAAAGGTAACCATCTTATTTATATTATTATGGTAACATTGTTACTCCAGTTGTCACAATTACCCTATGGGAATAGTCACAATTGTCATCCAGATGGTCGTCTAGTTATGGACAGGCATTCCAGTAGTTGTCAATCAATCAATCAATCAATTCGCATCACCAACTCATTCATTGGAAGTATTGCCAATCAATTCAATTACGATAAACAATATACATCTTATAATTGATTGTTAACATTTATTGAAACACTGTCCATTCATCGCTCATTAGGCGCACTTAAGCACCTTAGGCATGTGGCTTGGTCTCTTGCTGTTGCTGCTGAGCTGGCTGCTCTCCCTCCTTGACGGGAGCTGGCAGGCCAAGCATTGTCCTCTTGGACTCCCACTCCTCAGTCTCACGCTTGTTGCTAGTGTTGAGTGGCTTGCCAGTGCGGATGGCCTCAATCTCCAGACGGGTCAGACGGACCGACTCGAAGGAGTAGTCGAGGAAGGCCTCACAGGCGATGGGGACGATTGGGCGTATCAGAGCAAAGATGGTGTTGGCATAGTCTCTGATCTCCTTCTGTGAGTGAGAGTCCATGCGCAGTCTGAGGAAGTGGAACAGGTTGTGGAGGTCAATCTTCCAGTACCACTCAGTGTACACGCTGACAGGCAGGCCAATGCGACCGAGCTCACGTGACACTCCCTTCTCGAGCAGTCCAGAGTAGGTCTTGTATGATGCCTCACATTGGTCAAGGTAGTCCAAGAACTATATCATGTATACAAGATGGATGTTGTGTGTTAGTATCACATGTATGTGTGCGAGTGAGTGTGAGTGAATGACAGTTACATACCTCTTGGGCGGTCTTGGTGTCGATTGGCTCCTCACCACCCTGGCGGTTGGTGGTCGACTGCTTTCTCACGTCCTCAGCCGATGGATGATAGAACTTGTCGGGCATAACAGAGTAACGGGCACTGTACTCGTTGACGCTGGCGGTCCTGTGTCTGATCCACTGACGAGCAATGAAGACTGGCATGACACAGTGGAACTTGAACTCAATCATCTCGAATGGCGAGGTGTGTTGATGTCTGAACAAGTATCTGATCAGTCCCTTGTCCTCACTGACCTTCTTAGTGCCAGCGCCATAAGACACACGGGCAGCCTGGACGATAGCAAAGTCGGCAGTCTGTCCCTCTGGTGCCAGTCTTGGCATAGCATCAACCAGAGCAACTCTATATATGTTTGTTTGATTGATTGAATGAGATACACCAAACAATGTTTGTTAGTGAGATGTTATAACATCACCAACATGTTGTTGTTGTTATCAACTCACTTGCCATGGTCGTGAACTGGTACCTCCCAACGGTGGCTACCCTTCATGACATCATAGTATGTTGTCTCTGCAGGTACTTGTGTAATCTGAATGCTATCAATCTCGTTCATGTCCATCTTTTAGATGTTTATTATTATTGTTGTTTATAATATATATATATCTTATATGTTTGAATGTTGTTATATAACTAACCTAAAGTGTTGGGCACATGTGATAGTTATGCTTGAGTTGTTGACAACAACGACTACTTCTACGAAATAATTCAAATTTGGCGCGCTTATACCTAAGAGCCGTGATTGAATGATTTGGTGTGATCAATCCGATTGGAGAATGATAAGTGTGTGTGAATGATGGTTTCACGGTCGGGCGCCTCAACATGATCATCACTCGCTCAATCTAATAACTGTGACATACACTTAACTTATGGTATCCAGTACAACAACCAACCTATTGTTTACCAGAGAGGATATTGATAACTCACCATCAAGGAGAGATGGCATCGATATCGAAGTCGAAGATACACAAAGGCGCTACGGTGTAGAGATCATTCAAGAGGCTGGGCTACTACTGAGGCTGTATGTGTATTAATACATCAATGCTGATCACACTCATACTCATACCCTTAATACATCATACTTCATCATCAGGCCTCAAGTATCGATCGTCACTTCTCAAATCATCTTTCATCGATTCTATTGTCGACAATCATTCAAGACTTTTGATGTCAAGGTATGTGTGCACTTCATAATGATCACTCATTCAATCACTCACTCAATCAATCAAGAATATATGCATGGGAGTTGTATTTGTTGCCGCAAAGTATACAGAGTCGCTGGGTGGCAGACGTCTACGTGATGTAGTCAATGTGTTCAATTATATATTTCAAAAGAGTGAAGGTACAAAGGCAGAGTCATTGGATACACGCGAGGTGTTATACTGGCGCATGAAGGCTGATGTCGTTGACGCCGAACTGATCATTCTGAAGGAGTTTGGATTCCTGCTGACAGTGGAGCCACCTCACAAGTTCATCCTAAACTACATGAAGCTGCTGGAGAAGAGCAATGAGTTGGCACAGATGGCGTGGAACTACTTGAACGACAGCATGCGCACCACACTCTCCATCCAATACAAGCCAGAGTCAATATCCGCCGCTGCCATCTTCATGGCGTCCCGAGTGCTCCGTGTTCGCCTGCCCGAGGAACCCTACCCCTGGTGGGAGATCTTTGACACAACAAAAGAGGGTAAGTCTGTCTCATCATCCATCATTGACAATGGCACTAACAAACATGACATCATCATCATCATCATCGTCCGGATGTGTAGAAATCGAAGCCATCACAAGTGAGATATCCAATCTTTATACAAAACCAAAGCCATTCTACATTGACTTGCAGAAGTTGTATGGAGCAATTGACAACAACAACAACAATGCCAATGTCATTGTCCAACATTAGTTGTGATAATCTGGGAACTTGACGACCTTCATTCTTCCCCATTTCACAATTGTTGGTCCTGACGATTGATTGCCCACCCGACCATAATGTAATGTACATAAATTAACCAATTTATCTAGATTGATTGATTGAATGATCATCTTAGCTCGCTTCGATGTATCTTCTCGAAGATGATAAGATGGTAGACGTCTGACCATTGACGTGTGTTTGAAAAGTTGTTGGAAGTTGCTTGTTGACAGCCCAGAGAGTGTGTTAATGGTCTAAGATGGTTAGGTCGAGAATGTGTGTATGAGCTAATGTCATTGATGGGGGGGACAGGACCTGAAGCTTCCGGATTGTTTGAATGAAGTGGTCCACACACTTTGTATTTTTCTTCATTTTTGGTGATTTTTTTTGATTTTACCCTGATGTTTGTATGTGTGACTGATCAAATCAAGTCATTTTGGAGTTGTTGTGTGTGTATGATGCTTTGCACCTGTCCAGTTTCCCAATCATCGCAAAGCCAGCCAATAAAAGGGCGAGAGAGACCGACCATAGAATACCTCACTAAACAGACTACATTGACATCTCTCATACATTGATTCATTGGTCCATTCATTATATTCATTCGCTCAGACATAGACATCAGTTACACAAACAAGACAGCCCAACCTTTGTGTTTGTTTCAATCTTTCTGACTTTACTTCTTTGCGAAACGTTAATCTTCATCATAATCATAAACATTTATAAATTTGATACATACGGATATTATTATTAATATTAGTATATAATGTCAATACGAGATTGCTTAAATATTGACAGGAAGGAATTGAACGAGTATGCCTTTCGCTACTTTGGTCTCCTCATGATTTGTATCATGACCTTTGGAAGTTATTATATCTATGTATGTGTTCATTCATACAATCAATCAACTCCATCATCAATCAATCAATCAACCAACTCACACATCTTTGATCGAATCGAATCATAATATAGGATATTCCATCTGCATTGACTCAAGCAACAGTTGACGAATGGTACGGAATTAATAAGATTCAATTTGCACTGTTGTACTCTGTTTACAACTTCCCAAACACAGTCATTGTGTTCTTTGGAGGTTTCTTCATTGACACCATCTTTGGTCTAAAGCTTGGCTCCCTGCTATTCTGTACATTGGTCTTGGCTGGTCAGGTCATCTTCTCTTTCTCTGCCAGCTACAAGCTCTTCTGGATGGCCTTGTTAGGTCGTACTATCTTTGGGTATGTGTGCATTGATTGATCCATTGATCCATTGATTGGAGAGGCTCTAACATTCATTCGTTCACTTGATGTACAGTCTTGGAGGTGAGTCATTGTCTGTTGCTCAGTCAACATTCTGTGCCACTTGGTTCAATGGTCGCAGTGATTTGAACTTTGCATTCTCTGTTACACTTGGATTCTCTAGGATTGGCAGTGCTGTCAACTTCCAGGTGACAGATCACCTTAGTACCCGTTACGGTGTGCCAACTGCTGTCTGGTTCGGTGCAATCTGCTGTGCTATTTCCTTTGCCGGAACCATTGTGCTCTGTTTCGCCGAGATGGCCAGAGCAAAGAGAGACCCCAAGGTTGTCGTCAAAAACGACCCGGTCTCCATCAAGGATGTCACCAAGTTCCCAAGAACTGTCTGGATTATCTTTGCCGTCGTAGTCTTCTTCTACGTTCCACTCTTTGTCTATGTCTCTATCGCACCGTAAGTGGTTAGCCCCAGCGACACCATCACCTCACTCACTCACTCACTCCAATCAATCAATCAAATAGTACCTTCCTCCAGACCAGGTTCAATGTCAGCAAGGGTGTTGCCGATACTTTGACAAGTATCCCATACTACACTGCAGCTCCATCACCAGTGATTGGTTTCTTGATCGATCGTTTCGGTCGCAACCTGACTTGGATGACTGGCTCTATGATCTTGATGGTTACTGCTCACACAATCCTCGGTTTCACAATGGTCAGCCCATACGTCGGCATGATCATGATGGGCTTCAGCTATGCCATCATGGCCGCCTCCCTCTGGCCAACCATTCCCGTACTGATCCCAGGCATTCGTCTGGGCACTGCCTACGGACTTGCCTTTGCCTTCCAGAACGCCGCCGTCGCTCTGTCTGGTCTGGCCGTCAATGCCATCCTCCAAAAGACAAACAACTACCACTACACTGAGGGATTCTTTATTGCATTCGCCGCCGTCGGTCTGGCCCTGGTCATCCTCATGGTCTTTATCGACTTAAAGGAGCAGAAGCTGAACATCCCGGCCGCTGCAATGAAGGAGCACATCAGAATATTGAACAAGAAGACTGATTTGTTGGAGGATAGCTCAATCAACGAGAGGTCACCACTGGTCGATCAACAGGACGTCGATGAGGATGTGGACTCCAATTAGACATCTCGATCACACTCCTCCTCCTCTCCAATCCCAACAACACTCAATCTCTCAATCAATCAATCAATTAAATGAATGATATTTATTCAAACCTATTTGTTCCAATCAACAGGCGATATGAACGTGTACTCATGGTGAGAGAAGAAGAGAAGTGTCCATCCTCCAAAGATGTTATGTCGAACGTGATATCCTGACAAGAGATGTGAACGGAAGTTGCGGATGCTAAACGCTCGTTTGGCAGCCATCAATGAGCTAATCGTCTTGTTTTGTTTCATTACTTGTATGCACTCTCTCAAGTCCTGGGGCAGATGCTCAAGGTGTACCACGATATCTTGCACAGAGTCTGGCAGGACGATCTGCTCAGACATGTTGTCAAGTTTAACAGCCACACTCCGCAAGTTAGGCGGGAGCATCGGTAGACAATTCTCTGTGAACGTATCGCTTCGTCCCTCTATGTGACAGAGTGAAGGGTATTGGCCAAGTCGCTTGAACAAAGAGTTCAACATGCTGCAATCGAGCGACAGTGTCTCCAGTGTGATTGGAAGTTCTTTAAGTTCGCTCAACAACTTCTTGCTCTTGAGGCTGAGGTACTTTATCCCCTTCGGGATGTCTACAAGTGCCACACCGCAGTTGCCAATTCGCAGTTGCTCTAGTTGGCTGGGAAGTCTTAGCTGATTGCATCTTTCGTTTGCGGGGAGGCCAAAGATCAGAGACTTGAGCGTGGTTGGGAGGACATCCTCGGCGATTGTCTGATCATAGGTATCGCTAACATCCAAGTGCAGCAGGCCCTGTGGCAACGAACCATCTGCCAGCAATTTCTGATTGAAGTGGCTACCAAGTGAGAGATGAGTGAGGGTTGGCGGGAGCATCCCCGGACAGAGTCGCCTGTTGAACTCGCACTTGATGTTCAAGGTCTTGAGTCCGTGTGGCAGCAGACCAACAGTGAGGTTGTGGTCAAACGACAAGATGTCCAGTGTCGTGACACAGTTGGGCACGAAGCCAATATTCGGCGCAGGTGTGAAGCGTCCCACTGAGAGTGTGGTCAGAGATGGCAGTGCATGGATAGTCGAGTGCCACTCCATTGGGTTGATGTCGCTCAACAACGTGAAGTCTGTGATGGATGGTGGCAGCGGGAAGATCACCTCCATTGGGGTAGGGTCATCTCGGAAGATGGATAGCTTTGTCAGCGATGTTGGGAAGACACTTGGCAGCAGGCGCCTGTTATAGAAGCAGAACTTTAGATCAGTGATCGACGATGGGAGGCTGTCCTGTTCGAGGTCGTGATCAAAGAAGCTAGATATCTCTAAGTTGACAACAGACGATGGAATGACGCCGGGGGGCAGGGGATGGTTGATGTCGTACCAAAGAGTTGTCACACTGTTTGGGATGGTGCCTGGGTCGATTGGTTGATGATTGTCGCCTTCCAACTCTAGGATCTTTGTATTGGGAGGAATGAACAGTTGCTTCTGATTCTGATCAAGCTTTGAGGTGACGAGTGATGGTCGTGGGGTGTCTATAGAGTCTCAGTCCGATTAATTAGTATGATGAGCATAGTTGATGGTGCTCAGCTGAGCTGCCATACATACAGATGTCCTTGTCACTGGGTCCAAGCTCTTGCCACTTGATCCATGATCGTTTGGAAGTGAGAGCGAAAACCAATTTGTCTACTGGTGTACAGTAGCTCAAGATGTTCGCCAACAGCAGAGGCGAGAGTGAATCGAGAGTCGACATTCTTGATGATACAGATAGATTGATCTACTGAACCATGTCATTAATATTAGTTTTCGTTCGACACCTCCACGTAGCCTGGCCGCACAATTGGCTGCCACATTCCATCAATCAATTATAAATGAACTTAATGAATGAATGAATGATATTTATTCAAACATAGCTATTGGTAATGTCTATTATATTATTGATATCAATATTCATTGACAGGTTCCAGTGGCTCATTCTCATGTTCATCGTCAGAGTCGTCGCCATTGTCTAATATTGATGAGAGTTGATCCATGATCGATCCAGACTTTATATTTACATCGATGAAGTTGCTGTTGCTCGTGCCTACAGTATCCATATTATTATTATTATTCTTTTTCTTATTCTTGTTCTTTGATTGTGATGATAATGGTGACGACGTTGATGATGTTGCTGTTGTTGATGATGATGTTGGTATGACCATATTATCCTCTGTTAGATTCTCCTTTTTCTCCAATATACCTAAAGCCAAGTTCTAATAGGCGACCGATTGATTGATTTGATTGATTCAAAGAGTTAGTCTTGTCCCGTCTTTGTCGACTCTCCACTGCCTTCCTCTTTGACCTGAACATACCATTTCAATATACTCCTGGCCTTCCTTTACATTCTCTATATTTACATCAGCTTGTTGCTCCTTTATCTGTTTCTCCAACTGTTCATTAGCCTCCTTCATCTTTGGAAGGAAGTCCTTTACTCTATCAAATACTTTATGTACATGTATGTTAGCTATGATTGATTGATTGATGATTGAATGAATGTACGTTGATGGGTATTGTATACATACTTGAGCTTGGAGGCAGTTTACCTATGTTTGGCTTCTTTGGGGGTTCATTAGATTGTGTCCTTCCCATTGTTGTTGTTGTAGTTGTTGCAGTTGATGTAGTTGGTCTTGTGTTTGATTTCCCTGATGATGAACCTCCACCTGAAGACAACCTAAGGTCTAGCGATGCTGGAAAGTCACCTGTTGTATTCATTGACTCCAGATGCATCAAGTCTTTATTAGCTTCTCTACTCGTCATTCTTTATTATGTATGTATATATTATTATGTTTTTGTTTAGTAATAAGATTAACTCAAATACAAAGTGTCGTCTTTGAAAAGAAGACCAAAACTCGTCTCAATTTCAATCAAAACTGCAAAAAACGAGTCATTTTGACAAAACGACAAACAATGTAATGAAATAAAGTTGGACACTTCGAAGAGTTTATGATGATACAACGTTTGGTATTGGTGAACCAATCGATTGCTGTTCAGAGTTACCTGGTGATGCAGTCGTTGAGAACGTGAGTGGTGGCTTGTTTGTGATCAGTGTGGACTTGCGCACTTGGATTGGCTTGGTGACCTTGCCCCTGCCTCTGATCGTCTCAGCCTTCTTCTTGTGCAGCTGTTCAAAGTTGGGATTGCTGTGGATGTTGCTCTTGATCGCCTGTATCCACGACTCCATCTCGGCCAGGTTAGCCGCGCTCACCAAATAGTTGTCGTGATTGGCCTGCACCAGCGTACCGTCCGAGTTGAGCTTGCACGCCTTCATCTGGTCCTGTGACGAGCGCAGCTCGAAACAGAACTTCTTGGCCTCGACCACCTGGACCAGGACGTTCTCCAGTGGGATGATTCCACAGGGCTCGCTGTCCTGTGGCGTCTTGTAGTAGAGCAGACAGTTGGACGTGAGCTTGAACCAGCGCTTCTTCCAGGTCTTGATGCGACCGCCCTGCTTGGTCAGCCAGCCCTTCTTCTCGGTGTAGACGTCGGCCTGGCCGTCGCGCTCCATCTTGATCTCGTCGGTAATGATACGGTCATACAGGTTCTCCATGAACTCTTGGGGCAGGTCCTCGCCATTGTTGATGCCCGAGTTGTTTCGGATGAACTCGCTGCGTGTCATCTTGCGCTTGATGTTGGGATTGTGCGCGTCCGTGTTGAGCATGATCACTGAGAAGGCCAGCACATAGACCGTGTCGTTGTTGGCAAAGATCTTGTTGTCTGGGTTGTGATTGTAGAACTGTTGGGCAAACTTCTCCATCATTCTATCGATCTTTTGAGCCTCGCCTGGCAGACGGAAGTTCTTGAGGAACTTGCGCAGCGCCATGTCAAAGTCCAGGCCCGAGAAGTCGAGCTCGTCGACAAAGGCGTGCAGTACATGGATGTTGAACTCATCGCCGTCACCAATGTACTCTCCTATGCTTTGCTTGCTGAGCTGCTCGTGGCTGAGCAAAAAGTGTGCAATGTCCTTTGGTGTCTTTGTGCACAGGCCAGACGACACGGCAAACTCAATACCCTTCTTGGGATGGCTGTTGAAGTGCGACACGGCCGTCTTGATCAGTAGACGTCTTTGGTGCTCCTGCTGCTGGTCCAAGTCGTCCTTGAGCTGCTGGTCGAGGGCGGTCTGCACCTCGTCGGCAGGCAGTGAGCGAGACTCTCGCTTCACGAGCTGCATGATCTCCTCAATGTTTGTGGTGCCAAAGCATTTGCTCAAGTCGACAGACTGGCGGCCGCTGACCGTCAGTAGGTCGGCACCGCTGCGGATGAGTACACGAGCCACGTCGCTGTGGTTCTTCTTGACGGCGTAGATTAGTGGTGTCTTGCCTGCGCAGTTCTTAACGTCGATCTTGGCCTTGTGAGAGATGAGCAGTTCAACAGTCTCGCGCGAACCTGCAGCCGACGCCAGATGCAGAGGCGTCGAGTGGTGAGTGTCGAGCGAGTCGATAAGAGAGCCCTTTTTCAGCAGTATACGACAGCACTCTGTATAGCCATTGTAGGCGGCGTTGTGTAGGGGCGTGCCGCCCTGGTTGTCCTTGACCTCGAGGTTGGCGCCATGCTTGATCAGTGTGTTTATGCACTTTACACGACCATTGAATGCGGCCTTGTGCAGTGGTGACGCGCCTTGGTTGTCCAACAGACCAATATTCGCTCCATTGTCCAACAATAGCTTGGCAACTGCCGAGTGTCCATTGAATGATGCCTTGTGCAGTGGTGTTGCACCCTCTTCGTCCTTTATGTTGACAGTAGCCCTGGAAGTGATTGAGTTAGCGAGTGGCGCGGGGGCGATTGGCAAGCTCTAAGCAGGTCTAATACATACTTATTGTTTATCAACACTTGAACAATGTCATAGAGACCATTGAATGCTGCAAGATGTAGTGGAGTTGATTGTCTAATGTCTCCACAGTCAACGCTTGGAATCAGCTTGAGGAGATGCTCGACAATGTCTTTGTGTCCGTTGAAGGCGGCCTTGTGCAAGGGCGTCTCGCCCATCTCGTCCACCATGTTGATCTTGGCGCCCAACACCAACAGACGCTTAAGTAGGGCAAAGTTGCCGTTGAAGCTGGCGTGATGCAGGGGCGACACACCCTCCACATCGACACAGTTTACATTCTCGCCACTGCCCACCAAGAGATCGACACACTCTACGCTACCAGTGGCGGCAGCGTTATGCAAAGGTGATATACCATGTACATCCCTTGGGTCAACCTTKGGCACCCTTCTTTAACAGTAGCTTAACACAACTCGCGTGGCCACTGAATGATGCTTGATGTAATGGTGTAATACCATCCTGTTATTGATCGTGATTGATTGAGGTTAGTGAGTGATCAATGATGCCTTTCACACGATACATCCAAACAAACAAACTTACATTGTCTACATAGTTTACYTTTGGCATCGGCTTTGATTCAGCTGCTCGACGCACTGAGCATTGCCACCTGCACATGCATGGTGAAGGGGAGTCTCACCATTGACTGTAGTGGCCTTGGCATCGGCCTTGCAACCGATGAGATAGGCGACACACTCGGACGAAGCATTGAGAGCAGCCTTGTGTAGGGGCGTGCCGTTCTTGTCGTCTTTGGTGTTGACATCAGCGCTGCCCTTCTCGACCAGCAGCTTGATGCACTCCAAGTGGCCCTTGGCAGCGGCCCACTGTATTGGGGTGTTGCCGCCACCGTCCTTGGCATGGGCATTGCCCTTCTTCTCGAGTAGGAATGCGACACATCGCGTCGATCCGCCATAGGCTGCGTGATGGAGTGGTGTTCGACCCTCGCTGTCCACCGTCTCCACTGATGTACCCGAGTTGTTCAACAAGTTTGACAAACGTTCAATATCATCGATCGATGAATAATAATGAACTGAAGGTCTAGCTGACGATGTTGTCGTTGTCGTAGCCTTGCTATTGTTATTCTGTACCATCCTCTCTATATCTATATCTATCTATCTATATCTGTATATCTATATATCTGTATTTATCTGTCTACTACTCCTAATATTACAACTTCTGCATTATACTACAACAACACTCTATACACACATAACAATTAATAATAATAACGATGTAACTAATAAATATATACTAATAAGTTAGTTGAGTGTGTGAGTGAGGTGAGGTGAATGAGGTGAATGGATATTGAGTAGAAGTGTTGTTAGTTGTTGATGTGAAAGGAATGAATGAAAATGATTGTTTGAATAGAATTGAGCTGGGTGAATGAGATTGATCGATCCACAACAAGGTCGGTTGTTGTTGTTGATAGTTTTGTTGTTGTTTTTTTGGTGTTTTGTTGAACCCAACAGTTGGATAAAGATTGGACTTTGAATAAATAAATACTATTATGTTATGAGTAATATTATCTTTATCTTTTATCCTGTTCTTTGTTGTTGTTTTGTATAACACTAAATATTGAGATAGATGATGGATGGATGGTGATGATTTGCGATGGACTGTGGAAATGGTGGACGATCAAGCCAGTCAGCCAGTCAATCAACAATCAATCAATCAGTCAGTCTGGATCAGCGATAAAGGGCATACGAAACTTATGTTTATAATGTCCACGCATTCATTCATTCATTCATTCATTCATTCTCTTGACACTCAACTCAACTCTATCAATCAATCAATCATTCACACACACCCTGCCTATCTACCTGACCCACCTACACTCCAGGTGCCCTGATATCATTTACTTACATCCCAATAACAACAACAACATCAACATCAACAACATGATCTTGTTGTCTACAAACTGTGATACACACTCATTAACACACACTTGGGGAGGAGGGTAACAGTGTTGTTGCTTGGCCAATACGTCAACAAAAATATCGCCACCCAATCACTTCACTCTCGCGATTGATTGTTGTTGTTGTTGTTGTTGGGATGATAGATAATCCAAAGCAACAGAACGGTTATATATCTATCCTCCGGAATGCGAACAACATACCAACCAACAACCACAATATCCGGTCGGGATATTAGGTATATACATGTGTGTGTGGAGAAGGAGGAGATAAGATTGCTTACTTGTGGCTATGTGAGTGAGTGAGTGAGTGAGTGAGAGTGAGTTGTCGATCCAACTCCAAGATCACCTCCAACAAACACACTCACACTCACACACACCAACATGTTAATAATAATAATAGCCTCACTCACTACTTGAAAGGATTATGATGATGGATTTAGGAGTGAGGAATGAATGACCTATTGACCAATACCTAGGTGGCAGGGTCTCTCCATTAGAGTTCCTCTATAAGTTGAGGTGCCAATCAATCATTGGTAATAATATATGAATGACAATAACAATTCAAGTCCTGTTCAACATAATGAATGAGCAAGGTACTATTTTTGCTAAGCTGGATTTTGTTATTGATTTGTTTGGCTGGTTGTAAGTATCTCAATTGGTCAACAGAGCATTGGTTGGACCACAACCTCCAGTTTTTCAATTATTGGACACGATCCAGACGATCAGACAAAAGTACAAAGACGTCTTTTGTGTCTGTTCTGATCAATTTATATGGCCCATTACTACTTTTTGTTGCCGATTTGAAGTAGGCAGACATGGAAATACAACTTTACTATGGAGTCTTTTACGAGACTTGAATACAATATAACAAGTAAATCATTATCAATCATAACATATTACTATGACATAGAAGAAAGAAGAGAGAAGAGATACTATTCATATTCATTGGCATACTGCTATGAGCAAGAGTAACAACAACAACAACAACAACAACAACAACAACAACACCAACACCAACAGCAATGACAACAACACCAACAATGACAATGACAACAAAAAGTTCAAGTGCATACATGTCACACTGAATGGTAGACTTGAAAAGTGTGAGGTAAACTTCTCAAAGGGTAGCTCTTTGAAGAGACATGAGGAGGGCATTCATAGACCTGGCACATGTTTAGTTGATTGTCCAGGTTGCAAGAGTAGAGAACGAAAGATGAAGGAAAAGAAGAAGAAGGATCGTCTGAAGATACCCTGTCCTCATCAGTCATGCATGGACATTGGTGCCAAGTTTGAGTGTACCAACCTTTCCAAACATATCAAGAAGCTCGATCTACATCAATGTGGTCCCGACACATGCAACGAGTGTGCAAGGATCAGAGACAACTTGCCAATTGTGAGGGAGAGGAAGGGTAGGAGTAAGAGTAAGAGTAAGACAAAGAAGAAGAAGAAGAAGAAGAGAAAGAATGTCAGTGTCGACGATCATGGGGACGCAGCAGCCAGTGTCATGGATGTGGCTGGCACGACCACCAGTGCGACGAATCAATCAGGTAATTCCACACCGTTTCAATCAACGCCATCAATTATTCCAGACCTGGTCGTCTCGCCACCAGTCGCCATCAAGAAGTCCAGATCATCAAATGGAGCAATTATTACCAAGATTGAAGAAGATACAGATGACCAGATACCCAAAGACTTATATATTCCATCAATTATATCGATCTCATCCACAACCCAGCGACCAGATTGTCGGTGTCTACTCAAGTCCCTTGAATCCGACAATGACCTAGCACCTCAACACGAGACCAAGGAACATCATCCCTTTTATCAACATTCAATCTTCTGTTTATATCATCAAAGTCAACGAATAAATGTATGAGTGAATACAAACAATTGTTTATTGGCCGGATAGCAAGGGTATGATAATGGCAAAGACTATGGTGTATCCCAAATATTTGATCCATGATGATGGACCTTGGAGTGGCACATGGCACAGTCGACTACCAGTGCTAGAGTCAGTGTGATTGGTTTTAGGCGGAGTGATTATGATCTTGGCCTGCATCGGCTGTGATACGACCAGGTTGGTGATTGTACTGCTCGCTTGTTCAATGTTAAAGTATGTTGCACTGTCATCCGCCAATGTCACTGTGCCAATGGTTTGTGTGGCCTGGATGAATGGGATTGTGTCGCCAAGCTTTAGGTCTGCGCTCAGCATGTCTAGGTTGACCTCCACTTGTCCATTGTTGAGGTATGCTATGCGCGACACCTTGATTCGTGAGTGTTCGGTTGTGGTGTTGACGCGCACCGTAAGGACAGCGGTCTGGAGCATTGTGAAGCTGCCCTGGATGTCAAAGTTTCCATCGATCTGGCTGCCAATCGTGCAGCCGGTGCGAGTACTGATTGATCCATTGCCCACGATGCGCCCGCCAGCAATGTCCACCCAGTCGGCGATGATCTGTGTTCGAGGCTGGACGGTGATCTGCCCGCTAACCTGTTTGAATCCTGCGCCAGTGACATTGAGTCCGGATGCCAGTTGAATGGTGCCGGCGTTAGTGACACCGCCAAAGCATTGAAGTGGGCCGTAAATCTCGAGCGTTCCCTTCTCTGTGATATTGAGCGTGCCGGCCACCACACTGTTGATTGATATGTGCGCTGTGCCAGTCTTGATCAACATATTGTTTGTGGCATTGTCGATAGAGTGTATCTCGTTGGCGAATGTCGTCACGCTGTCCATCGAATCGACAATGATTGTTGATTGATTGGATGTTACGAGCTTGCCACTGAGTCGCGACTTTGGTCCAAAGATGGCGGTGGCACCAATCAAGTTGAGATGTGAATCACTCGACAGTGTAATGCCTTCGAGGAAGTGGGCCGTTGCACCAGGCATCAATGTGAGGAATGATACCGCAGCCACAGACACTTGTGAGTTGAATGTCGAGTTGCCGTAGAGGTAGACGTTCTTGCCGGCAGTGTTGCCAGTGACTCCAAATGTTGTTGTCGGGTTGTTAAAGTTGGCGCCCTTGAACAACGAACATCCCGTCTTGAAGTTGATGCTGGACTTGTCCGAGGCGGTGAGCACCGAGTCGAAGCTGCACGGTCCACCACCATTGATCACGATGTTGGCCTCTCGCGTGATACTAAAGTTGGCATTGACGCCCACTGTTATGCCCGAGAGATCAGTGTTGCCACTGATGTTGGCGCTGCCACCTGGGAGAATGTTGATTGTGGCGGCAAAGTTTGATCCGTCGCCATTCACCGTGAGAAGGCCGCCCTTGTGGATATCAAGTGATGAGCCGCCATCTGAGCTGAGGATAGCAATGTCCATCGCGGAGCTCAGTGCCAGTTTGCTGTATATGATACTGATCTCTCCAAACTTGTAGGCGGACTTGCCCTCGAAGCTACAACTGCAGTTGACAATGCCGACGTATGGCATCAGGTTGTCTTCGTTCGGCTCAAACACAATGCCATTGACGGTGGACTCGCCAGAAAATACGATTGAGCAGTCGCCAATCAATGTGATCGGGGTCAGAAGATTACAGCCATGGGTCAACGTCACGTTGGATGTGGTCTGTAGTGTGATGGTCGATGTGTTGTCCAACTGAGTGAATCGATCAAGTACAGTATTGCAGTTGGTCTCAAAGTTGAGGTCAGAGTATGCCTCTAGTATGATTGTTGCCTGGATCGTGTTGCCGTTGCCATAGATGGTCAATGTCTGATTGGTGGCCACGGTGAGGGGTGCCGATGGCGGTGGGATCGTCGAGGCATCGGCGGCCCGCTCAGCCTCGGGGTCGGGCAGCGTCTGGATGTCGCCAGAGTACGTGAAGCTGATGTTAAAATACAACGAGCTCTTGCTGTCCAGTTGGAAGTTGGTGTTGATCTGTGTGTTGACAATGTTGATGATGCGTAGTACACCATGGCTCACTCGGATCAGTGAGCCGAGACGGTCGGTCAGGAGTCCACCAATGTCAACATTGCCATAGAGATGGAGTGTGCTTGTATCTTCAAGAGTGACATCCGAGTGAATGACCCGATCTCCAACCAATACCATCTCTCCTTGGTCACGTAACTTGATCTCGGTGGTCAGCGCTGTGGTCAGATCGTGCAGGGTCAGCGTGCCACTTGCCACACTGATCGATGAGAAGGGGCGTAGGGTCACGGGGATGGTCAACTCACACGTGCCACTGAACAACAATTCGGAATTCCTCTGAATGACTACGGCACTGGCATCGTCCAGTGCGATCAGACCCTTGGACAGTTTGCACTGATCACAGCTCGCGTTGAACAGACTGCCAGCGTCAATGGTGACCGCCTGATCAAAGTTATAAATGTCCGAGCCGACCAGCTGGAGGTTTCCATGTTTGAGGTTGACCGTGGCGTTGGCGCGACATTCGAAGCCGCCTGTAACCACGACCACGGCCGAGTCGATAAACATCTTGGCAGAACCCTGCATGATCAACATGGCGGCGATCCTCGAGTTGCCATTGATGTGAAGTTCGCCTCCATAGAGGGTGGGCGACTCGATATTGACGTCGGAGATCTCCAATGTGTTGACTGTGAACGAGCCCGCCGTCATGGATATGTTGCCGTAGCTACGGAAACGGCCAGAAATGGTGAGCGCGCCACCAGCCACCTGCATGGTTCCATCACACCTGATGTTGGCGATGGTCACTGGTGAGCGGAAGTAGACGATTGCATTGCGGGCTATATACATTGACGCCAGGGTGAAGGTGGCTTCGGGTGCCGTCTGCAGGATTGCACCGGATATATTGAGTGAGTTGATTGTGATGGATGATGTGAGAGTGATGGTTTTGGATGGGTCACGTTTCGATGCATAGATCACAACATCATCCTTGTCTGTTGGTGCTGTTCCATTCATTAGTGATAATAGGTCACATGGTGTTGGTGGTACACTCTTTGGACAATCATTTGGATTGATGTGGAATACAGTCGCTTCCACATATGTCTCTGAATTGTATATAATCATTATCATCATCAACAACAATATATATTTAATATATTGTGATCCATATCCATCCATTTTCTAGAATTGATTGAGTCAGCGTGAGTGAGTGCACCTCTATGTTACCAATCTAACAATCAGTCCAGACTTATCCTTATCCTACCTTTAAGTATAGTTTGTTTTAATAAATAGTAGTCGTTCGAACGAGAATTAAGTAAAGGTAGTTGGTTGGTTGTGTTATAACATTGGATACATTGTTGGATGGATGGATGGATTGATACGCTTCAATCAATCCAATCAATCACACATTAGGTGATGATACACAACAACAACATATTATATTATAACAACATAAAGTCTGTATTTGTAGTTTGATTGATTGATCATCTCTATGCCTGTTAAAGTAAGTATGCTTAGTAGTACTAGTCAGTGTTCCCATCATCAATCAACCACTTACCCTAATATCACATGGTCGTGTGTGTTTGTTGATGTCCACACCTGTCATGTCATTCCCGTGTGTTCATGATAATGTGGTGTTGTGTTGCGCACATCACTCAGGTGATCGCATCCAACAGTGTGGTTGTGTTTGATCAATGTGTTGGTGGGTGGTGTTCTTAGACACACAATAAGCGTAAGTTGATGATCAACAATGATTGATTGTGTTTAAAGTGCAAAGGTATGTTTGAGACATTGGACAAGTTCGGACCAAGCATGGGTGGACAACAAAACTTTGATGATGAAGTCTCACCCAGGATTAGGTTTAAAAAGGTCTCTTCCTGGGGCAGCATTCATCTGAATGACATGTTCAACACCCTCTATTTGACACAAGCACATCTATTTATATTATTCATTCAATCATTCCATTCATTTAATCAATACCTTACATTTAAACATTCAAATATATAAATAAGATATGAAGTTCTGTGTTGCCATCGATGGTTCTGACCATGCTCACAATGCATTCTTGGTATGTACCAATTGCATTATCTCTGGTGTAAACTACATTACTTACTCTTACTCTTTCTCTTAACAAAACAGAAAGCAGCCAACCTTTGTAAACCAGGTGATCATGTGTATGGTTTGATCGTTATTGATCTGGTACACTTTATGATGGCTGCACCAAAGCTCGCTGAGGAAATGTCGACCATATCAAACATGAAGGTAAGTCATCTTGGTAGACCTATCCCATCGACCCAACAACATATCATTGACTTGCCTTAATCGATAACTAGTCCGAGATGATGAACAATGGTAAACAGCTAGCCAAGCGCTATGAGGATTTAGCATCTGAGCTAAATGTATGTATATCAAGTGATATTGTTGTTGATGACCATTCATTACTAACACTGACTACAATCAACTCACTCATACAACTACAGTTGCCATCTTATGAAACATTGTTGATTGAAGGCAATCCAAGAGATGTGATCGTAACAACTGTCCATGAGAAAAAGGTGGATATATTGGCTATTGGTCTGGTTGGTTTGATTAATAACCCAAAGTATGTAGTGCTACTCCTTCACTTACTTGACCCCCCGTCACTTAACTTACCCATTACCAATCAAGTATATCAATGGGCAGCACATCGACTTATTGCATTAGGAACTGCAAGTGCGACGTACTTCTTTGTAAATAAACTCTCTTGGGCGACCAGTTTAATCAATCGATCAATCAAACATGTCCTCAACCTCAATGATGGAAAAGCGGATCACAGGAAGAGAAAGTTATGTTATTACCTCGGCTACACTGTCTAAAGGTGGCAATATCCAATCTGGTTTGGTCTTAACACTACAATTGTTCGTTGTCGTCCACAAACGTTGGTTGCTGGGCTGCCTCGTTGATTGATTATGAGGACGGACACCTGTTTACCTGCCTGTGGCGCTGTGTACTCCTGGTGGGAGCGCTGGTCTGGAAGGGCTTCGATGTATGGCTGTGAGTGGGGCGCGACTGGAGAGGTTTAGGCGTTTGAGTAGCGGTGCGAGCTGGTCCTTGGGTCGTGGCATTCATCACCCACCCTTTAACCTTCAATTCACTGATCACACTAACCCTCTCTTATCAATCCAATTATAAATGGTACACTTTCACTATCCTCCCGACCATTCCAAAAATTTTGATAGTTTATAATCATACAAATACACATACACATTCAAAAATGCTGCTTTTTGTGTTACTATTTTTTTTATGTTACAATCAAAAATGATGTATCTACCGCTTCAAAAATAGAAGTTTTTTACACCTCTTCAAAAAAGACACCTTAGCCAAGTGGTTACGGCGATTGACTAGAAATCAATTCCCTTCGGGGGCGCAGGTTCGAATCCTGCAGGTGTCGAAATCTTTTGCATTCTTTTGTAACATTTAATATAAAGAGATGTACTCTTAATATTATTGAACGTTCACTTGAGAGTATGACAGTTAGTAATTGAAGACCCACTGTCTATGAATGAACGAATCATATAAACTTATTTATTAATATATATGATGATTGATTGGTGTAACAAGAGGACATACCTTGAGAGTATGACAGTTAGTAATTGAAGACCCACTGTCTATGAATGAACGAATGAAGTGATTGAGTGCGCGAAGCGACATCAAAACACTTTGGAAAACGAATCATTCGACTCTGGAAGTTCCTCATGTTACATATCCCCCCTCGACTATTGACCACTAGATGAGGAGATACGTTTGAAAGCGGCGACCAATGCAGGGAGCTGCGCCTGCATCACCTTGGCATCGATCCAACGGTTGGCATCGTCGCCCAAGGATAAATCGAATCGCACCAAGTACTCGAGGCGTGATCCAAGGCCGTAGACTCTGTTGCGTGAGTCGATGATGGCTGTCGCGGTAGTGATGTCCGTGCCAGCGAATGATGCCTGGAGAGGCTTGACTGATTCCACATGGACTGTCCTGAGCTGCTTCTTCTTGTTTGACAATTCAATCTTGAGGTCAATATTCGACAAAATACTTGCAACCTTGAATGGGCCACAGTATGCTGACTGAAGTTTGGCGATGTCTGCAGCGTCGCCAACAGGCTTGGAACTGTCGAAGGCGCTGCGCTTAACAAGCACAATGTCGCCTACCTGTATGGCAGCACGTCACGTCTACCT